CTCGCTCTGTCAAACACAGGAAGCAGCAAAGGCTTGAAAGCACTTCTTCTTCTTCTCTCTCTCTCCTGTTTTTTATCTTGCCGGGATCCACAATGCGCAGCCATTAATTGGTGCTGTGTGTATGTGTACCTTTGCAGGATGAGGAAGCAGAGCAGGAAGAATTATTCAAGACGGAGTGAGAGAGACGCTCATTCAATGCGTGCAGCTATAGCGGGAGGAAATCAAGCTCCTTATTTTCATTCTTTGTTCTCCTTTGTGCTCAAGTATGAATGCGACACTTTTGCGTGCAGCTCGCCAATTATTTATTTTCATTAATGCCCCCGAGAATATAGGCGAGCGACAAAATAAATAAAAAGCATTTGAGACGAATTGGTATAAATTATTTGCCCTTACACGCGGCGCGCCATGGTTCGATTTCCTCTTTCTAATCCATCATTCAGGAAGACCCGCTAACAAAACATGTTATTTGCTCAACTTGATCATTCACACTTTGGAAGGGAGACGCCGCCGCACTGTTTGATTTTGCCATTTCCCAGAAGTGCTATTGTTTTGCATGCATGACATAGCGGCGGCGTGGCTTCTGAAAAATGAAAGTTATTTCTTGAGGTATTTATTTATTTGAAGAGCATTATTCCAAATCATGCTGGGTGTGCTTCCTGCTGGCTGGTGAAAAGAATTTGTGCCTGGAAAAATGATTATGTTGAGTTATTTCAAAGTGCTTGTCTCTGTTGTGTGGAAAAAGAGAAGGAAAATTGAGGAGCGTTTATAATTGATGAGTAAATATGGCCTCGCGCGCGGTTGATGTGTTTGTGCGACTGCTGTCGCTCGCCTGCAGAGTTAGTGGATTCACGTTTATGCGGAATTTGTTGTTTCCTATGAAATTGATAAGTAAGATGACCAACAACAGAAACGAGAATGCACTCTTGCAATTATTCCTTCCAGCCCAAATCAAAAAGAAAAGAGAAAAATTTTATGAAGAGTCTGGGGGAAAAGAAATATTTTATATCCATTGAACACGCAAAAATGCGCTAGTTTTTTATACAGAATAAGTGGCCCATTTCGTTTTATATTTCCAATTTTTATATCTTTAAAAAAAAAAACACGAAGAATGATCAAAATTATGGGAAATTGAATGCCACTGTGATATATCAATAAATATTATTTGTCAAACTGAATATTAATAAAGTATTATCAAATACATAAATTATAAATTTCCTTTGTCTCATGGGGCAAATTAACCGCGTAGTAAAGCTTTTAATGAAAATGAAAATCAAATTTTATTTCTAAAATTTTGCAGCTATAATGTGCAAGCAAATAATTTTTTTTTCTTATTTTAATTGAGCTTATTGGGTTTAAATTGTTTTCAGTATGAAATAAAAATATTTTAGTGAAAGGGAGCTAAAAATGTACTTATTACTCTATCAGAGACTGAACATCATTTTAAAATAACTTTTGATCATTAATTCTTATTTTGGAAAATTAAATTATGTTATCAAGGTTTACGTTAGCTTGCAGCACACATTCAGTTTAAGTGACGTGATATTTATTATAACTTTTCGGCTAAAAATTATTAAAATCCAAAATAAACATTAATTTGATTTTAATCAAGATTGCATTATTTACGATTATTTAATTTTTGTAAATTATGTAATTTTTTTTATTCCGATTATACTTTTTACTTTTTCCAAATATGTAGGTTGAATCCGTTTCCCAGTCCAGATTTAGCTTTTGCCAACGCCAGGGAAAAAAATCATTCTCGGAAGCGTGAGTTCGTAAAAATGCAGAGCGCAGCCTTAATGAGCGCCGAGGGGTGCGATTTGATTTTGAATGGATTTACACTTAAAAAAGGCAGACAGCGCGCAGCAGAAAATTGATATTTTCTTACCCTCGTTATACCGAGTGCACAGCAGCAGCACACGCCCGCGCCTTGTGTATGTATTATAATATTAAATTTGAAAAAGGTCCCCCATGCGTTTAGTTGGCGCATCCAGCACAGGAAGTCAAGTGTTTCTTCCAATAGGGCTTGTATTTTTACTTACTTTTAAGGATTCCGGGCAACAATTTTGCCACCAGCTGTACACTCGTGCCACCGAGCAGCAATCAAACGCTTATACAGATAAAAAGATGCGAGTAACATAATTCCCATTAAAACGACCGGTGCGGACTTTTAATCAAGGAAATAGTCTAGGGAACGAACATATTAAATGGAAACACGAAATCACAATTAAAAGAGTGTGTGAGATGCAGTGTGTGCAATTGTTCGTGTGGCACAATGTAATTGAAATAAGAAGAAGAAGTGAAGGAACTGTACTTGATCTTATTTATGTGCGGCGTATATATTTTATTCGCGGCGGCGTGCGCGGTAGTCCTATTCACACGGGCAATATTTTTATCTCTTTAAAGGCCCGCGAGCGAACGAGCCACCGCCGCACTTCGCTTGCTTATATTATTCCTTTTTTCCCATTGTCTCCGTCCTTCTCTCTGCGTCTTCTAGCTTTCGTTTATAAAATTATCCGCGCGCGATTTTTTTTCTCACTTCCTCGTGTACATATCGCGCGAAATGGCTTTATGCAAATGTGGCTAACGACCTGCCAGGTCTTTAAACCTCTAAAACCTTCCCAGCCGTATCAACACCCGCGCGCGCGAGACAATTATTCGTGCAGCAGATTTTCACGCCGACCCTCTTTTCCGAAAGTGAGCTGCGAGAGAGTGAAGAGCACACACTGCATGCGTATGAATTATTAATTGGCGGGTTCATGCACTCGCCGCCCCACCGATTTCTTTTTAATTGCCAGCACTCGCTCTCGACAGATTGCCGCCGCGTGCATTAGGACCTGTGCAAAAAATAAACAAATCTCCGTAACGCCACCAACATGTTTCTTTGTGGTATTAATTTCAGATTTTTAATTAAATATTTTACTAATGTCATATGCCTATTCCAATTTTGTTATTGTCAAATTATATTTTAAACCTATTTGATTTTTATATCATTATCTGAGTTTCAATCAATGCTCATTTTAAAGGTTTTTTTTTTCATAGATTTTAACTACAAATTTGAACAAAATAGAATAATTTTCAGAATTTTATTGATTCCTGATAGTTATGTATCATTTTTTTTAGTTAATTTAACAATAGATTCAAACTCCTTGTTAGCAAAACTCATCGAGCGGTGTGCAATGCGCCACATGCATGATAAAATAAAGGCACTTTAAACTCTAATTAAAAATCCTTGTTCAGGCAACATAATTACGCTGAAAATCTGTGTCAAAAATCTTAAAGCTCATTTTTCTTTGGTGCCTAGCTGATTACAAAGTAAAAAATGACAAACAAAAAGTGCGCTTCCTTCATCAGGACAATTAAAACGAGTCACTGTGTCACTTGAGACGCGAGCATTGTTTGCGCGCATTTTAGCGATAACAAATTTACGTCGCCGACGTCTGAAGGTGTTAATTTTTCTCAAGCAAAAACCTCCCCGTTTCCGTGGTGTGCGATGCGATCTCACCAGGGTGTCCTTGTCCCGAGAGAAAATAATTATATTTTGTACGACAATGCGCGCCGCCAAATAAGGAAAGAATATGCGCTTCGGAAGCTGATTTTCCCGCTAAATAAAAACTACTGGTGAATAGCACGGCGTATGCGTATATGAGAGATGATCTCGGGGAGAAATCTGAATGTGTGCGCACACACAATATTCTTCTGAGGGATATCTGTTGATTTCCGCAAGGTTGCTCGCGCGCTGGTGATGGTCGTCGTTCCGCCAGCTGTCGCCCCGCATGCACCTGGACCCGCGCGGCCAGGCCAGGTGTTTCGGCAGCGGCGCGGCGAGAGCGGCGTGCCTCGTGACGTCACCCCTCATCCACCCCTGGCGGTGGCAAGTCTCTCGCTTTTCTCTCATTCGGCGACCAACCCCTTTGCACGTGCAGCAACAGGAAAAACCGGCTTCCGGTGTCCGCCCCGTTTTTCCTCTGATTTGTTCTTTTTTGCCGCCGCTTTGAGAGCATCCCCTAGAAATTTTTTCGAATTTCGTCTGAAATTTTGATTCATATTTTGGCAAAAGCCTTTTTCTTTCACTCGACGCTGGTGAGAGACTCAAGGTGAAGACACGCACTCAGCGTGCAGCGGAAGTGCGCCAAGTCACTGGAACGAAACGCCGCGAGCAAGCAGCTAGTGTTCCTTAATTGCCGCCCCGTTGCCAAGTCGCAACCCTTTTCCCGCCGAAATTTTCTGACAAATGGAATGCATAAAAGTAAAAATTTGGCCACATTCGGCCGATGGGAGACTTGAAGGGTCGAATTTGTCGATGCTGTTATTCCATTGGCGCCTGACCAGTTCTGGAATATGCAACCCGCACGACGAGCGTTCTTGATACAGTGCCAAAGGTGTAGGCATCTAGTGGCGACATCCGAAAGTAAAAAGTAAAACTGGCTAACTTTTTTTACAAAAAAGCGCCACACCTTACCAAACCCAATAAACTATAAATATAATAAAGAAATAAATTATTTTTACCCAAAAGAGATTAGCATTAAATCAGAAAAATAAGAAATATTTTTTACTTAAATTACAAAATTATAATAATTTTATGCCAATTATACACTACGTACGTAATTAAATAAAATTTATCCTTCATATACCTAAAATTCTTAAAAATCCAGTATAAAAAAATCACTCTGATTTTTATGTTTTAATTTTGTTAAATATAAAAATTACGTTTTCTATTTTTATGAATTGCAAATCTATATTTTATGTGTTCCAATTTGTTATTAAATATTAATAACAATAAATAAATTTGAAATTTTTATCTTACAGTCATTAAAATATGTATCTGAATTTTTTTAAATAAATTATTTAAAATGGAGCAAAATTTTCATGGTCTTTTTCTATTCTTTTTCTTTATGCACCATAATATAAAATATAACCTCGCATCTCGCCCGAAAGGCTTTCCGTGCCGATTTATGGCTCGGTATTTTGCTTAACAAACCGACTGAGAAGTTCTGCACAAACCGATTAATCGGTTATTTACTCCGCACTTAGACCAAAACAAGCATGGCCGATAAAGGTAAATCTCCTGAAGAAATTGTGGCCGGGTTTAACACCCTTCGCAATGAGCAGCGACGACTGGCCCTCAAGATCTCCGAGATGGAAGTCGACCTGAACGAACACAAGTGAGTTTGAACCCTGGAGATTTGTGATCTTGTCTGAAAAATCGATCCGATTTCAGAATCGTGGTAGACGCCCTGGAGAAGGTGGAGGACGACCGCAAGTGTTTCCGACTGATCAACGGTGTCCTGGTGCAACGCACCGTCAAGGAAGTGCGTCCCTCGCTGATGCACAGCCGAGACCAGCTGTCCGAAGCGATTAGGCTTCACAATGAGGCGCTGTCCCGCAAAGGAACGGAGCTGAATGAATACAAGGATAAATACAACATTCGAGTGCGCAACGCCGGAGACGAAGAGCCCGAAAAGCAGGAGGCGCCCAAGGCACCGCAGCAGGCCGGTGTGCTCGTCAACTGACCCCCTTAAATAAGACTCGTTACGCCGTGATAAATAATGATCCTACATGCACGTGGATACCTGTGAAATACTTTAATAAATCTGATTATACGCCATTGTGACGTCTTTTTGAATTAGGCCGCCACCGATTGCCTGCAATGCGACGAGCAGAACAACCAATCGGCGCAGGTACTATTTTTCATCCGCGGTTATGACTGGAAGAAAATTCAAATTTATTTTAAAATAATGTAGAATACTTTCAAATTTTTGAATTCGTTGCAATAAATATAACAATTGTATTTTTTTCGTTACTAATTTCCCCTTGTAACACTAAAACAAATTTGAAAAATTAGTAGCGGAGGCGTTGACTTGCGCACTACTTTTCTGCCAGTGGCTACAGAGCTTTTGCGTCGGCCGACTGTTGTCTCGGTCAAATCCAGCAATCAACCATGGTAAGCAAGTCATCCAGGTCCAATAGCCTCCCTCAAATGACCCTATGGTATCACTAGAGACATCCTCGAGATTAGTTTTTCTGGGAAACGGCCGCTGTGTTTTTCCGCGGCCAAAATGGCGGCCGCCCCCTTTTTGGCCGTTCTCCAACCCCGGCGACGGTTACTACCCTCAGAGGACCGTTATTTTGGACACCCTTGATTCCCAACCTGATCATTACATTGTCCACGACACAAACTTAGTCTTATTTGCGCTTCTAGGCGGACCAACTGACTGAGGAACAAATCGCTGAGTTCAAAGAGGCGTTTTCGTTGTTCGACAAAGACGGCGATGGCACTATCACCACCAAAGAATTGGGTACCGTGATGCGGTCTCTCGGACAGAACCCTACCGAAGCCGAACTCCAGGACATGATCAACGAAGTTGACGCTGACGGTAAAAATGCGACCTTTTAGTCGTTTCCGCTGTCCAAGGCCTTTGTTTACATTATTCCTCACTGGCCCTGAGTTATTGATTTTATACCTGGTCCCTTAGAGAGGGCATAAATAAACTTTAAATTTACATTTTCAAGCGCCTGAACAAACGATCTTGCCTGAAATGTTCTTTAATTCTATAAATAAATATGAGCTTAACGCTGGGTAAATTTACAAAGTTAGACTATCCCAGAGGAGATTAATCATCGTTTAGAATTTAGAAATCAATACGATTTTATTCCTTGAATCAAACAATGTAACTTATGTGTCATTAATTAGCGTACCTTTTCTTTGTATGTTTCTGTTCAACATGAAAATTAATAGCCCAAATGGAATTTAAGGTAATGGTACCATCGACTTTCCTGAGTTCCTGACGATGATGGCGCGCAAAATGAAGGACACAGACTCCGAGGAAGAAATCCGTGAGGCCTTCAGGGTTTTTGATAAGGATGGCAACGGTTTCATTTCGGCTGCAGAGCTCAGGTAGACGCAGTGTAAATTATATCTGGTAGTTTCGTTTTAAAAGAATGGAAAAAAAGAATTATGATGAATTGGCAAAAAACATAAACAATTCTTAACAATTTTTCTTTAGGCATGTAATGACCAACTTGGGTGAGAAGCTGACTGATGAAGAGGTGGACGAGATGATCCGCGAAGCGGACATTGATGGTGACGGTCAGGTCAATTATGAGGAGTTCGTCACCATGATGACCTCCAAGTGAGGTGCCTGCCGGCCCTAATTTATTACTCGAAACACATTCCACCACAGTCATTTTTACATTTCCAAAGATAAAACACAAAACCACACACACACTTACACAACACACTCATCAATGAATCACTCACCGAGGAAATTGGTTGGTTGATTGGTCGGTCCGGCCCCGACAGGGCCAAGTCCAGAGCGAGTCGACTTTTCGGTCACAAAATTGTAAAACAACTACTAAATAAATGTTAAGGAGTTAAATTAATCCATATTCTGCTTCCTTTATATTTAAACATAATGGCGACTTTCGTGTGTGTCAGGAATAACATCATTAATCACCTTTATATTGATTAAATTAAACAAGGTGTATTCGTGTTAGTCAGGAGAGGTGTTACTTGGGAAATCAATAGCAGTTTCATAAAGTCAATATTTTTTAGTTGCTTGGGCAGCTGAGTCATTTAAGGGTGACACCCAGAGGCACTATGGTGGTCTAGTGAAGCAAAAGACAGTTGGATAAATATTGTAACTGGTTTGGTTTATTTTTTTGTCAAACAAAGAACTTGACGGTATTTTCTTTAAATAATAATGATGACCATAAATTTACATATCCAGTGCTCTGCAGAGCAAAATTGACTCGATGCTCTTGCGCTCTCTCAAATATCCTTCCCATCATATAATTTCTTAACTAACATTGTTACAAGTTTTTTTGTGTGTTTAATTGATATATTTTTGTTTTTAAATTTAATCAATCTCATTATGTACACCAAGAGGATTGGCAAACAAAAAATAATAGAAGTTAAGGTTGTGTTCTTTTCATCGCTTACATTTTTTTCTCTCGCCTTAAGTTTTCTTACTTGCAATAGAGGAATTCCTTAAATATATGTACAACAAAAATATAAAATAATAAAGCTGAGGAATGCAGTGGGATTAGCACAAGTCAGGGTTGTCTTGCACCGTTTTCTTGATTCGTAACAGGATGGTGGTGTACCACTGATCAAACCTAGACACCGAGTCGTAATCTTTGACTGCCTCTGTGAACCCATCTACGTTTTGCTCTTCCATGTGCTCCATCAGGACCTATTAATTTTTAATCAGTTATTTGAATCAAGAGATAAAAATAGTTCACCTTGATAAGTTTGTACTCCCGAGAGTCCTGGAAAGCAGGGTACTGTTGGATGTAGCGTTCAAGCGCAAGCTGAGCGTTAAGGATATCAACGCAAAGGTGACAGAGGCCTGCCCTGAAGAAGTACTCCTTGGCTGAATACTTGAGCAGAGAGCTCTCGAGCGACGAAGCAGCCACCTGTTCATAAATCGAGATGGCTTTTTCGTAATCAGCCAATTGGGCTGCATACTGAGCCACTTTCAGGACGCACTTGTTAGCCGACGAGTTGGATTCCTCACCCCTGAAATAATCAGCAGCTTGCTCATAATGCCGAGTAGCAGCCTCCAAGTCGGGTGCCTCTGTTTCGTAAATCTCTGCGATGGACTGGGGAAAAAATGATTATTGAAAACTGCTTGACGGGAAATAATTTATTTTTTTGCTACCTGATGGTGTCTGGCGGCCATGGTGAACCTGCCCATGTCCGTGTAGATTTCGATGGCCTTAGAGAGGCAGTTGACGGCTTCATTGGCATCCGCCTTTTTGAAACAATTGGCTGCGTCTACAAAATTTGTGGCCGAGTCGTGCTTGCTGCCAGCTTTTGCGTGAAGACTTGCAGCCTCGCAGAACGCTTTCCCAGCCTCGTTCCATTTCTTGGCCATCTTGAACATATTGCCTGCCCGCTGGTAACATTCCACCGCCTCTTCAACTTTGGCAGAGCCGCTAAATAAAAATTGATCATTTTTAATTAAAATTTAAAAATAATTCATACATATACACATATGTATTTCAACAAAAATTATATTTAAAAAAATACAATTCAATTCATTATTTTTAATTGAATTTTTGGTGATTTATAAAATTCCCGAATCAATTTCAACGAAAATAGAAAGTCGCTCATCACACTGTGGTTGTCTTGTGGTTTGGAGATAATCAGGTGCTTGATAGTGCCAACAAATCGATAAGAGACCCTTCGGTTGTCCTACTTTGAAACCCACCCAAATATGAAGGATAGAAAGCCTGTTGACTTTTGCAGCTTGGCTCGCGCTTCAGCCATCAGTGCGTGACCTTTGGCCTCGGAGTCGCCCATTGCAGATCGATTTTGAGGGGACTAAATTTTGAGATCCAACACGGAAGAAGTCCTCAAACGTAGAACGTAAATACAACAAAAGGGGCGTGCCTGTGTGACTCAGAAGGTCTACAATTTGAATGCTCTGCGCGGGTATGGGGAATTATTTTCTGAACGGATTTTGCAATTTTTAGCTTACTCATTCTCATCTAAGAAAATCGTTTGATTTCCGTTCAGATTTCAACACCATAAAAAATCATTTTAATTCAAATATCATTACGATGTATTTTCAAAGTAAATGAACAAATTGCATGGTGTCAATTTAATTCTTTAATGTTATTGAAGTGACAAAACAGAGAGAAAATATTTTCGTGTAAAAAATATAAACAATTGTTTTTGCAATTTGCATAATGCACATTGAGTGCCTACGATTAGTCACTAGGACACGCAACGTGGCCAGTTGAGCTGGAAAGTACAATGAAATAATTTGACGCAGCATGTAAATCGTCTAATTTACGTGGTACAAATAAGCATGGCACAAAATATAAAAATAAATACGAAACCGCGAGATCTGAGTCAGAGTCATTATTCCAAAATTAAAAAAAGGATGAAAATTTTCAATTGAAAATAAAGACATAAAATTTAAATAGTGATAATGATAATAAAAAAATTAGCTTGTGGTAGAAAATATTCAATTCTTTATTTTTTAAAAAAAAAAAATTCTTTTTTTATTATTGTTGTTGTGTATTTGTCCACATTGCTAAAAATACTTATTGAAAATTTTATTTCATTCAAAGCATCCAAATCCAAAGTAACTTTTTCACTAAAAATTTCGAATTTTGAGCTTATTGGAAAAACAAAAATCTTCATATTATACTGCTTTGCTCATTATTTTTTCCTGCCTCTTTAAATGCCACATTTTATGACTTAAAAAAAAATAAGGCCGCCATGCCATATTATACAATGCTTGCATAATTTTTGCAAGAGAAATTTTCTCAAGGCTGTCTTTATGCAATTTTAATTAAAAAAATAAGCTCGTCAGAATTAAAAAAATATTGTTGGGAGTTTAAAATTTGATAAGCTTAAAAATGTTTGAAAAATACAAATAATAGAAAACTACGATCACCTATAAACTCTTCCAAAAAATTTTATTTTGCGCAGTTCATACTGTTACACACCCTTCCTCTAAAATATATATTGCACTCGGCTTCCTCGAATTTCTTTTAAAAAGCTTTAATTCAAAGCAGCTTTGTTCTTTGCAATATATGTTGCTAAATAAAAAATGCGTAGTGCGGAATGGGGGTGGACTGTGTATTGCAATAAGGAGTGTGCAAGACGATATTGATTGAATGGGCCTTGGCGTAACCCCAAGACCCACAAGAGGTTTCACCCCTGCGGTCCCTGGGGACGCCGACGGACGGCGGCAACGTACCCAAAGAGTTGTCCCAAGAAGCCATTGGAGCGGTTCAACTTCTTCTCGGCGTCCGAGATGAGTTGATAGGCCTTTTGCTCAGAGTCGCCCATGGTTTTTGGTGCTCAAGTGTTCGCCAGCCGATGGCCGCCTTGCTATCGATTAGGGTTGCGGGCTGTGCGCCTGCGCCACCCTCTGGATACATCGATCCTTCGGCCCACTTCCACGAGGGCTCTTGCACCCCCAACCCATCCTCACTCTGTTACCACTCCATCTCCCGGTGGCCTTGCAGATTTAATAATACTATTATGCCAAAATTTGCACCGCTCGCCACTTTTCGTTTTTTTTTTTTTATAATTGTAAAGGAGTGGAGGTTGGTTAAATCATAGGAAAATTTTCACATTAATTTAGTTATGGTTTAAGTTTTACAAATGAAATTTTCCCTGACTTATTATTTAATGTGTTAAACTACGAACCTACATCAATTTTATAATTTTTTATTTAGATATGTTTGTGGGAAAATAGCGCAATGAGCAAGCAAAATAAAAAACTGTATTCTGCACTTAGTACGTAGATAAATACATTTTATTCAATTTTAATTTTTTTCTCATTAACTTACATACTTATAATTCAATTCAAAAATATATAAAAGAATAACAAAGAAGCTTCCCTAGACATTTTATAATAAAATTAATTTGTAATGCTTTCAATTGATTTGAACAGTTTATACCCTGCATGGGCAGGAGCGGCCAGTAGCCGCTGAGGTTGAGTTCCTTGTAGGCCTCAGGTTTCCATACTGAATTCCCGAGCCGATTCGATCGGGGTCGAGTTCGCCAGATTCGATCTTTGTCACAATGGCCTTGGCGCATTTTGTGAACGCTTCGACCACATTTTGGCCGCTCTTGGCTGACGTTTCCAAAAACATCAGTTCTGAAGCAAAAGTTATCACACATAAAAATTAAAAAAAAAAGACATCAACATAAAAAGTCTTTAAGAAAAAAAAAGGCAATCGTATATCTATAATTGATAAGATTTGGGACCGCAAAATAATGGGGAGTGACTCATAAAAAAAGAGACCTTTGAGACACACGCAATATTTGTAATCTTTGTGGTAAAAAACGATTATCATTACTGTATTTGTCAACCTTTTAAATTAAGCAGTAAAAAAAAATCGGAGGTTTAAAAATGATTCTCACCATTCTCTTGCGCAAATCTGCTTGCCTCGAGGAATGTGACCTCCCTCTGTGCCTCCAGGTCACTTTTGTTGCCCACCAGGAGAACAACAATGGAGGGTGAGGCGAGCGACCTGGCGTCAGCTAGCCAATTTGCGAGGGCGTTGAACGAGTCCCGACGCGTCACATCATAGACCAGGAGGGCGCCGGCCGCACCTCGATAGTATGATCGGGTTACTGACTTGAAACGCTCTTGACCAGCAGTGTCCCAAATCTGCAGTTTCACCTGCTTTCCGGACACGGGCACAACCTTCGAGCCAAACTCAACGCCAATTGTGTGGGATGAGTCCTCTTTGACTAAATTTTTGAAACGCAAAATATGAAATTTTATTTCTGTGCAGCTCCAAAAGCCTTTTTTCAAAAACATAAATTTTTTAATGTAAAGAAATAACTTTCAGCTAGCGCGGTTTTAATTCCTCAAAATTTAATTATGATAATTACTTTAATGGAAAAAAATGTGCAATTGCTTTTTGCATAGTGTGCGTGCATCACTTTAATCATGCTTGAAAACGAATTTTTTCATTGGAGTATGAATTATATGAGTCAAGTATAGTCGCTATAATTAACAGTGCGGCACACTGGATTAAAAACAATGGAGTGCTAGTGCGAGGGAGGAAGAATAAGTGGGACGCTCACTTACATTTGGATTCGATGAACTGGTGGAGCAGACATGACTTTCCTGTGCCCGCAGAGCCGATCACCAGGAACTTAAAGAGGTAGTCTGCAAAGTCGGACATGATATTGGACGGTCCTCAATGGATTAAAACGCAAGACTCACCGTAGCTCTCAGACATCGCGGATCACATCTGGACAACAAGAATCTGTCATAAACAGCTGACAATCGTTGCCAATGCAACAAAATTCAAGTCGGTAAAATAAAAATTTTGAAAGACAAATCATAAAATTTGATGATAAAGAGATTTTTTTCATCAAATATGTTTAAAATTTTTAAATTATATGATCTCGCTAGTATAATTAACTTTTTGAGGGAGAAAAATATTGTGGTAATTTTGTAGCTTTGGTAATTGGTAATATCTAGAACGAAGCAGTTATATTGAGATAGTTATAACCGGTTTTGAGAGTATAAATCTTTTTCATTTTTCTTCCAAACTCAAATAATAATGAAGCCAAAGTTTGATTATTTGAATAAATTGGAACAATAATTTTTGAATTCATATTAAAAATATACACGGAATAAGTGAAAATACGCAAAAATATCAATAACTGTTTTCCACTTTTGGCTAGTACCGGTAAAATTTTAACACATGAACAAAACAAAACAAGGAAATTCAGTTTGAGCGGAATTACAATTTACGTACGGGACTCCTGCGTGTCTGCACAAGATTGGCCGTAGACTGTGCTAGTTTTACAACCAGCGGCCAAATATGAGGGCCACCGTTGCATTTTTCATCTTGTGCGTGGTCGTTTTGGCCTCTTTCGCGGCCGCGGACAGCAAAAAGAAACTGCAGATTGGCGTAAAAAAACGCGTTGAAGACTGCAAAATGCGAAGCCGCAAGGGCGACTTTCTTCACATGCATTACACGGTATGTATGTACATTACAAATAGTTATCATAAATCAATTTCGGCATACTTCCCTCTTTGAAGGTGGCAATTTTAATGATCATAGATATTATAAAATAATTGCTTTTCTTAGGGTAAACTCGAGGATGGAACGGAATTTGACTCAAGCATTCCTAGAGGTCAACTCTTCACATTCACTCTTGGATCAGGACAGGTCATCAAAGGATGGGATCAAGGACTCCTAGGGTTTGTGCATTTGTTGTTACAAAATATGCAAAATATATTTTAAATTATGAATTATTATTTAAAAAAGTGAAAATCCAAGAGATTTCATATAGTTGAAATTTGGCCCTTTTTTAAATTTCTATTTTCCATTTTTTTCTTAAAATATTTATTATTTTGGATGGAACTGGATTATACTATTTTTTTTTTACTTCTTTGCATACAGGATGTGTGAAGGTGAAAAGAGAAAGCTCGTGATTCCCTCGGACATGGGCTATGGTGATAGAGGGTCACCGCCAAAAATTCCTGGAGGAGCAACATTGATTTTTGATGTGGAGCTGGTAAAATTGGAACGCAAGGATGAGTTGTGAAGTTTTTTTAATAAAGTTTGATTTAAAAACAGCAAATGGATTTTCTCATTAATATACAAAGCTCTGATTGTGAGTCTGTAGTGTCTGTACTCTTTCACGCCCCTGGCTTAGCCAAATCAACAGCCAAATTAAAGAGACCCGCCCCTACAAAAAAAACATAACTTCCTGGTTTTGCCAACAGGCGGTACCCAGTTAAAAATTCTTTGAAAAGTTACCAATGTAACAAAATTCAGTATCATGAAAAAAAACTGTTTCCCTCATTACTGAGTACAATTTTATCGAAATGAGCATTGTAATGCAACAAAATGGCATAAAGGCGTCCATATTATATTGGTTTGCTTCAGCAATTCCTAATTTATTATATTTAAATTGCTAGGAAATTTGCTCATGTTGGCAGTGCAAAAGCCAGTTTGGCGCGTTGCTTGGCAAAATTCGTTGGTGTCCGGCAATTTTTATTGTAAAAGGTAAGTTTATTTTAAAATTACCTTCAATCCGCTTTGTAAATCGTTGACTGAAAATTCGGCGAAAATTTTTAAATTGTTTTTTGGTCGACTTTCTTTCAGTCGGCGACTTAAAATCGCTTTGTTTACGTCGGTACCCAGGAACCAACGCCTCCCTGCGTCATTGGAAAGCGTCCAAAACAAAACTCTCTCATCTACCACCCCGATTTTAGTACCGGCATACCGGTTGCTTAAACGGTTTTTCTACCGTTTCCTTTATTTTTTATTGACACTTCCAATCAAGAAACCGGTAGAATATTTAACCGGTTTGTCAAATTGGACTTTACGCTTTGTGCGTTTTTTCTCACACCCGACGCGTTATTAATGACCGTTGGCGTCCTTTTTCAATTTCAGCATGTCTTGGTCTGTGGGTGCGAACGTGCTTGTGGCCATCTCTGAACAGGATGACCTGGCTGCCGGCAAGGTGTTGCACGAGAATAAGAGCGGCACCGTGCGCATCCAGCTAAATGATGGCTCAAAAATCACCGTCGGACCCGACGAGGTCTTCGAAAACCCCAACAAGACCCCCAAGAGCCGTCAGCGTTCTCGCTCCCCCGCCCGCAAAAGCACTGGCAGCCGCGGCCGCAGTCCTGGACGTGGACGACCACCGAAGAGTGAAAAGAGTCCTGCTCGGGCCGCCTCTGCTGGTCGTAAGCGGTCAACCAGCAGGGGCCGCAAGCCTGCCACTACTCCTAAAACAAAGGAGGAGAAACCAGAAAAGGGTTAGCGAATTTTTGGCAAAGTATCAAATTTCACTTGTGTAGATACACTTCCATAGCCCGATATTTTTTTGCATTTTTTTAATTTGAAGCCAAACAGCATTATTGAAATATTTAAAACTTACTTTCAAAAATAATTAGGCAATAATATTTAAAGAAATGTAATAATTGGAAGCAAAATAACTATGCATGATAGAAAAATTATATAATGTAAAAATATATTAGAGGCTTTATTCTGAGGAAAATTTGTAATTACATACATAATTTTAGCCGTCTTGGTAGAAAACATTTTTTTGGATCACTTCACGAGCATAAATTCATTTGGGTCAGGTTGGTTGGGAAGCACAATTGTGCCAAGGGTGCTCGACTACGGCAAGAGACCGACCTAATAGCCTAATAAGCTCACGGGTGCCATAAGCAAAAAAAAATAAAAAAATAAATTCAGGTTTTACAAGAAACAAGTTAACCTTGATTGGATTGCTCACAATGTTTCTACATTTATTTACCTTTTTTTTTTAATTTAGTCTTTGAAGGTGCCAAACCCTGTAATAATAAACAGAACAAAAAGTTAAAATTCTACTTTCTACAGCCTCCACAGCCAAGAAAACAGCTGAAAAAAAGAAGCAGGAAGAGCCAACAGGTACCCCAACCATGACTCTGCGCGTCCGTCGTTGGAACAAGGATGAAAATATTGATTCTGACACTGACGAGACAACCAAGCCTAAGAAGAAGAATAAGGACGACAGCACTTCAAAACCGCAACTGGAGTGGGGTGGTACCATTGGCGTGGTTTTGATGTTTGCCGTCTTTGTCGGAGTCACCTTTGGCGCTCTTTTGATGATTCGATCGGTGAGTTAAAATTTGTGCAAGTAGAAGCGAGTTTGAGTAGCGTTGTTACAGGTGGCCGTGCCCCCAAAGGCCTCCTCAAATGTCACAGAGCCCCAGGTCTGAATCAGCCCGTTCGGGTGTAGATTTTAACTATAGTTGATTTTTTTTTTAATTTGGCTGTGGATAGTTCCAAACTTTTGTAAAGACCCCTGAAGGATTAAGTAGAACAATTACTGTTTTTAAGCAGCATGTTGATTTTTCTTCTCAGTATTTTGCATTAATTTGTTTTAATGTTGCATGAAGTTTATTTTTTTGTGATATTTCGCAGTTTTTTTGTTGTTTGAAGTTTACTAAATATTCACTGATTAATCTATGATTATCTCAACAGGGCTCATTCAATCTGCGTGGATTAGATTGGCGCAAACTGGTCGCTCAGTGGCCTAAGTGGGACTGGAATGCGGTCGGCCTGCTCTTAGGCTTCTGGGCCTTTGAGCTGTTGTTGGCTCTCCTGCCTGTTGGACCTATTGAAAATGCTCTGCCTGGATCCACCGGACCTCGTCAATATCGTCGTAATGGATTTCTGGCAGCTGTAGTCACCGTGTCTGGCATTCTTGGCCTTCGCCGCTATGGATATGCACTGACCAAAGCCCAGCTTTTGGCTTACTTGCCTGTATGGGCTGCTACTGGCACCATTGTTGGATTTATTCTTGCCATTTACTTCTGCTGGAAGGGTTATCGTGTACCTGTCTCTCAGCAAAACCCTGCCGTTGCCTCTGCAGGCAAGATCTACACTTTCTTTATTGGAAAGCAAATCAACCCTGTCATTAGAACTTTCCATGTGAAGATGTTCTTCTTCAAAGTAACCATTTTGTATTTTTTAATTATTTTTATTTAATAAATTGATTCTTCGTTAAGCTTGGACTGACCAGCCCTGTGGTTCTGGCCCTTTTGATTTATCTGAATTTTGAACCAACTGGCTACGCTCAACTAGTTTCCTTGGCTCTACCCTGCATATACTTGCTGGATGCTTTGCTCTTTGAGCAGACCTTCTTGACCTCTTTTGGTATTCAGACTGAAGGATTTGGATTTTTCTTCACATCGATGATTGGAATCTACCCTGCGCTTGCCATGGTTAATCCCCTCTATGTCATAACTGCTAAGTATGTTAATTAGTTAATTTTTTTTTCAAGATGATTTATTTAAATCCAATTTTTAGGGTTGAAATGCAGACATGGTGTGTTGTTTTCCATTGTCTCGTCTTCACTGTTGGCCTGCTGATCAACCGCCTGAGCTGCAACCAAAAGTACCGTTTCCGCAAGAATCCCATGGACCCTGCTGTTTCTCGTAAGTTTCGGAATGTTAATTAAAAGTGATTTATTTATTTATGATTTTTATTTTCCAGACTTGGAAACTCTGCCTACTGCCAGAGGCAAGAAGTTGTTGGTATCGGGATGGTGGGGACTTGTGCGTCATCCCAACTATTTTGGTGACATACTGATGCAAATGTCCTTTGGTCTTAATGCTGGATTTGGACATGCCCTGCCTTGGTTCTTGCCTGCTACCACCATCCTGATGTTTTTCCAGCGCGTTGGACAGGATCATCGTCACTGCCAGGCTAAGTATGGAGATGCGTGGTCGCGGTACTGCGAAAAGGTCAAGCAACGTGTGCTGCCAAAGATCTATTGATCTGTTTAGATCTCCCTTGAACTGAAAAGAAGAACAAACTGAATCTACAAGAAGTATTTTGGCCTCTCTACATTTTTGTATGTAAAACTATTTGTCTCGAGTACAAAAAACTATGCCTGTTTGGAAGCTCTGGTGGGTACCAGGCTTCCCATTGCTACATGAAGCCATTTTTTTACAGAACTTTTGTGTTTGTGTGACTATTTTTATAATGTAACTCTACGAGTATGAGAGATTTGATCGCAAAGCAATATGAAGGAGTGTTTGAATATTTGACTTTAAGTCTGGCAAATTTTGTCATGAAAATAAGCTTGTTTTTTTACGGTTTGTAAAAATGTCATAGACTTAACCTTACTGCATGCAGGCAGAACCAATATATTTACATTATTTGACCGAGATTATGGAATGGTTATGAACTTTCGGAACCAGGCTTTTTAACATTAAAACGATCTAAAGAATGTCAACCATTTTTATGTGCAGAGAATCATTTTAACTAATAAATGAGAGAATAATATAATACCATGGCGATTTTTTTTAAACTTTGTGTTAGCGTCATTATTATATAGGACTTCAGACTTCATTCATCATTGTATTCTTGGGATATCATTAAAATTGTCTACATCAAGAAGTATAAAATTTTATACTTCTTGGTCTACATTAATGCTTGATGTACATATATTTTAGTTCAGAGGATAAAAATGTCCTTTGATATAATAATAATATGTATTATCAGATTTATGACATAACGTCTAGAGTTTGCTTTCAGAAACAAAAGTCTGCTGTCTCAACAAAACAAATACATTAGAATAAAAATCTGGTTTTTATGCCCCTTGAGTAAAAAAAAAACACTTTTTCAAGAAACGGTTATGCTGGAAAATTCGCGCCAGTAGAATTATGTCTGTGTGACGTCACGTGACGTCACATTCTCAAAACTCGCGCGCTGCCGGGAGAGAAAGACGCGTCGTCGTCGCCTTCGAGGACCACCGCCGCACCGCCTTTGTTTTGTAACCCTAAAGAGGAGTCGAAAGCCGCCCCCGCCGACGATCTCACCTGCCTCAGGGTTCTACCTTTGCTATCGCACCTCTACCGAAGTGCCGAAGACCCAACGTTTGGAGGCCGCTGCAGACGGCCCTGACGCCGCTACTCCGCTGGATGGGCGGCCATTTTGAGCGACACTTGTAAATAAACGCCGCTATGACCGACGCCGAGGCGCCGCTTGCGCTGCTGCCGCCCCAGGCCGCCCCCGCGGAGGCCACTCCAGTACTCGCCCCTGCTGTTGAAAAAATCGCCCTGAAGCCGGAACCGGTGAAAATTGAACCGCCGCCGGTGAACGGGACCGAGACCAAGTCGGAGCCGCCCCCACCGGCCCCCGCAGATCCACCACCTCCAACAACTAACCACACTCCTAAGGTGGAGGCGGCAGCCCCCGAACCTGCACCTCCGAAGGAAAAAGAAACACCGCCACCTGCCCCTGTAAAGGAGACCAAGGAGAAAGAGCCCACCCCTGTTAAGGAACCAGCGCCGGCAGCTCCAAAGGAGCAACCGGCAAAGGAGCAATCTGCTAAGGAGCAATCTGCAAAGGAGCAATCTGTAAAGGAACAACCAGTAAAGGAGCAACCAGCTCCCAAGGTCAACCACAATAAGCGCAAACGAGAGGCCAAACCGGTCCCCGAGTCCACCCCTGGAGAACAGCGCTCCAAACGCAACCGCTTCCGGACCCAGCCCTATCAAGCACCACTTTCCACCGCCGACCTTGGCCTCAAACCAACCTCCACCAAGACTCGCGCAAAGAGTCCAGATGATAAGCTTGTTGTTTTCTTCAAGTAAGTCAAATTTTAGCCAGTTGCATAATTTTTTTAATAGACGAACATAAATTTACTCCAATCAAAACATGTATATAATTAATAAATTTTTAATTTCAGAAACGAATTCCTGGGCGTCCGAAATGCTGAAGGGGGATTCTATGTGTGCCAGGCCACACACAATATCACCAAGAAAAGCCATAAAATCCGCATTCGCTGGCTTAGCCAGGATAAGTCGGACACGGAAGTCTACTCACCAGATTTCTACGACAACACTGGTTTGTTTTCCAAACCTGAGCTTTGAAATAATATTAAAAAAAAAAAAATGTTTTGTTTTCACAGATTTTGACTGTATACTTACTAGCCTGAATTTGGACAGAGTTGACAAAAACAAGTATCGGTTGCCTAAAGATGAGCTGACAAGAATCAAGAGCATTCTGGATAGAGCACTGGCTGTCGAGAAAGGTTTGTTTTGATTGTTAATTTGACCTCGTTAATGAAATTTCCTGTTATTAGGGTCCGCTCGTCCTGAAGTAAACGAAAGCCATCCTGACGGCTTGGACCTAAGTTTGTTTAAAGACCAAGCGCAGCTCAAGAAAAAGCGCCGAAAAGAGCAGACAAGCAGCCCTAAAGCCAAGGGTCGGAAGAGTACGAGCAGCAGCAGTGGTAGTAGCAGTGAATCCGAGGAGTCGGAATCATCAGAAGACTCCTCGTCTGACGAAGAAGATCCTAAACCATCCAAGCAGACCAAAGCGGTCAGTTAATTAAACTTTATTTTTGTCCGTCTTATAATTTTTCTCTTATTGCAGCCTGTAAAAAAAGAGACGGCTGCTGAGTCTCGCGCTGCTAGAGCCGCTAAGCGGCAATCCTCGGAAGGGGAGCCTTCTCCGGCAGCCAAAAAACCCCGCCCTTCAACCTCTAAAGCAGCTGCTGCACCTGCCAAGAAGGAAGCCAAAGGTAATTAATATCTGAATTTTCTAACTTAATTACTCCACCAATCTATTCATATTAAATATGTGCAAATTGTTTTTTTTTACAATGAAACTAAATGTAACTTATGAAGTATTGGTAAGAGTAAATTTCTTCATAGGTTAAAAATTTAGATGCACAAAATATTTGAAGGGCCAATTACAATTTTAAATTGTGAAAAGTAAAATCAATATTGTTTTTTTCAGGCGCTGCAAGTAGAAGAGGAGGGAGGAAGAAATAAGTTGTACCTGTTGAACGAAGAATAAGAAGGACTTGTTGTGTCTCGTGGTAGTATGGGTGTGAATTTTAACTCTCGTTAGCGCGTAAGGGCACACCACACACATCGATGTATAACAGAATTAAAGAGGAGAGCAAGCGTCTTGTGTAACATAAAACTACACAACACGAAAATCACACTAAACATGAAGAGACGACACTATATGGAAAGAAAATGTTACATAAACACAAACACACACCAACCATCAACCCTCTCGCAATCGAGATTCACGAAATAAGTAAATAATTGAATTTATGAATTAACCATGTCAATCGGTATGTCTCTCGTTGTGGATGGATCAGCCAGACCAATACCTAACGTACGTTCAACCTTTACTGATCTTCATTTTTCGTGCTAAAATTCAATAAAGTTCTATTGAATGGGACAACACAAGTTCTTTATTTTGTTATTGATTGGTTACTCGCTGGTTGTCGGACCACTCGAATACAAACGGCACTCAAATTAGTCCAGCAATTCTTATTTACACTCAACTTGGTATGATTGAATTTAACTATATTCATTTTGTTTGGTTTTCTATGCGCAAATTTATTTACATTTTTTTACGTGTTTATTTTTCATACGGTCACTTGCAACTTTGCCATATTATTAATCGTTGCAATCGAGATCATTTTGACTTTATTTAGATTAAAACTACTTCGTCTGCTTCCTAAGTGCAATCAATTTACTTAATAATCTATATAAAATATCGTATTGTGAATTGAAAGTGAAAAATTATTGTCGAATCTAATCATTCAAAATGTTAAATTGTACTCAATTGTAATTAATAAGTTGGCATTGATACAGAGAAGTACCAATTTTCCATGCGTAAAATTAAGTTAATTTGCAACTCACCGGTGTCTAAATGAAAATTGTACGTATTTTGAATGCATCGTCATAATAAAATTAAGGCCCACTCAGGAACATCAATTTTGGTTTTGTGCTCTGTATTCAAAATTGAACCCATTCCTTCAAAATCATTGTCAAAATTAAAATGTACAAGAAATTAATTTGTAAGAAAACTTGAAATTAAACTAAATGATGCCATAAGTTGAATTAACACATTTTATTATAAAGTATGAAACACAAAGAGTGCATCCGTTAGGTTTGCAATCGATGAACACAGCGGAAGAAAAATATAAAATGCTTTTAAACCGTCTGAGAGTGCTCGTAATTAGAGTTTACTCATGATATATAATTTTGTCCTTCAAATCGTTTACCCACACGCGAGGTTTCTTCCTAGTGGATCGCATATATATGTAATAATATTTCCATAAAAAGCGTCGCCGCCGTTATCTGGCATTGGATTATAATGCAGCGAGTCAGAGAGGCGCGTGTAAATCCTAAATAATGAAATTTCTATTTGAGAGGTGAAAATATTTGCTCAGGGATCAGATCTTGCGATGGATGAATTTGTGTATATTGAAAGTGAGAGATGAATCATGCCATAAGCAAACAGAATTATCATTCATTCAATACACCGAAATCAATGACATAGTATTTTTGTATTGGAAGCAGGTCGAAGAGTTCAAACTTTTATATTACGTATTTTTTCTTCTTCCCAACATACAAATTAGCCCAACAACCAAGAATAGAAAAGTTATGTGATGAATTTATTTTGCTAAATATACGTTCACGTGCCGCGGCTAATGCCTTTAATTTAATAAGCGAGACGGGCATTATTCATGAAAACTGACATGACGACGACGACAGCAAGAATGAAAGACGAAAAATTCTCGCGGAATGACAAAAGGCAATTAAGTTCAAATTAACGGGTGTCGTCATCATTCACTCTGCTGCTGCATTTATTTTATTCTACGTCCTCTGAATAGGTGCTCGCGCACTTGAGCCGTTCATACTAGCACAGGTCGATACCTGAGTCATTGCAGGGAAGGGGATTCCTTGCGGTGACGTCAGCGAGCGCCGATAGCGATTGGCTGCGAGTGGCGAGAGCCGCAGCCAGTCTGTCTTTTTCTCGCGTACTCGCCACTCGTTCCCGCTCCTGATCTCCTCACTTTCAGGACTACAGACCGACCCTGCGGCTGCCCTTGGACCTAAACAGGTGAGACCTCTAACCATCCGAACGACCCAACCGGGGCGCCGGCCCAATCCAAAGGTGCAGGAATTCGTTTGAGGGGACGCTTGAGTAAACAAACTTTTCTAACAGGTTTCGGGCACTTTCTATTATTTTTTTCCGGATTTCAGCTTTTTCGGGTGGTTTGATTTTCAATTCTAGGGTGATCGCAGCTGGGGGAAAGGTGCCCGAACCCCAAAGTCTCGGGAGAAAGGCGCGGGAGCACGTAAATAATGTAAATGAGCCCATAGAATGACGTCACCTTTCTCTCGCTGGATGACTCACGCCACCATTATTATTATTATCACCGTGTTATCGCTCCTATACACTCTCCACGCTGCCCGCCGTACGCTCGCATTATTTTCCGAACATTCGAAACCAAGAACCAAGGGCACAATAAGTGTCGTTAAAGGAGGTGTCTTCCTCTTTCGGCTTTATTTCTTTTCTCAATCTTGGTCGCGGAGAGCGAGAGACGCGGTCAGCCTTGAGTGGCATTTATTTCTCTTCCGCGTGCGCTTCCGGTGCATGAATGGCCCATTGACAGTATTCAGCTGTTGCTCTCTCGCGGGCCAGATGCACCCCGGGGGTGAATCAACCCACCCCTCGCGAGTGACTCACGGTCAGGGTGACTCACGCCGAATCTGGAGGCGAAATTGCGCAACCCTCTCACTTCTCTCTCTCGTCGCTGACTCACAATGCCCATTATGTATCGCCCTCATGCTTGCTTTTGTTGTTAATGTGCGTAATTCATAATTCAGGGGTTTGTCAATCGCATACACCCCATTTTGCATCCCTCGTTAGTCATCCGTCGCGCACAGCGAAAGAGAATGACTCATTTGGCTTGAAATAGACCCAAGTGCGCAAAACGTAAAAGTTATAATATACGTGACTCTTTTCACCCTCCAACCGTTAATAATTTGCGTCCCTCGCGCGAACTCACGTGCCAACCGTGCCGTTTTCTTTTCCAAATCAAATTGACCTACATTTTCGTCCCGCCAAAAGTGCATTTCCCCCGCCGTGTTTTGCTATTTTGGGCTGATGATGCACCCCTGCTCCAGGCTCGTCCTGTGTGTCTCTTTCAAATTTACCCTTTTTTAGTGGTCTTCTGTTTTTATTTTTGCATTAATCTCATAAAGGCTTGCGGATAAAATTTTTTAAAGTAAAATAATGCTCCTGAACGCATCATTAATTACAGCCTGCATGTAAGATAAAACTCATTGATTAAAATGGAAAATAATATTCCATTAGCAATTTATTTTTTAATTTGTGTCAAATGAATAAATAATATAACCATAAACCATTATGTATACAGCTGTATAAAAATGAATCATTTTAAAGCTAATTAATAGGTAGCGAAAAAAAAACAGGCTTTGTTCTCTTAAAAAAATTGTTTTTTATTCGAAAAAACATTAAAACTGTTTTGAAAAGAAAAAAACAATTTTTGAAGCCTGCTTTCTTTGCTTCCTTGATCGTCAATTTCTTCACTAGTTATTATACGTCTCTGATAATTAAACCAATATTAACAATTGTCTGCATTATTTTACAAAAAAAAAAAAAAATACGTGAATACCACAGAAATAAACCGGCGGAAATAATTTTTTCCTCTTATTTATCGCGGAATTGTGCGTTTCCTATGAAAGACAAAAGTGAATCAATCCCACGTTGAGGCTCGTCGGAAATGTTGCCATTCCAAAATCATAGAGTCATACGCCGTTTTTTCTCTCTCGTCTGATTTACTTTTTCCTCAAGTCGCGTGGTTAGGCCTGCTTTTGTTAGCTCACACTCCTCGTACACCGACAGGAAAAAATAAAGTGAATCATGACCTTTGCTAACGCCAATGGAATATTAATTTTGGTGACGCTTGTCCTGTGACGACGGGAGCAAAAAATGTAAACTCCGTAACTCCGGTTTCAAGGTAGATCAGAAATGAGTGGAAAAAACGCTAAAGGAAAAAATATATTGAGTTTTTCCTCTTGTTTACGCTCATTTTAGTTGCATCAGCTGTGCACATAAATGCTTTTCAATTATTGCATTATATAGTGTTGTTATGCAAGAGTTAAAGGACATCCTATCTTATGAGTCTCTTCATGTCTTCATGAGCTTGGAAAATTAATTAATATCAAGCTTAATAATTGCATAAGTATTTGACAAAAATAAAAAGTAAATAAATTTTTATTAAAGTCAATCTGTTGATTTGATTAAACTTTTTAAATCCGTGGAAACTGGAAAACAACTGATTACTATTTTAAATCAAGAATTGTATTGAAATTAAAAAAAAAAATATCCCAATAATTTCATGTTGAATTTTAAAATTAAAAAAAAAAAATCGTTTGGCCGTTTCCCCAAAAGTCAACATCTTTGACTGCGATTGTGCGTTAATTTAGGTTGAAGGTTTCTTGAGAGAGGAGAACGCCAGTAAAGTTAACAACAACCAAGTGTGTTTGTACTTAAACGAAATTGGCATTCGAGCAAACAGTGAGATCATCCGATGATCGCAAGACCACAAATGCGATCATCAAGGGGAGCTGTAAACTCGTTCGTTGCGCGGCGCTCGATATCAAAACAGTTTGTTGGTGCTGCGGTGCAAACCCCCCTTGCATCAGATCGCTCTGTATGTTATGACTGCTTTCGCCAGAGATAAAGAAAAAAGAAATAAGCTTCTCCCTGCCGAAAGAAAGAGCACTGTTGAAATATATAAAAATATACGAGAGACGCTCTATTACCAGAGATTTAACAACATTATTTAGCACGGCGGCACTTTCCATTTCGATTCGAGCACGTGAGTCACCTCTTCGACGATGATTTTTGTTATTTGCGTTCGGCGAGTTGCGCTGTGAATTCATGCGGAGTGTTTTAATGATTACAATTCCCAAAGCCTGATCTCTCCCAATAACTACTTCTTTGAAAAATAAAAACAATTACAATCGTAGCCGCACTTGCTTTAAAAAATCCAATGGAATGGCCGAAATAAAAATTTTTATAATGGATTGAATGAACTAAAAAAAGGCAGCATAAAAAAAATTGGTAAAAAATATTGTGAAATTATTTAAATTTTTCTGTGTAAAAACGAACATTATTATTATAATATTTAATTATAAGTGAAGGAATCAAAATTAAGATTTTTTTACATAACTAAATATAAAGTTGCAAAAAAAAACTAGTTCATTCAACACAAAGTTCTGGAACGAAATTGTTTTCACTGGAGTTTATTTCACTCATATAGGGGTCTCATTTGAAATAAAATCGGTGCAGCTCCGCTCAGAGCAAAAAGCTTGACAATGCAGCCCTTCTCGATTTTTCGGGGGCACTGGGGGTTCGATAGGCCGAGATTAGAGTGTTTGCACCTGGTGTGCGGGCAGGCAGGCACAAAAGGTGGTGGAAGAATACATTGGAGCTGTAGTGATACCACGACGTGATGACGCAGTCTGCCGTGAATGCATGACTCACCGACTGAATTGCGGCAACGGGGGGAATTGGACTCGCCGCGCTAATAAGGTCGAAACACTTCCTGCCTCCGGAGGCCGCGCCAAGGCCCCCGAGTGCCCCCAAACCACCTGTCGACCCGGTCGCAAAGGTGGAAAATATTCTTGGCGTTTTAAGACCAAATTCGGATCGGTCGCTCGGGTTTTGCGCGTTCCGCCGACCTTTAAAGGTCACTTATCTTTCTCCTCAGGTGCGTTGAGGTGTATTGTGGAAGATCGAGTTTCTAAACGCGCACTGTGATGGACGAGTCTAGTTTCTCTTTGCAAATCTGCTCAATGATTTTCGCAAACTTGTTTTTCTTGCTTAGAAGACCGCAAACTCAATTTCGATTCCATTTTTTTTTTTTATAAAAAAAATATTTGAAATTAAAAAAATTATAAAAAAAACGGTCTAGACAGCCCAATGGTTTAAAATATTTATTTATATAATTTCTCTCTTGAACTATTTTTTTTCAACAAAGTGAAAATTTTGATTCACCGAATTCAAGTTGGAGCCTCTCCATTCAGCGAAATGTCACTTATTATGAATCAAGAGCCGGCAGTTCATTGTTCCTCACGGTCGCCGCGCAAAAATAAAGAACGGTAACCCAATTACAAGAGGAAAATAGCTGCAATTTTCTACGAATCGGAACAGTTCGCCTCGAGAGAGTGAGAGTTGCGCTCGAAAAAATCTCGGCGCGCTTCGTGAGAAGCGAATAATAAATTAGGCAATTATTTATTCACATTTATAATATAAATTTACAAATGTTGTGAATATTTAAACCGGTTTTGCATACAATAAGCATGCATTACGCGACTTTTGTTCCTTTTCCGCCGACACTATACTGTGTTTGAAATTTCTATGTGTGGAAGTTGAGTCACGTTTTGCGTCGCCCGACTACTTTGACAGAAAAGCTTATAGCATTTTAATGACAGAACTGGGGTGATGAGTTAGAAAGTTATTTATTCGCACGTGGACTACATGGAGAGTGCCTTTAATGAATATTAATGAGCAATAAATTAATGAATTTAACATGAAACCATTGAATACTGAAATTGGATATTCTTAATTATGTATGCTAACTGAAATTACCTCAGAATCAAATGAGTCACACTACAGAGAGAGGGAAACGTTTGTCACGTTAGCAATTCCAAGATAAATCCACAAAACGTGTGTTTATAGTTTATACTTAAATATTTTTGTGTGGAAAATATCTTAAAAATTGAAAATTTGAAAAGTAAATGGATCTCTTAAAATAAATTAAATAAATGTGTCATACAACTTTAGCAATTTTAGCAATTTTTGTGATTAGTCAATTTTTAGCTCCTAAGAGCTTGGGAAACCAAATAATCTTTACAAATTGTTTATAATGCGAAATTTGATAAAAGAACACCTGCTTCTATAAGGTTGATTTTTACCAATTTTTATTTATAGCTACTGAGGTTGTACTAAAATATTTTAAATAAGAGGTCACAAAAATAGATCTTAATAAACAATTTTTCTTTGGCTGAAATTTAAGTAAAGAAAAAAAAATTCAGAAAAAAATGAGCTTCAATCAAAGTAAAGCCTATTTTTTCAATTCCTGGCCAAAGTTTCAAGTCCCTTGACCGCGATCAATCTTATTTCCCTTTCCCCTTTTTAAAAACCAACATTATTTATCACTCGTCAAACACGGCCGCGCCATCAATCAAACGTTTGTCCTCAATTTGAATTTGCAAGTCTCGGAGTTAGACAGAGGCGGCGCAGAGAAAGGGTTGATCGACACCGGAGGCCTGGGGGCGGCGCGTTCGCGATAGTGGGAGCGGGCGGGAGGGCGAGAGAGAGACGGAGCTATTTGCGTGTCGGGTGAGTCATCGCGAGTGCCGCTTCCCCCCAGCGGCTGTCGTTTAAAGGCCTCGCACCAGAGTCAGTTTCTTTCTTGAGCGATGGAGTCTCCAAATAACCGAGCACCGATGTCTGTCCGCAGCTGAGCGATGACCTCGCTGGTGGCCATTCGCACAGAAGCCCCCCAGAGCCCCCCGCAGTCGGCCAAGCTGAGGTCCAGTCTGAGGCTGCCCCTGGCCCGCAGCGTGTCAGAGCCCGCGCCCCTCGACAAGCCGCAGCCCCTCAGCCCCAGGTAAATCATCATCACCTTTCATTCGCACTTTGTTTACCTCGTGCCGCTTGTTTGGGTTTTCTTATTTGGGTTTCGGAGCCTACTTAGTTTATAGAGTTGTTGAGCACTCGCACAAACACACCACTAGCAATTGTAGGTAATGAGATCAAAGCAGCTCCGTAGATTAGTCTTTGCAATGCACGTTCTTGTTTAAAATTTCTTTTTGTTCAGCCTAGATTTGATTATTATGATCTTTTGGCACCGCACTTCCATTGGCGTGAGAATAATTTTAATTTTATTTAATTCTTAATCATAAATTTTGATTATTTTTTATTTTCACCAACGATTTTTATTTTCTAATTTTATTTAATTACAATTATTATTGTTGTTTATTTATCCACCTTGTTACAAATACATTGATCACATTCAAATGTTGGAAACAATTTATTTAAATAAAAAAGGAATTATTGGGCAAAACGGCACCACCACGAGCAATATTTTTGCTAAAACTTCCGAGGTCAAAAAGACCCCATCCGCCACAGTTGATATATTTTGGAATTTATTTTCAAATTAAATTTTTTTATTATGAACCATGAAGCATTTATTTCGTATGCTAAACTTATGAACTTATAATGTATTTTTCAAGTATTTTAAAATTGTTAGTAATAAAATAGTGATTAATTATTATTATTATTATTATTAGTATAATTATATGAGAGGCCCGGAGTATATAACCGGACTATCAATAATTTTGAAGGTATTTAGACAAATTTGAAGAGTTGTGACCTCTCAAATCAATTTTTTTCACGGTCTTCCATCTCATTGAATCATTGTTTAATCTTATCACGCACCGGCCGCATCGTCATTTGATATCTCTTTCTTAAAAATTACAAATTTTTTCCCGAAGCTAATGAAAACACTGTTATTGACAATATTTTTGTTGTTGCCAGTCTTTAAAACTAATTATGTCAACCGCAGATACAATCTCTCGTCACAAATGAGCTCTTTAAGCAAGTGCCAAATTTGCGTCGCGCGCGTGCTCGTGTCTTGAGTTAAAAGAAATGCGCCCTCGACTCGAAATCCCATTGAAGTAGTTTCAAGTTCCTTGTTAAAAAAAAAGACCCGGAGATAAGATGCTGAATAATTTCGCGCTATTTTAAGAAAAGTTCAAAGGAGCGTGATTTTGCGACCAATGCTACAAGAAAAAGATAAGCTCTATTTGAAAAGTCAGATCGATTCTTGCGCGAGACCAAGCGCTGCTCGAGTGTCCTGTTTTATCGGAGCTATCAGATGCGGACAAATCTGTCGTGCGCTGGCCGTACTTGATCTCGCGTGCAGTATTGCAACTTTGGGATTGCGACCAATTGCGCAAAAGTCTGCAGGGTGAATCATGGGAAACTTGCTATTTGAAATGTATAGGATCGTAAAATGTGCTTAAATTAGACCAAAAATTTCTTCGAGAAAAAATAGGGCAAATTCGCATGAGATAATATTATGTAATAAAGAAGTGTTTTGATCACTTGTTTATGCCAATTAAAATGGGAAAAAATTTGAACGTTCTAAATATTTTCGATTGTAAAATTTTAGGTAATTTAGTTTCAAGAAAATATAATGTTTATTCGGTTTGATTTATTTCATGCCAAGCCACTTGCCCAAAGTAAAACATTTTTGAGCAGCTGCCTCTCCTAATTCTCCTTGGTCAGAGCCGCTCCGTGAGAGTTTGGCCTTTAGAAAGAGGGTGATCGGTTGTTATTTTCGTGTTGCTGATGTGGTATTGCCTTTTCGCGGCGATGAATCACGATTGAATTTGCCACACACACACAACTCGCCGCTCTGGCCGAGCGCAAACAGGTCCTTTCTTTATTTACATCGCGCTTAATTAAGTACATTTGAATCCGCGTGCACTTGCACATTTTAATTTGTAATTGTCGCCTCGGTGCGTCGCAGTTTGTTTCTTTATTGTTGTCCTGCCGTTGCAGCGCCCGCGTGACTAATGCGCCGATTGCGCAAACACCCTCGCGATGATTCAGAAAACGCCTTTTTTCAGGCATTATTCATCACTGCTGTCTTTCGCACATACTTGACTCAAAATCGCCCATTTTTCATACATGACTTCACTCGTTTCCAATTCGTCACACTCGCAAATTTGTCGATAGGCGTATTATATAGACGAGGCTTATAAGGAAGATTTACAAACATTTAGTCACTGACGCTGATAATTTCGTCTGCCGCAATTGGTCCATTACAATTATGCGCGCGGTGATTCACAAAAGTGGACTTCTTCACATTTAGCCTTCTTGGCAGCGCGGCCAGCGAATAATTTAGCCGACCGACCGGCGGGCAGTGATTCAAAAACTTTGAACATTTCATTTGCCAAGATCGAGTTTTAAAAATATCACGCCCTTTGCTAAATCATCTTCGGAGACTTCTGACTGAATGTATTTTGCTTTCAGTCTCCCCTACATATTCTGCAACTCGCACAGGAACATTTACGCAACTCGCAATTTTATTCGCTGCAGCAGTTGCAAAACGTAAACATGCAAATTTAATCGCACACGCATTAGCAATATGTAATACTGTCGCTGATGAACTCGAAGGCCGCTTCAATTTATTTTCTGCATCCGAACGAACGCGTAATCGAATGCGACAAGCACATTGATCACAATTCTCATGAGCAGCAGACACAGACGACCCAATTGAATGTTGAATTATTTTCAATTAAAATTATCATCGGTTTAAGTCTGAAGGGAAATTCGTGAGTTAATTAGACTTAAAAATTGCGCAGCTTTAAAACAATCGACAATTACACAATGGAAAATAAATAAAATTTGAAAAGATTTCTATATCCATAAATATTTTATATTGCAAAATTGTTCAAGATTAACCAGAATTTATGCATCAACTTAAATGTTATTTACAAAATATAAATTGTGTTCTTGTGGGTTCAGATCTTTTATCAGTTGTGGAAATTTAATTCAAACGTAATTTTTGACCAGCCATAACTGGCAAAATTTGGAGCAACTGACTGAATCAGCATGCAACTGACTTTTCTTCTTATCTGTGCGTAATCTGCCAGGCTATTTTTAATGTCGCAACGAAAACGATGGCGAAAGTCTTATAATTGAGGGGCACTTCGCGAGAGGTCGCTTTCGATTATCTTCTCAGCAACCGATACAAAAAAACACTTATCTGCTCACTCTTTTTTTCTATCGCTGCGATAAAGCTGAAGTCGGTTGAAATATAAAATCAGCGAACGCATCAATAGAACTATTGTCCTCTAACCTCGACCATGATGCTTTGTTGCAGCATCTTCAAAAGCCCTCTGCTGGCGCCGTCGACGTCGTCGCCGGAGGTGAAGCGCTGCAGGCTGGAGCCGCAGTCGCTGCCCACCTCGCCGTGCTGCGACTCATCCACGCTGCACCGTTCCATGGTGCTGCGGAAGGTTCGCGCCCTCGACTGCGCTTCCCTGGCGCGCAGTCTCACCTCCAGTGGCCCCAACGGCCTCCTCCTCATAGACATCAGGCCCTTCCTGGCCTTCAACCTCAGTCACATTGCCGGCTCCTACAACATCAACTGTCAGGTAAAAGGAAATCTTAATTGTGAATCAAAATGGCAACAAATTTATTTATTTGACTTAGTTATCAATTTTAAGTTTTCAAAAGTACTTTTAATTAAGATTCATTCTTTCAATTGATTTTTTTTTTTTAAATTTAACTTCAACTTTTAGAGACCCTCACAGTTTAAATTGACTAAAGCAACCAATATTTAACTAAACATTCAATCCTCAGGACCGTTTCAACCGTAAAAAGCTACTGACCAAGAGAGTCCACCTGAGCGACCTTGCTTCCTCAAAAGAGGCAAGAGAGGCCCTTCGCAAACGTCAGTACAGGGAGATTGTTGTCTACGACCAGGGCACTGTCGAGTTAGACAAGCTGGCGCCTGGACACCCTCTCTTTTTGGCCTTGGCCTCGCTGGTGGAGGAGAACCGAGAGCCCGCTGTTCTAATTGGTAATTATTTTAATGATTTCTTTATTTTTATGACGTTAGACTTCATTGAAGATAATTAAATTCTAATTTATTATCATGGAAGTGGGACTATAGATTAAATATATGAACAGTTTAATTTTAATGCACTTAAGTAATCGTGATTTAAAATTTATAAATCTTGTTTTTGATATGAATTGTTCAAAACTGCTTGGGTAATGAAATTATCTTAAATTATTATCAATCAATCAGTTGCTAACAAATATAATCAAAAGACAATTTTATTCATTTTATTTTAACATTATATCTCATTTTCACACTTGATTTTCCAGGCGGCCACTCGGAGTTCCAGCGCCAATTTCGCGAGCACTGCGAAACCACTCTTTTGCACTCGGCACCGGAAGAACCACCTTGTTTGGATCTCCACGCGCACCCTGCGTCCAGAATCCTACCCCACCTGTACCTGGGCAACGCTAGCGATGCCCGCAACCGAGAGCTGCTGACCAATTTGGGCATCTCACGCATCTTGGCCGTGACGGCTGATGAGGAGTCACTGGTGCAGCCTGGTCTCGAAACCAAAACCATCGCGGCCATCGACAACTGCAACCAGAACATGAAGCAGTATTTCGAAGAAGCCTTCAGCTTTATCGGTGAGTCACAGGCTTAATTTAAAACCATACACACATGCAACTGTTTACGTTGCATAGACTAGTGAAGAAGTTGGGAAATTATCTATATTTCTTTCGTCGAAATAAGAAGCGGGCCTATTTTTTGTGTATCACCGTGACACTTAAATGGCCCTTTTGATAAAGGAAATTATCAGTAAGCTCTAAAGCAATCACACCTGACGTAGCGGGCGCTTGATAACAATATCGTCCGAGTGCATAAAGATTCAATATTTGATTAGTTTCAAAGTTTCGTAAAAAAAATGAAGTAATATATATAAATACCTAGTAGAAATTTCTAAAATATAGACTATATTGTTTTGATTTTGTTTTTACATAATTTATTTATTTAATTGTTTGGAATTTGATTGTTTTTGTTGATTAAACTTATATCTTATACCCAACAATCATTTAATATTTTCATTTTTGACTGAACAATTCTCTGAAGGGGCTAAGTACCATCTCAAAAAACTATGTATGATACGATAATGCAATTTTTAGTAAAGACGTCTAAATAATTATATAATTGAAATGGATCAGAGTAGTACTGATAACATGGAACTTAAAGAACTTTAAAAATTTAAGTATCATTATTATTAAGTATTAAATTGCAATTTTTCATCTTTTTGGAATTTTGATTTTGATTTTTTATTAATTTCAATAACCTTCCTTGCAGAGTCTGCTCGTGTTGATGGGGGCCGTGTTCTCCTGCACTGTCAGGCAGGCGTTTCGCGTTCGCCGACCATCGCCATCGCCTACCTGATGCGTCTGGAGCGCGTGACCATGTGCGAGGCGTACCGCCGCGTCAAGGCCATCCGGCCGATAATCTCGCCCAACCTCAACTTTGTCGGTCAACTCATGGAGCTGGAGGCCAGTTTGCAAGACCCCAGCTGGAGCGAAAAGCAGTCAGAGGTGGCCCCCGCCCCCGGGGGTGGCATCAGCTAGCGCTAAGACTGTCAGCAAAGCGCCTAGTCTGTGCATCTAGTCCCACTCAATGGACTGAACGGCGCTCGACGCCAACCCTTGCGGACTGCACGTTTGTGCGTCGACGTCACGGCGCACACGCAGTGATTCTGCCGCTAACAAAAGTGGACACGGACTTAAGAATTTGCAGTCCGCAGGCCTGGTGTCCGCGTCAATTTAATTAAGCGCAAGAAAGTGAATGATGATTGAGCTGTTTGAGCGCTCTCAGCGCCATCTTAATTCGTTTATGCGGGTGATTTGCATATCAGGTTGGGCGGAACTGCACTTGCCAAGCATCCCACCAATCTGTCTGGCGGTGCCAAAAATGTTTCGCCCCAGGAGCTTTATCATATTATAATGTGGCGTTGGCCGGAATATTTAAATTATATAGATGATGTGTATTAACAGTTTTAATAATAATTAAATAATTATATATATTTTTGAAGCAGACCTGCCTCCAGATGGTGCTGGGCGCGTATAAGTGGTTTATTAATCAATGTGAGAATTGAGGATTGTAAACAATGATGATTTAATTATTATAATTACTATTACTGCTGCTGAGTATAAATGTGAAATGTGAGCTATTTGACGAGAACACTATTATATAAAAATAATAATAATACACTCGTATAATGATGAAAACACTCCTAAGATGTTTTACTGTGTTTGCCTACCTATCAACAAACGCTGGACGGGAAAACCAGAGATAATTCTGTTTAAGGAGTTGTAATTTTTTTTCTTAATTGGCCTTGATAACGAATTTGTTTGATTGAGAAATTGAGAACGATAAGAAGGAAAAAAGGTCCCGACTGGAGATTATGCAATGACACGCAGTTTGTTATTGGATTAATGTTATTTTGGTTTCCATCAATGATTAACACAGCCATATCAGGAGACAGATAGGAACTTTTTAATAAGAGATTTGTTTGCTTAATGTGTCATTTTAGTTCAATTTCATAGCAAAAACTAGGCTAAAATTTAATTAGTGCGTGTAGTTGGTAAATTTTGAACGTGGTAAGGTTAGGGCTTGAAACGAATTTTGGTTATTTGATCGCTATTTGTCATTTTTGGGATGCTCAAACGGCGTGGTATCAAAAATATCAAAAGACCTAAAGATTAAAAGAAATGGCTAAAAGGACAATAATTAATGACTGAGAATAATTGATAAACCACGTACTCAAAGTCTTGTCGTAGGTATGCTATTACAAGCAGTAGATAAAAGGAAATGAAATATTCAAGAAGTGTTCGCACGTTACGTAACTAAAGCGAATTCTTGCTCGGTCGTTTGAATAGACGAAGCGCGGGCAGGTCTCATGAATGGGCAGCCGCCGTCAGCGACGCAGTAGGTGGGTTATAGAAGGACACGTGGATATTTGCAGAAGGACGACTGTTTGCTGAGAAATTTCTGTGCTGGCATTGTAAGGGCCTGTGATTACGTGCTCATCCGCGGCTCTTTGCGCGCGGCTCATTTCCTGCGTGCCGAGGAAAATAATTCAAGGAAAGCCCCTCGGCATATTAAAAAGCATCTCTCGAGCCGGCTCATTAAAAAGGCGGGCTTTTTGTGTGCCACTACTCACTGCGCCCGAGGCCGCGTTTTAATTAAAACCACCGCACCCAGCAAGGTCCACGCCTGGGGCCAAATAGACCCCAAGAAAGGAAGCAACGGACGGACGCCTGAGACCTGATTAAGTCGCAAAAGAAAGACGAAGAAATGAAGAAATCTGCCTGTAATGTGATTTAGCTCTTCTGGAAATTAAAATGGTTCAGATTTGGAGATCTAGAAATTATTCAACCAGCAAAGATAAATCTAATAAAAGAAAATGAACTTGTATGAAAGACCATCAATACTTATTAATTAAAACTTAAAACCAATTAAAACAAAGTTATTCTGTTCTCTGGAATCAAGCATATAAAAAGATTAATTTTTTAGGATAAATTATACGCAGACGATTTTTTTTACTTATTTGAGTGTTGAATTTAAATTTAGGTCCATATATTTGATTATTTCACGAAAATGTGAATAATATCTGACCTTTCTGAAGAAATTAAAAAAAGGACCTTTGTTTCACCATCCTCTCAAACTACTACAGCTATATAAGATCCACTTGAATTATCATGAAGGTGGTGAGTTGATGATTGAAGAATTAGATCTAGTGACAAAAAATAATATATTTTATTACGATTGTTCAGAAGAAATAATATGTGAAAAAAACCCATTAAATTGATAAATTAGATATTTGAGTCTTTTTGAGGAAAAAGGATAATATATAAAAATAAATAAAACAATAAGAATATAAACTTTAATTATTGTTATAATTTATAAAAAAAAATCCAGGCATGAATTTCTGGAATTTTGAAATATTTTATTTTCTTCATTGCCGGCAAAAAGGTGAGCCGTGTTTTGGGAGTGCTCTTATATTAAACACGAAATTACAGTGCATTACTGCCACCGCCTGTAGTGGCAGACCGCTGTGCTTCCCGCAGCATCCCTCGCATGGATGCTCTCTTGCTTTCTCCGTCCCCCACCAGCGAGTTTGCGCATTTCCGCAAATCACATTTGCCGTCAAATTCGCCTTTTTGCGGGCCGAAAACTCAAATTTGCGGGTCGCCACTTTTGATTTTGGCGGGCTGTACGGGGGCACGCGGGCGCCTCGGGGTCTCCGGGCTGCCAAGTGGCTCGGATAACCAAATAACAATCGGCATGCGCGAGAAATCTGCTTTTCCAGTTGGTCCACCCTCTTGAAAGGGAATCGATATTTTCCGGGCTTTGTCAACGGCGGATCCCAATTTGCATTTCTCGTGTGCCGTCTCTGCTGCTACGACCCTCACAGTGAGTTTGTTTTGGCCTCTCTCCACGGCCACTCTGCCCGACCCAGCATCCGCGGCCGACGGCCGCACCGCTCGTCGAGCGAGTAAAACACCCCCTCGGGGGTGGCCGGGGCTTTTGCTCTTCGTTTCCTCGCGCAATAATTCTCTCATTTCCCCCAATCTCTCTCTCTCTCTCCGCCTCGATCCGTTCGTTATAAACACGCACTAATTTTCCTAATTGCCTTCTTACCGGGGCGGATTTGCGTATTTCCAGCCCCTTTGTCACGCTCAGAAGGAGCCAATTTCCGCGTCTCGACGAGGTTTGTTTCTCTGCGAGGCAGGGAAAATCTGGTTTGTAGCAATTTTATCCACTTCTTAAAATACACCCTCTTGACTCTTTCTTTGATCATAATTCAAGGACGCGTCTTGAGATTTTATCCCGCTCCTACTCTAGAGGATAATTAACACGTAAAATTGTTAAATGGGAATTAAGTCAATGTTTGCAGGGGCAGGCGTTAGTTTGGGCGGAGCTGCTATAAAGCTCTAGTTTTGCAAACACGGTTGGTTAAAGGGCGTGCAATTTCTCGCGCTCTGCAAAGGTTGTCGACGACGATAATTAACAATGTCTTAATGACATTATTTTAGTGTGTTAGAAGGGATCAGTTAAAAAAAATCCACCCGACTCAAGAGGATTTTTAAAATATTCCTTTCGCCGTCCCGATCCCGCAGCTGTTCAAAACGTTATTCTAGGACCATTCAGATCCTTGCAGAAGGGCCAAAAATTCTTGTCAAACGACTTTTTAATTTAATTTCTTAAAAACACGAGAGAATTAGGAGTTGGAAAATAGTTTCAAAAACGAAATTTCATTTGCCTAGCAACGTTTCTAAAGTAAAGATAAGTAAAATTAATATAACTTAAGCAAAAAGATTTGAGAAAATTTTATTTATTTTTTTTTAAATTCTCGGAAGAAAAAGAATTGTTCCATGATTATCCAGCAAATCCCTAGAAATGAGACTTGCTCCTTTATGTTTTTCAGACTTTTATTAAATTAAAAACATTATTGACCAAAAAATTTATAAAATAGCGTTTTTGTTTTGGAATTTTCATTATTTTTATTATTATTATTTTTTGTAAGGAAACAAAGTCGTGAGCAAGCAAAACAAAAGTTTCATACGCAAACAACATTTTGTCCTTGCTGAGCTCCTCTCTATCCACCTCTCATCATTTCAAAGTTTTGAAACTTTCCCTCAGCAAACACTCCATGCTAATCTCTGATTATCTTTTGAAAGTGGCACACTGCTGCACTGCCATCTCTCTGTAAACCAGATTTCCCTCGTGCACGCTGAACCACACATCGCGCGCACCAAGTTATTTATTATTTGTGACTAGTTTTGTCCCGTATTTGTGTTGCAGGCTCTCGCGAGTGAGAATGAGTTGCCTAGCTGTGTATTTATTCTGTGAAAAGCGGGCTCAAGTTTTGCGTTGGAGGAGGGCAAAAACAGTCGCAGCAGCCGAGCAAACAAAACAAGCAGCGAGCGCCTGCAGGCCGAGCGCTTAGGCAATCCGCTGGTCACGGGCGTCGCGCAGATTGCATGCCGTGTCATGTTTCAGGGGTTCGCGCGTCGCACACAATGCAATTCGCAATCGATTTTCGCAGTCTGGTTTCTGATTTCTGATCCCTCAAAGCTGCTCCTTTTGTTCTTTTAAGCGAAAATCGATAAGGGTGGGGACGCAATTTTCACTCAACTTTTGACATTTCCATTAACGCGCGTGGAAAATGTTTGCAAGCTGGCCGAAGGATGAGCGAAATAATTTACAACTTCATTAATTTTGAATGGCACCAAATCTGACTTATATACAGCCTTTCACATAAAAAAATCCATTCTAGTCTCATTCTTGCGCCAAAACTTTTTTATTGCGTTATTTTTAGTTGGAGCTTATAAGAGTTAGACAAATGTAAATGCAGTTTTTTAGATTTTCCCACTTTTGGATCTGAAGGCTTCTTTGCCATTTCTAACCTTCATTTTTGTTACAATAATATCTATTTAAAAACAAAAATAAGATTTACATTACTTGCCATTTTCGGAAATATTACAATTAAATTAAAATGTAAACATATCTAATTTTGTTTTGTTATTCATCTGGATAGTATATGATCCTGCCAAGCTCCATTCGGGCTTCTCGGCTGGAAAGCCTACCAAATTAGCCAGATGCCGCTGGACTTTATGAAATTCCCCCATTTGGTGCAGGAATTCCCACAACTTGAAGAAACGGCACAAACCTCGAGCAGGCAAGTTCGGCGCCTTGCGGCACCTCCCGAACATTGAGCACTTTTTGACGCGCTAACAACATCAAAGCATTGATCTCTGTACCTTCGTATTGGTAGCCTAACAAAAATACCAATACGCCACCCACGCCGGTTGCAATTTGAAACTTTGGCGGAGTGTGTTAAATATTTCAAACGATTTAACACTGATATTTTTAGGACGTAAAAGTTTGTTTGTACTGAACAGCTACTAATTTTATAATCAACTCTTGAGGAATATTTTGAGATGTTCTTTTCGAGGAGGATGAGCACAAAATGTAGGCTAGAGAAATTAATTGGAAAAGCTCAAGCCACGTCGTCGCCGTCGACAAGAGTTGGTTTTTCCTGACCTAAAAACAAGCGAAACAGTCCTTTGAAGCATAAGAAAGCAGGGTCGCGAGATGGAGACTAGGACGGACTGCAATTAATTCCGCAGATGGAAATTAAGAAGCATATGTGGGTCTAGACCGGTTCTCGGCTCTCATCTGCATAATCTACGCTGGAGTGGGTGGCCGCGCCGCTTTGTCACAAAAGCAAGTCGGTGTTTTGTCGCACACAGTGAAAAAGAGAGAGAGAGAGCGACGGCTGACCATCCATTGTTGCTGTGGAGCCGCAACAAGTTGGGCTTTTTGCAGCGTTTCCCATTCAAAAGCCCATTCATATTCGACGAGTTTTGCTTGCCCGAGTGCGAATTTCGAAAGCGGAAACTGCCGCTTTGAGCACTTAATTGGGCGCGGCACGCGAGCCTTTGTGCTCGCTGGATTAGTTTGATAGTTCAAAGGGCGGCTAAGCACTCGGTCGTTCTTGGAGAGCAAACAAGGCGTGCGAAATTTTCACGACGAATTTAATCTTTGAGAAGTCCCGAGGAGCTGTTGATATTGACACATTCAAAATAAAACTCAAAAGAAACACGACACGATTTTTTTTAAGCTCTGAAAGGGGTGATTGAGTTTTTTTAAATGAAAATTGAAATTAAAAGTTCAGGGAAAATGCAAATTTTCTTCAGATTCTCATGTATTTTGTCGGGAAAAATTTTGAAAATTTTAGGGTTCTATTAAGCAAAAATTGACGTAGGTTTGAATTCTGAATTCCCCGAAAGAGCAATGAAAATTATTTGTGGTATTTTTTACTGAACTTAAAATTACTGATCTACAAAAGTACCTTTCCAGACCTTTCAGTTATTCACCATTTATATTCAAATTTCACATTGGTGATGAATATGAGATTGATACATCTTTTTCTTAATCAGTAAGAAGTCAGAAATTATTTCTTAAGTTTTAAAAATCATCATAGGTAATTTAAGTCTCCAAAAGTAGACTCTATAATTTACTTTCATTTTTTTTTTTTGAAGGAAAGGAATTGATTAAAATTATTTTCTACAGATGATCGGGGGCTAACCAGCGCCCAGGATGGCGGAGAACGCGACAGAGGCGGCCACTCTGGCGCCGCCGGCGCCGTACTCGGTGGCCGAGACGGTGCTGATTGCGGTGATGGCAGGATCGTTGAGCATGATCACCGTCGCCGGCAACATCATGGTGATTCTGTCCTTCAAGATCGACAAGCAACTGCAGACCATCTCCAACTACTTTCTGCTCTCGCTGGCCATCGCCGACGTCTTCATCGGCTCCGTCTCAATGCCCCTTTACACGATTTACTTGCTGCTCGGCTACTGGCCTTTCGGGCCCAACGTCTGCGACGTGTGGCTCGCTCTTGATTACCTTGCTTCCAACGCCAGCGTGCTCAACCTTCTTATAATCTCATTTGACAGGTGAAGAAAGAAATTATTAGAAAAAAGGAAACCATCGAAGAAAAATTCAGACATCCTTGATTCAGACCTTTTATTTCATCATAAACAAGAAATTTACGTTTCAAAATAATTTCATTCATTTTTTTAGATTATTTTTGAATCTTAAATAATTTCTCACCTTCTTTATTCAATGATTTCATGTGTCAAATTTGAGTTGCAACTGAAAAATTAATTTCCTTTTAAGATATTTCTCGGTAACTCGTCCTCTAACCTATCGAGCAAAGAGGACGACGACAAAGGCAGCAGTGATGATTAGCTCCGCATGGGGAATTTCTCTACTGCTGTGGCCGCCGTGGATTTTCTCCTGGCCGTACATCGAAGGCAAACGCACAGTTCCCGACACCGCCTGCTACATTCAGTTCATCGAAACGAACCACTACATTACTTTTGGTGATACAATTGAATTTTTAAGCTTTTGAATTTGTTTAATATATTAATTATTTAAAAATAGGTACTGCAATCGCGGCGTTTTACGTGCCGGTCACGGTAATGATAATTCTTTATTGGCGAATTTGGCGGGAAACGGAGAAAAGGAAGAAAGATTTGCCAAATCTGCAGGCCGGAAAGAAAGAGTGCTCAAAGCGCTCCAACTCGAGTGACGAGGCCATGGACCTCGAGGACTGGAAAAGGACTCGCAGCGAGTCCAGTACTGGGCCTGACGAAGTCGACTCTCAGAGCTTTATAGCGGTCCCATATCGCACGGTAAAAAAATTTAGAAATTATTAATTGGATATAAAATTTAAATTTAATATTTAAATGCCCAAATATTTGGGTTGAAAAAGTCAGAAAATATGACGAGTTACATTAAAATGAAATGGTTCAGAAGCTTTTCAATTATTTTAAACTTTTGTAAAATTTATCAAAGGAAAAAGAAAAATTATAGCTTCTCAAGAAAATTATTCCTGAATAGCTTATATTTTTAGTGTAGCGTTTATGAAAAACAAACCAAAATTTGCAGTGTGCGGTGCACGGGCCGACGGTGAACCAGCAGTACCACGCGCCGTGTTCGCCATCGTGGATCCGCTACAAGTGCGACCTGCTGGCGTCGTACTTGCGCTGCTGCTTCGCCCGAACCTTGGGCGGCGGCGAGGCGCAGCAGGCGCCGCAGCACCGATTTTGGCGGCGCCGCCAGCATGACTTGGACACGATGAGCGAGGCGGGCTACAACACCTCGGTGTCGATGGAGACGAGCGTACCTAGCAGCGTGTCGCGTTGCACCTCTCTAAACATGATCAAAGACCAGTACGCGGTCAACCCAACCGCCAGGCTTGCACACTACGATCCTAAACAGTAAGTTTTTATATAAATAATAGTTTTAAGTTTTATACTATTATCTACTGACAGTTTTATTAAAAATATAACTTACTATTTATAATGTTTTACATAAGTTAAAATTTATTTGGTAATAATTTTAATTTTGAAATAACAAAATAATGTAATAATTTTTTAGAATTAAATATATATAGTGTGCATATCCTAAAATACAAAAATTGACAGATTTATTGCCGCATGAAAATCTTCAGAGAAAATTGAGTTTGGCTTTGTCGTGAAGCTTTACTTTAAATTGAGATTTTAAATATGAGGATTGCGGAAAAGAATAGTAATTATCAAATCAATAAATTATTTTGAATAATATTTAGGGCCTAGATAATTATGATGGTTTGGAATTTTAATTATTTATTTTATTTATTTCAATTTATATATATATAGAAATATTTTCAAATTTTGTCTTTTTTATCAACTACAAGCAAAGCGAGCTAGTTTTTTTTTGCCCTTAAAACAAGGACTGACAATTCTTGATTATACTTATTAAAAAAGTCTGACACTAATCAGTTTTTAATTGACATTATGAAATTCTTGACCTTTGTAGAGGCAGATAACTTTTATTTCAATTTAAAAAATTTTGGGCTAGATCAAAAAATAATATAATGAATTGAATTTAAATAAATTATTTGAGATCTGCAGTTTTCAATTAGATTTAACTGATCACATTTTAACAAATTTTCAGGGTGACAAGTGGGGCTCGCACGCTGACGCGGTCCGTGTCCACCGAGTCGGTGTACACGATTCTAATACGACTGCCCTCGGAGAACGAAAAGTCCGAGTTGGCGTCGATCAAAATGCTGCCGGCGCTGGACACTGGTTATCCAGACGCGAATCTGCGTCGCCACTCGTCGGACGTACGCATCCCGTTGAACGCCAAAATCATCCCAAAGCAGCTGATCAAGTCCAACTTCCCGCTGAAGAAAAAAAAGAAGAAGTCGAGTGAGAAGAAGGCGGACAAGAAGGCGGCCAAGACGTTGTCCGCCATCCTATCCGTGTTCATCATCTCGTGGCTGCCGTACAACGTGTTGGTGCTGCTCAAGCCGCTGACCTCGTGCGAGGACTGCATCAGCCAGGGCGTGTGGGACTTCTTCTACTTTTTCTGCTACATCAACTCGACCATCAACCCCTTCTGCTACGCCCTGTGCAACGAGACCTTCCGCAAGACCTACATCAAGATCATCAAGTGCAAGTGGCAGTCGCGCAACCGGGCTGCCCTCAACCGCGGATATTACAACTGACCGAGACAATAAAAATAAAAAGCCAAACCACACTTTACATTTTTTACGGACCCTGATCGACCCGACACTCGGCTTTTTTCAGCCCCTGAATAACGCGATTTTCCGGCCTGATTCGAGAATGGAGGACGAAAAACGAATATAAATAGAGTATAAGGATTTTTGTCCAACGCGCTTTTCTGCGTTAGATCGGTGTTTGTATCAAACCTCATTATTATACTTCCCATTAAAGAGAAATCTGTGTACTACTAACGTCAAATTTTAGACAAAATTAACTATGAAACGAATCTCGTGCCAAATATTTGAACAGGTCAAAGTTGCGTTCTTGCGGTATTTGAAATTTCCGGCGTGGATAAAACTTCCGGCTTCCTCTTCTGGGTGGAGAGCAAGGGTGCATTATTAAAATGGATCTGAATGTTTAACCAAATTCCAAAAATTTAAAAGGGCTTGGGACAATAACTTTTTAATAATAAAATTTGATCTCCCATTTCAAAATTATATTAAATTTCAGTTTAAGAGAATTTTGTATATGTTTTTTCTCGTGATTTTCTCCCCCGTCGCAGGCATATAGATTTGAAATTCCAATTTAATTACTGATTTTGGGAGATGCTGATAGACGTGTACTTTTTTCTCATCTCAAAAGAGGAGGTTAAGAGTTTATTCTCGTCTCAAAAGTTACAATTTGTAATTTTGAAAAAGTAAAAAAATTTATTTGAATTTTTAATTAATTATAATGCAATGAGTGTCGGGCCGCCGAGGCAGGGGTGCTGTATTAACGAACCAACGGCCACGCTGCTCAACGACCCTCGGTGTGTTCTCTTTCATATCCCCGCCCGACACAATTGAGAACTGCTGCAGGCAATTGTGCGAATCAGTGTTTGGATGTTTGTATTCTACCTAACGAGCTGTGTTTATTGATTAATATTAAATATACACACATATGAAAACCCCGAAATTGGCTTTCTCTCTTCGTGCCATTAACCTTATGTCACGACCCGCCGTCGAAAAAGGAAATAAAAACATCGCCCGAGGTGTACGAAAATTGGATATTGACTTTGATGTTAAAAGCGCGCACAAACGTTTACATTCGCAACGGTAAATATAGGCAACCGGTGGAACATGAAAGCAGCGCTGGTGCCTGATGCCTGAGCCCGCAGGCAAAAAAGCGACGAACTGCGATAATTCAAACAGAGTGGCGTAATTTCCAGCAAAAATAAGAGCACAGTTGGTTAAAATTGAATTTTTCTCCTTTGAAATTGAAATACAACTGACATTAAAATCTAAAAAAAAAAAATTAAAACATATCATATTTATATAATCTTGAGGCGATAATAAATTTTTTTAATCTTTCATTAAGATATAATTTATTTTTTCAATTTTTATTTTTAGTGAATTCAGATGATGCTCAAAATTTTGTTTCACCAGCTGATATTTGTGTGCAGCAAAGACTTGTAATCACGCTCACGTGGCCAGAGTGCCGGCGCACTATTTCCGTGCCTGTTCCCAAAATAGCAACCCCGAACAAAACACTCGGCCGCCCCCCAGATCTCTCGACGTCCGAAGCAGATCTTCGCCATGAGCGCCTCCACACCGTTTTCGTTCTTGTCATTCCAGGAACAGGTGCACAATGCGCTGAACGAGGCCGACGAGGCCGAATTCGGCCTCCTCCAGGACAACGAGCAGCGGATTTGCTACGTGGCTAAACTGCTGGACGCGAAAGGGCTGCAGCCGAACTATCGGCATGGCGGCGCCGAGAAAAATAGCGAATTGGCCCTTGAAAGACGCAACGAGGGCAACAAAGCGTTCCAAAAGGGAGATTTTAACACTGCCCAGCAAGTTTACACGATGAGCTTGCTTGCGGCTAACGATCCAGGCAAGTAATACTCTTTTTGTGTGCAGGTATTTTTTTTATAATAATTGAAATGATCAGTGACAATTTGAACTTATTTTTCCTCTAAATTATAAAAATGGAGACTATAAATGATATATAATTGTAATAGTACAAAATAAAAATTAATTAAAACAATGCATTTCCTTTTTTTCAAATTTTGTTGTCGTTGTACTGACGCTGGCATTATTAACCATTATTAATAACAGAACAATAAATTTTAATTTATAATTTTTTCTAAATATATAAGAGGCTGCTTGTCTGGCTTTGGCGAACAGATCTGCAGCCCTTTACAACATGAAGCAATACAAATTTGCACTGAAAGACATTGATGAGCTTTACACGATTGGTGCATATCCCAAACATCTCCTACACAAAGTAGCAGAGAGGAGAGCTCGTTGTTTCTTGGCCTTGGAACAACGAGTAAGTGCTAGAAATGCATTTAGGTAAGGATAAGATAAATAAAAAGGATAATTTTAAATTACTTATTAATACTTTATTATAAAACATAAAATTTCTTCTACATATATGTATTTCAATTTCATTTATAAAACAGTTTGTAATATATAAATTTATAAATAATTATTTCAAAGTTATTTTGTATTCGGTAAAAAAAATTGAAATTTTAAACGATTTTAAATCCATTTAGATTTAAATTATTAGTTATTATTTATAATATAAAAAACAAAAAATCATCAACATTAGACTTCAGTTGCATTAGATGTATGCATACAAAATTTAAATCACTCATTCTTTACATTCTATGATATAAAATCGAAGTATTTTTTTAAACTAGAAACACAATAACCGCATTGGACGACGCGAAACTCGACCAGGACCGAAAAACGAAACTCCGGATGGACGTGCAAATCATGCTGGTGATGCTGGAAAAAGGTGTCTTGGTTGATGCACCTTTGCCTTTGGAGGAGACGGTCAAGCCACCCTCGCTCTCCGGCGGCGTCAACCCCAACTTCTCGTGTGCCAGCGACTCACTGCGGTTTGAATGGGCCGGACCCACGGAGGGCCGTATGGGCCGCTGCAGGTCGGCCATCCGCACGGGTGATACCGTGCTGGTCGAAACGCCGATCGTGTCCGCCCTGCTGCACGAACGGCGCCACACGCACTGTTGGCACTGCCTGGAGCGCCTTGCAACGGCGCTGCCCTGTCCCACGTGCGTCGAGGTCGCCTTCTGCGGCACCAAGTGCAGAGACGCGGCCCTCAAGACCCATCACAAGTGGGAATGTGACTTTCTGCCGACGCTGCGAGAGTCCAAGGCGTCAGTCACTTGTTTACTGGCGCTCAGACTGGCAAGTCAAACCAGTATCCAAAAACTCAGGGTAATTACAAAAAAACTCATGCTTACTTTTGATGGAAGAAATTTTAGTAAAATTCCAAAATAATTGCTTATTAATTTCAATTTTTAAAGATTCATATTTGTTAACTCACCAAGAAAAGAGATTGTGTTCATGAAAAAAGACTTTCCTCGTTTTTCTTTCTTGTAAATTATCATTTAAAAATGTGAATTTTCATCGGTTGGCTGCAGGAGTGTGTGGAAGCGGCCGAAAAAAGGGACGTGCGGGTCATAGGCGACGAAAAGTACGATTCTCGCGACTTGTCCAACTTTTTCACCCTGGTGAGCCACACGGAACGACGCTCGCCGCGCGATCTGCTCCAGCGTTCTTTGATGGCGCACTTTTTGCTCGGCGGCCTTTCAAAGGGTGGATACTTTGGCGAAAAAAGTGCCCTCGGCGCAGAACTCGGCGCCGATCAGGCTCTGGTCGGTGGAGCGTTGCTGCAGGCGCTGCAAATTACGCAGTTCAATAGCCACGAAGTTTCAGAACTTGTTTCACGCAACAACGATGCAGGTAGGAAATACACAATAAATAAAATTATATTTAAGTACGTTTTACAAGAATAAATTAAATACATACATTAAAATTTTCAAAATAAGCATGGCGTTTCCATTTTAAATTTTATCTAATTAATTATTAAATCAGATTTTCAAACAATTTTTAAATTGTCTTACTTATTAAAAATTAAATTGCGGTGCAAAGTTGTAGATTAATCATTGTTGTTTGGGCTTAAATAATTTCAAACAATTTCACATCAAGATTTTTAAAATAATCCCTTTACAACACAAAGTCCTAAATTGAATGATGCCTTATTATTGTACGCTCCATTTTTGCTCTGAATATTGTGTGACAGTGAAATAAAAATTTAGGATTTTTTTTTCGCAGAGCCAAAATCGTTGTTCATCGGAGGTGCCGTGTATCCGACCCTGGCCCTTTTGAACCACTCGTGCAACCCGAGCGTGATGCGCTACCACGCTCCTGGCGGCGTGGTCGTCGTCCGCGCCGTGCGTCCTATCCAGCCGGGCGAGGATGTGTCCGAGAACTACGGCCCTCTGTGGACTCGGGAGTCCCGCGACGTCAGGAGGCAGCGATTGCGGGACCAGTACTGGTTTGATTGTGCTTGCGAGGCGTGCGACGCAGAGTGGCCCCTGTTTGACGAAATCCCTGACGACGCCATCAGGCTCCGGTGCGGGGGGTGCGGGGCGGCCGTCAAGTTTGGTGAGGAGCAAATCGCGGCCACTTGTCTCGTTTGCGGACACAAGACCAGTGTGCTCGCCTCGTTGGCCGGCGTCGCCGACACGGAACGGAAAATGGAGGTTGGTCATTTTCTTTTTACCACATTTATGCAAATTTATGGTAATAATTATAAAATTCCATTAGAAAAATAATATAATTGCTGTTAAAGTTTTTGCACTTAACATTATGAATAAAAATTTTTTTTCCTGATACTGTGATTATACTATAAAATAAGGTTATTTTCATTGCCTAAAAAATGCTACGAAAATGACATTTTATTTACATTTTTTCACTTCAGTTGGCTAAGATGAGAGCACTAGATTCGTCTGTTGAAGCGCTGGATATGTTCATACAAATCCTTGAAGCCTACAACAAGTTTTTGGCACCGCCACCGTGTAAGGACTTTGTTTTATGTCAGCAGGCTGTAAGAAAATGCCTGCTTCAGCACGGCAACTGGTTCCAGGGCTAATACCTTTTACACTACTTTTATATAAGTCAAAAATAAAATTTGTATCAGTGACTGACAACTAAAAACTTATCAGCTTCTTAAACCAATCCCACTGAATTTATTTGATCACTATTGACAGCTAATAAATATTTCTCAACTTTTTTACACCAGTTTTGTCTCAAATATCTCGTGTCTCGAAACGCAATTCTACGTAAAGGCGATTAGTCAAAAGTTACTAATCTAACTAATAAATTGCTAGTTTTTTTTTATTCATAGCGGCCTAAAAATAATTATCTCACAAATATAAGCCTCACTTTTTCCGCAAGAGGATTAAATAATTATGTAAATTGATGATATTTCAAAATTAGTGATGAATTTGATGGGCTGCTGGTTGTCTAAAAGGTTGTATTCCGGAGACGTTGTACATCCACTCCAGGTAAGGGGCCACTTTGGTGAAACCGACCGGGAATCCTTTGATGCACGAATCTGTGTCCAGAAAAGAGAAAATAGCCATGACCTGCAAAGTGCCGTCCTCTAGCTGCTTTACAAGGGGCCCTCCGGCATCTCCCTAATTCATTTGAAATAAATATTATTTATTAATTTTTCCACTTCTGAAATTTTTGTCTCACATAGCACGGTCCTCTTCCTCCAGTGGTGCTAACGCACGCTTTCTTGGGAGTCATCCACCCCGCACCATATCTAGTTTCACACACAGACGTGGCTGCCACTTCATTGAAGGAATACATCAAAACGTCGTTCATCTTGTTTGCACCTAATTTTATTTTTAGCATCACTTAATTTGATTAAAGTTAATTACAAACCTTGCCTAATAAATCCCCATCCGGGAACAACACCTGCGTTCCCAGGAGTGAAATCTAATTCCTGGTCTGTAGAAAGCCCAATAAAGTTGATGTAAGCTACAAAATATATTTCCTTAATATTTCATTAATATTCTGAAAAGGAAATTACGTGATAAGGTAACTGGTCTTGCCAAATGTACTAAAGCAATGTCATCGTCGTAAAAAACGTCATTGTAACCGTCGGGAACAAAGAATACGTCTCCGTATAATTTAACCCTTCCGAACTCAGTGGGTGCAGAAATATTGTGGGCGCCGAGCCAAATCGTCAAACTTGTGGATCTGATTAAGAAGGTTTTAAGAAAATAATTTCATTATATTGATTTTTTTTCTTTTTAAAGATTGAAATCTTGAAATTATGATTGAGAAAAATAGTATCTAATTAAATTATGGCTTTAAGATAAATGTTGCGTGAATTATGCTTGGATTTCTTATTTTAACGCAACTCAACGCAGCATTTTGAATTTCATGCTATTAATTATTTTGTGACAAATCAACTATTCCATTTGGAAAAGTCTCCCAAATTTTATCATTTTTTGACAAATATAAAACACACTAAACAATATATTTAATATAAAACAAAGTAAATTTATTGAAACTATAGCAAAAAAATTAATCTCCCCATGAATCATAAGCCATAAAAAGTTCCGCTGTTTGAAAAATGCAGAATTACATAACGATCAATAAAATAATATGTAATATTTTATGTAATAATTAGCTTATAATATTATTATACTATTATATTTAATTTAAAAGGCAATAAATCTTTGTAAATATTGCATAGTTCAAGTCTTTCACATTAACTCCCCCCCCCCCCCCCCCCCAATGCGCGGATCTCTTTTAGCTTTTTATGAAACCATACCTCATAAAATTATAGTTTAAAAAAAACTTTCCTATTTTTGAAAACAAAAGCACAAAATATTTCAAAACGAAATAGACATACATTTTTTCAAAGACACTGACACACTAAATATAATGGAAATAACAATATTTTTCATTTCATCATAATAATTATCTTCTTATATTTTTAATTTCAACCCTTACCCAACAACACACTGAGCTGCGGTCAGGACGTAATCACGTGAAATTAGGGCGCCTCCGCAGTACGAAAACACTTGGCCTTTCCAAAACGCCTCAACAAGGCTCATCCACGGGAACAGCTTGCTGGTCGCCACATTACCACCGACTATGTGTTCCTCCGGGTTTTCCGAAATCTATAATTCATTTTCTAGTGATTTCATTTTATATAAATTAAGCAAAATCTCACAGTGAAGCAAAAGCAAGAAACCAAAATCGCACACAGCAGTAGACACTTCATTATCGACGCTTGCTCGAGATGCACTGCCGGTTTGATTGATTGATTGGCCAATTTCACTTGGCATGAAAGGCGATAGAATCTGACGCCGAGCCACCGGCTCCTTTCATGATTTTAATCTCAATTGTATTCACTTATCTAAAATAACGAGCTTCTTGAATATTGTAAATAATATATGTTCTCGCTTCTGTTGTTTTGAGTGTGAAAATCTTTGATAGCGGTTTTTAGCAAAAGTTTCAATTAAAAATAATACAAGATTTTGATGGCAAGGACTTGAAACTAGATTAAGCACTTACAAGAAGCTTTTGATAAGCATTATGCGTGCCAATTTTCGACATCAATTGATAACTTTATATGAAGCTGTATTGAAAACAAAAATGACACACGTCAATACGTCAGACACGTCAGTGTGATTTTTTCATCATTAAATTAGGTTTGATTTTTATGGCGTTCTTTAATTAATGACTAGAAAAATTATTTGATTAATTTTTGCATTTATTTTTCTTAATCTGCTGTTGATATAAACTATTTTCCATTCACGATTCCATTGATCCAATCGACGTATTGGCCCACTCTGGTGAATCCAACCGCGAATCCATTCAGGCAGCCCAGCTTGTCCAAAAAGGAAAAGATTCCGATTATGGTTTTGTCACTTTCACGTATTAAAGCGCTCCCTGCATCGCCCTAATTAATAATTTAAATATTAAATTTTTCCTGACTCTCGTAGAATAAACAGTAATAATTTTCTCACGTAGCAAGGTCCTGCTTGATTTGCAGTTTCAACACAAAGTTTTGCAGCACTCATCCAGTTGACGCCGTAATGAGCTTCGCATTCCACTTTACTAACAACCGTGTTTCTCGAAAATCGTAGTATGGAGGTCAAAGAGTTGATGCCTGATTTTCTTTTTAAATTAAATTTATAATTAATTATCACACCAAACTACCATCACTAGAACCCCATCCGGCGAAAACACCCTCTGCGCCCAGAAAATCGCTGCCAACATCTCCGCCAGTGGGAAGATTGGCGACATCAATATACGCTACATATTAATGTAATTTATTTTATCATTTTATATTTGTTTTGTTAATTTCTAACTATTAATTGTGACTTGTCTGGGCAGGGTGATTACGGCGATGTCATTGTCGTAGTAATTAGTGCTGAATTCAGGGTGGATTGTGAAATCTGTGGTTTCCATGATGACTCTGTTGGGCTCGTTGGTGGCAGAAACGTTGTGAGCTCCCAAGTAAACGCGAACGATTTGAGCCCTGCAATAAATTAACCACTGCTGTTTTACATCCACCGAAAAGACTCTTAAATGTGGAGGTCTACAAAATCTCTCTTGCTAATAGAAAAATTAAAAATTAAATAATACTTGCAATAAAAAAAAATACTTGCAATAGAAAACATATTTGAAATGATTTGAAAGATAACAATATCGATTTGAATTAAATAAATAAATTAAATTCTCAAAATTTATTCAGTCATAGCTTTGGGAAAGTTTCTTTGAAATTTAAAGTTGATAAATTTGTATTTAAAATTTCTCACTGATATATAATTTCAAAAACAAGCATTTTTTTTTATCTATATCAGCAGAAGAGATAATAATGAAGTGTACCCCTCAAAGCATTGGGCCGCTGTCAGAACGTGGCGGTCAGAAATCAGGGTGCCGCCGCACCCATACACAACCTGGCCATTTGCAAAACCTTCGGCATAGATCTGCCATGGGTAAGCTCCGGGAGTGGCTTCTTGTCCGCCTACAACCCGACTGCCAATGGAGACAGATTGCGCCTAGAAGACAAGCGATGACGTTTTCATGTGATTGACATTACCTTTCACACTGATAAGAAAAGTCATTGCCAAAACATTACCAATTGCGCCCAAAACAAAAGCACTGATGCTAACTCGAGGCGTCTCATCGTTGAGGTTGTTGGAATTTTTTCTTCGCACTGATGGTCTCAAGTTTTTTACTGTAAGGCGAGTGTTGTGATTAGATAGCGGCGTACACGTACGGAATCTCGTGATTTTAAGATTGCAATTGCAACCCAAACAAAAAAATAATTAATATCAAAAGAGTATAAGGAAGATTATCCTAGAAAGACAATTTTTGTTAATTGAGGAAGTTTTTTATTTGACTGATATTACATGTTATGACAAAAGATAATGAGATACCATTACACATTATAGAGTACATGAATAAATAAAAGTGGTGAGATTATAGAGAAAATCAGTAATTGCAGATTGGTGGATCAAAATTAATTTCTGGCCTCCTTAACTTAAATGTATGGTTACAAAAATTCATGATCGGATCCACCAGCAGAAAAAAACTAAATGCTAATCAGAATTGCTTGGAATTAAGTTTGCACTAACAAAGAATAAATTCTAGTCTACTAGGGAGGTTTTATGACTAAAAACAGCAAAATAGGAAGAGATTTATTTCAATGAGCGATATGTTCGATTATCAGGAAATCAAAGCAAATCGCTACATTATGTAACAAGCTGGGAGAAGTTGATCTGCTTAAGTTTAAACACTTGTCAAAAAATAAGACAAAAATCAAAGTACACGTAAAAAGACAAATCATCATAATATTTTATGTATTATCAAAAATAAAACAATAAGCTTTGATCAGGAGATTTTTCGAAAATGGAATTATGGAAGTTTTGTTCGGAGCAATAACTTAAAGACAAATCACAGTGGATTTGATCCAAATCAAATTTACAAAATTTGGCTCTGATTTTGTTCAGAATCAGGTAATTATATTGTCCAATGACCTTTCAAAAGATTTAAAAGATTCCTTCTCAGAAGAATTGAACGTGCTTCATACACCAAGAAGCCTCACAATCAACACAATTATTTGAAATATTCAAATCGACTTGATTGCATTTTGTTAACATCTACAATCTGCTAAATGAAGCTTAAACATTATTTATAAATATATTATGAGAATAATTTATATTTTGTTGCGCCTTATTTATTCTTAGGCTGTGGACTGAATAATAATTGGCCTCCCCCCGATTGATTCAAAATATTCTTCCTTCCGGATTGAAGTGAGCAAAAGGACTTTTGTTGTAATATTATTAATTAACAATATATTGATTGGTGGTGAGGTTTGTGATGGCTTTTCAGGAGAGTATCTAGTATAGTTTATTTTCGTCGAGTTACGCACCCTTCGAAGCACTGCTATTGCGACTAGATATCAAGTGATCCAAATGCGTGCGTGCAATGGCCCTTTCACAAATCCCAAACACGTCAGGCCCGAAACACACAAACATGCAGTATTACAAAACTGGACCCAAATTGGTCTCAGTCTCACAGACAGACTTTCTCGTATGTGAGCCAATCAGGTTTCAGGTTCCCTTTTTTCCTCAGAGCAAAAATTAACCATCAACTTAGAAATTTCAAGACACAATCTTTGCAAATGTATTGAAGTGCAAAAACCAATTGAAAAAATTTACCGCTCTTTCGACTCTTTGGCACTGCTTATTATAATTATTAACAAACTCCATACTTTAGATGTGGGTCTGTCGGGGCTGGTGGAACTTGAGAAGCTCGGAAGTTGTGATGGCAACGCAGACTGTACCTTTGCCCTCCAGCACATCAGCAGAGGAACACATCAAATTCTAGAAGAATAAGCAAATTTTACATTTAAGATTATCTCTTAATAAAAATAAAAAAATATTAATGGATATCCGAGCAAGGCTTGCGATATTGTACAATAAAATAATTGCAAATGTTTGGTATATTTATCATTGGGATATTTATTTGGTAATAACTGAAAATCAGGCATAAATTAGATTACTAAATATGCTACATTTTAAGTAAAGTTATAATGATCATACAATTTAATAACCAGGCCAAATTGGCATTGATTTCATCAAAACAAAAAATATTCGTAACAGATTGCAGAGCGTCTTTTGCCAAACTCAGTACCAATCAAATAAATGAAATAAATATATTCACAAAAATCAAGTCTTTTTTCACACTTTCTTACAGCACATTTTTATAGTTTCTGAAGCCCATCATATCAGATTAGAGGAGATCAGAATAATTTTATATGGAATTTTGTTCAAAGCAGATATTTTTGTCTTGTAACTTATTTAAAGGAATGCAACTTAAAAATGCAAGGAGCCCTTCTAATTCAAACATCTTGAACTAAAGGGCAAGGAAAAGAAATAAAAAATGGCTTCAAATATTTCACATGAAATCAAAATATAATCAAAATCTATCAACAAACAGGGGGAAATGATATGATATATATAATTATTGTATAATATAATATGATGTTTAAATTTACATTTAGCTTTTCCTCAATGGTTTTTTGAGTCGTTTATTGGTTCGTAGAAGAAAAAAAACAGTATCCTGCTTTTATATGAAACAATTAAAAACTAAAAAAAACCATTGAGGAAAAGCCATATTTAAATTCAAACACTATGAATCAACCTTCAATTGTGAAATTCTTCTACAAAATTAAATATTGTTAAGTTTACAACTTTCTGATCACCTCGTATGTTTCTGTATTTGGTTTCTAATTATCTACAGGAAGATTAAGCATTTGAGTAATCACCAGGCCAGCAATGAATTCGTAGTACAGATGAGCCTATTTGAAAGTTTTGGCTGTAGTAGTAAATACTGATGGCCTTTCTTTGGATGCACAACCTGGTTGCGTTGGTTCGCTAGTAATTTATAGGCAGCCGATTTGTTTGAGGATACACAAAAGATGGCCACATAATGCTTTGATTGATTTTTTTGACAAGACTAGACGCGCAGTTCTTATTTTTAACTATCTAAACTGATTCAATCGATCCACAACTGAATCAAGTGCTGAATAATTAATGGTCGTTTTAATTATAAATATTATGTGATATTATGCATGCGTTAGTACATATTTGTCATCAAATATTTTGTATTATTACAAAATACGGAATTAAACTTTAGCTCCAAAGGGCAAGTCCAAAATTATTGCCGATTTCTGCGTGTCTCAAAAATATTTTACAAAATACTCGCTACCAGCTACACTGTTGATAACAATGTTGTGATTGAATAGTTTTTACAATTGTCGGCTATTTTCATTGTTTCTTTTCACAATTTATGCAGAAGATAAGGCTTTTTCAAAATATTACACTTTGAGTAAAGATAAGCGTGTCTTTGACTGCAAGTCTCCACAAGACAGTCGTTGAAAAAAAACTAAGCTGGTTGAACTTTGTCCCTAGCTGAAGCATTTTTTAAACAAGATTTTGAGCAAACTGATGTCCAAAAAATCTTTTACAAAACTTTGGACAAAAATCAGCATTTAATTACAAACACGACATTGCTCCAAAGTTAGAAAAAGTCTTAGTCGAGTTGCTTCGTTCGAAAGCTGTAGAATTTCTTTAAATTTTGCTAAATGCCAATTCATTTAATTAAGTAGCAACCGACAAAATGTTGGGCTTTGGGACTCGAGTATAAATAAATTAAATGCACATAAGTAGAAATGTTCAATGGTGAGATCTGCATAAAAAGCAGTGGCTTTAAGTAACTTGGCTGCCTTGTTGTTTCAAAAAAGACAAAATAAGTCTTTCAGTAGTATGCGTATTTTTCAGACTAGCAAATTGCTTTGAAGAATTCACTTAGCTTTTGACAAGATTGCATCTATAAAAGAATCAGATTTTAAAAAAAATGGCAGATTTCATAACAAAAGGAAAAGCATTGGGTCAGAATAACAGTGACTCTTCCTGAGGCAGGAAGTAAGTCAGAACAAGGCCAGCAATAAAGGTGGCTGACAATAAAATGCTGGCCAACTGACTCGAGCAGGCCCTTTCGATATCAAAGCTCTCATCTTCGTAAGAATCCACCAAATCAAACTCTGTTATATCCGTAATTGTCTCTTCAACCTCTTCATAGATGAGGCCAAGGCCATTGCCATTGCCACGGTACTTGTTATGGTTCTGGTCGGCCACTTCCAGGAGGTGGTGCACCACCTCGGCCAAACGGGGGCAGGTCCGGCGGTCCAGCACCCACTCTGACTGAGCTAGCGCCTGCGAGAGTTGGTCCACACTCGCCTGCAACAAAGTTACTACAGTCAGACCCGCTTTGCCGGACCTGCCCCCAAGAACAAAATTGCACACTTTTGACCTACACTTTTCTTAAAGAAATTTGTACAATTTTTTATAGCCTTGCTCGGAACGAATACAAAATTGGCACTAAATTTTATGATTTATGTGCATCATTTGTACGTTATTTAATATGAAAACGGTACTCACCTCAGGAACTCCAATGCGCCGACAAGCCTCAAGGAAGTTTTCAACATTTTTTCTACATCGTGCCATTGGAAGTTTGGGCTGTAAATAAAGTTTCGGATTTAAAAATTCAGCAAAAGGTGTTAAATTGACCATAAATTTTTATATATTTAACTTTTTATTGCAATGTTATATAATATGAGCTCTTACCATGCCAGGGGAGGGTACATGCACACTTGCAACCGCTCTAGGTCGTACATGATTAGCCAGGTGGCAAAGCACTATTCCATCCTGCAGGGCATCACCCAATTCTTGTGTCTGCAGAGACATTTTTAGCCGAGTCTCCAAATTCTGCAAAAATAAAAAAACATTTGCCATTATATTATGACAACTTTTAGGAAATTTCCTGCATTTACTTGTTTGAGCTGGGCTAATAAAAGTGCCTCTTCCTTTGCCTTCTCGTTTTCCCTCCGCATTGTGAAGCTCAGACTGCGAGTCGGCGAAAGTTTGTTCACCCCGTCTGGTTTCTTCCGCCGGTGATTGTTGTTTTCAACCTGATTGTGCCCGTTCGGCATTTGTGACTGATGGGGGAGAAAAACAATAGAGATATCGAATAAAAAGACCATGACAAACATACCTTAACATAAGAAATGACAGCCTCCATCTTTGGATCAAGTTTCTTCTCGCCAGACTCTTTGCTTGGTGTGGTCTTTGGAGAATGCCTCTCAGTGGGAGGCGTGGGCGGGGTCGTGTCTGGCCCTTTTCTGTAAACTTCCTGCGCTTGCATCCTTTGCATGCGCATTTGCTCCTTGAATTCCCTGAATTGAACAATACAGAAATTAGCCAGGCGTGACAGTAAGTAATTGCAAGGCGTGACATAGAGCAAAAACAAAGACCTCCACTCACTGTAAAGTTGCCTTTGAAATACTCAATGCCACTTAATTTTATATTTAGATCTAGAGATAATTTAGTTGTTGTTTAAGATGATTATGTTTGATCAAAGCACGCTCAAAGCTTTACTTTTACAGCAATCAATTAGTAAAGCATAGTTAAAAAATTGATTTATTATTGATTTGATACCCTGAATGAGATATATAATATATGAATTGCCCTAGAGGAAGGTGATCGAAATATGTGTGCGAGAGGTGAAAACAAAAAGGATGAGAGTGGACTGAACAGAAATGAGATTGCGTGATGAGAGTGATGCATGAGTGAGGTGAGGCTGTGGTACCTGTAGGTTTGAATGTGCTCTAAAGGCCCCTTCTTTTCCTCACCGTCCGTCACCACGGATTTGTGGCTGCAAACCAAAATAAACAAAATTGGAGCCAGGCTCAAAACAAAAAGCGGAACTAAATGGTTTGAGTGGGGGGCTAAATGCGAAGCACACAGAGGGGGTACAACACCACTTGCCTGGGGGTGAGATTATGTTGGTTGTCCACTAAACCGGCCAGCCTGTCTGGCCTCTTGGCTAACTCCTGATTAGAATTCATCTAAAAAAAAAAAAAAAAATCAATTTTAATAAAAAATTTAAATTTGACATAGATTGCAAAAATTTCAACTGATTTATTTTGTCTTCTTTGTTTCAAGGGAAATTAAATACAGTTTAGGTATACTTATTCTTACAATGTTCTCATCAAGGAGGCAGCCGCTATCACCAGGAGAAAGAGTTGAAGGAGTGGAATGACCGGAAGAACCATTCGTCATGCCCAGACTGCCCAAAGTGGCGGCCAGCAGGGTGCCGTTCATGGTTGAGGAAGTGCCGTTGTGTCCGTAGAAAATTTCAGGCTCTGGAGTCTTTGATACTCTGGTAGAAAAAATGAATGTAAAGGAAAAAAATTAGCTCGATTATCTATATTAACCTTCCAGGTAGAGTCTGGCGTCGTCTGCCTTGGCCACGTCCGTCAAGAGTTTCTGCGTGCCGCCTACGTCCGTCCCCTCTTTGCGAAATCCCCTCTAAGTATTTAAAGATGTGAACCTTTCCTCTGGCACACAACTATAAACAAATGCAGCTTATTAATAAACTTGTTTGCTTGTAAACAAAAGAATCTTACACTGCTCGGTGGGGAGACGAGAGGATTGTGATCTAGATCGAGTTCCACCAGAGAATCCATCACCCGCAGCTCAACTGGCAGTGTGGAAATCTGGTTGGCAGTCAGGTCGAGTTTTTCCAGTCGCAATGCAGCCACCTCTGATATTTTTAAAGGTTTAAAAAGATTACTCAAAACATTGTTTTTTTATTTTATTTTTTTAACTGACCAACTGGCAGCTGGGTAAGGTGGTTTCGTCTAGCGTTCAGATGTCTCAAACGACTTAGTTTGCCAATGGACGGGGGCAGCATAGTTAATTGATTGGCGGCAACGTCCAATTCGGCCAGCTCGGATAAGCATCCGAGGTCGGAGGGAAGTCTGGCCAGCCTGTTGTTTGACAGGAGGAGAACTTGCAGACTGGCCAGCTGGCAAATGCCAGGAGGCAGCCATTGCAATTGGTTTCGGCTGAAGAGTGGGAAATTGTTATAAGTAAGAGTAGAACGTTGAGATTTTTAGATAGAAATTTAAATTTAGAAAATATAAAAAATCTAAAGCCAAAATTATAAAATTATTACTGATTTATAAAAGTTTTTCGCTCATTTCTTAAATTTCAGAATTAATAATTTTTCGAAGGCAGCATATTTGTGGTCGAGTTGTACCTGAGGTCAAGGTAGATGAGTGAGCGTAGATACTGGATGTTGTCCGGCACCGAGCGCAAGACATTGTGGTACAAATCAAGTCTCTCGAGGCAGCTGAACTGGCAGATCTCAGCAGGCACTTCGGAAAAACGGTTCTTGGACAAGTCTGAAACACCCGTTTATTCTCCAATTACAACAATTTTATAAGACAGTGATGAGTTCAAACTCAATTAAGTCCCTTCTGCCCATGAAATAAAAGTCTCAAAGTGATTTACAGAGCATCTGATTGTTGCTGTCAAATAAATTTCAATCGAAGCGACCGACGACCGTCAAGGCAGCGCAACATCCGCTAAGTGCCAAGATAAAGAGATAAACAGATGAATGTGCATGTTGGTGATTCACATCGATACATTGACACCAATCTAAAGGTCAGAGGTCACGTCACGGACAACTGGCACTGCCTCGGAGGCCTTTTGGCGAAAAAGGGGCCACATTCATTAATTTTTTATTGCTTGATAGAATTTCAACGAAACGGCACTGTTTGGGCTGCGGGCCATATTCCTACCATTTTCGGCACTGCGTCACAGCAACGAGCCTTGGGGGGCCAACAAGATTAGATAGTCATCCTTTATTTGCGGTTCACGATTATATTTATAAAAAAAAACGGTGCATTTTGCTTATCCACCACCGGCTTTAGTCAATTTTTCCTGCCAAAAATTTTTAAATTGAATTATGAATTATTCAGAGCGCACGCAGAGTTAATTGCATTTGAACCAATAGGATATCATTTATTTTCATGGTTTTTGGGCAGATTGTAATGGAAAGAGCGATGGAAATAATTAAAATACAAGGCCACGTTTCATCTTAGCCTTGGAGTGATATAATAGAAAAAATACGCTCTCAGAATAAATTACTCGCTCTTTTGTACACTTTACGCTATAGTCACAGATTAAAATAAAACACAATAAGATAAAATCAATTAACCTGTGAATTAAAAATGTTAAAAATTGCATTATTAGCTTGTTTGCTTTCACAATAAGACCCAGGGGGAATAAAAGGGAGACTCGAGTGGAAACGTAATAAAAAATCAATAATCAATAAAAATTGCGCATTATCGAGCTTTGAAGAAAATACATGTCAAGTATGTATACATACACGTAAATATTTTTGACTCAATGGTATAACATCAGAAGTTTAATATTTAATTAATCAAATTGTTTATTAATTGAAAGAATTATAGTTCTAAGAGACAAATTTTTGTGTGAGAACTATTATGTATATGTACATATATAGCGAGCTGCAATTATTATAAATTCATTTTAAATTCTATTAATTTCCTGGAATAAATTATTTTAAAATTTAGCAAAAATAATATTGTAATAACCACTAAATGAAGGAAATCACTCTAAAAATGTACCGGCTGCGTTTGTCTTCCTGCATAGGCGACACAGGAAAAGCGAAACGAGGATCTCGAAAGCCGACAAGAACTTCCTGCATCGACAAAAACACGAGATCGCCCCACAGGAGCCCCTAACCGACCGAAACTCAAAAATGGTTTTCACTTAAATTCAGGCATGTGGAAAAGAATGTTCCATCAAAATTTGCTACAATTCGAATTAATTTTCAAAATCTTTTCTCTCGGTTGAGTGGGTGCGGCGTCTGGGTAAATAAATATGGAAGCAGACCTGCGTTGAGGGTGTCCCCCAGGGCGAAGTCTTTGCGACTTCGTGGAAATTCCTTGAGTCGGCGGCCACTCAGGTTGAGGTCCCCAGTGCCCTGAGCCTCATCCAGGATGCGCTCGACCGGCACGTTAATCTTGTTGGCGGCCCAAGTGCGCGGATTGTGCACCATCGCACTGGCCATGTCGCCATTGAAGCGACTAAACGCGGCGCAGACACTCGATGAATCAGTCAAATGGCCGAACCCGCACGCACTGCCTGCTGCTGCCGGCGCAGCAAAAACGCAAACTCCAACTTTCTCTTGTCTCTCGTAATATGGCCCGCAGCTTGCATCGAATGGCCAATGAGCAAGCAGACTGAAGTGCACGTGACTGAAATCGGCCAATCAGAGGTAGCAAAGGCACATGGCTTCGATTATTATGTTCCTAGTGTGATACAATTGTAGTTTTTACAGTACATAATTCATGCACCCTCCTAAGATATTACCCCAAATTTCCATCATGTCCTAAATAATTAAATATACATAATTATCTCAAGTCGCACGCACTCTTCATTATTACAAGATGTATTAAGTAAAGGAAAATATTAACGCAATTTAATTTCAGTGAGAGGACACATGAATAAATTTAAGCAGATTTATTATTAATGATGACCATATTTATTTCCGAGAAATGAACAATTAGGGAAGGGTTTACTTCTTAGCGGCGCCAGCCTTTGTAGCCTTCTTGGCTGCCTTGGGTTTGGCCGCCCTGGCCTTCTTGATCTGCTCTCGTCTCTTCTCAATAAGCTGGTCATAACGAACCTCCTTCTCTGTCCTCTTCAAAGGAATTCCGTGCTTCTTGGCAAGGAACTCCTGCTTGTCCTTATATCTCTTCTGAATTGTAAGGATAGCTTTCCTCTTCAAGACAGCGGCGTATGGGTTCAATTTGAGCATAGCGCGCACATTCTTCAACGGATTCAACTTCCTAACTGCCCTCTGTGGCCTCTTGTGTGGAGTCTTCAACACCTGCAAGAAATTTTACAGTCAAACAATTATGTCAAAGAGAAAAATTTGCAATTCTTGCCTTGCGAATTTCTTCAGACTTGAGCAGCCTGGCCAAGTCAGTGTTGGTCATCTTGGGAGTGGGAAGGTTGTAGTCCTTCTTTTCCGAAGAGGGAGTTGACCAGGTGCCATAGATGGCATCCAACTGCTTGAAAGCACTCTCTGTCCAGATGATGAATCTACCAACATGGCCACCTGAATAATAAGAATTGTCAGTGAAATTGCCTATTTTCCCCAGGAAATAAAATTAACATACCAGGTGCCAGCTTAAGAAGGTTCAGCTTCTTAACAGAGCAGACGTCAACGCCGGGAATGTTCCTGAAGGCAAGCTTCAGACCCTGGTCCTCTCCATAAATGATGAGGGGTCCACGACGCTGGACGCGGCGCCTGTTCCTCATCTTACCCTTGCCGGCACGCATTCTCCTGCTTTTGTAGACCTTCTGCACATCGGTCCAGGCCTTGATACGGCGCAGGAAGATGACGGCCTGCTTGGTCTTGTTGAAAGCTTGGATCTTGTCTGTTACAACGAGGGGCAGCTCTGGGATCTCGTGCACCATGTGTCCCTTGGACATGACCAGGGCGGGCACGCCACTGGCAGCGATGGACGACACAAGGGCGTAGCGACGCTGGTTCACATTAATCCTACATATAGGAATTCAGCAATTAATCCAAGGTGTACAATTTATAAAAATTAAAGATGAATTGGTTTGCTTTGGTTTAGTATCTTATTCTGGCATATTATCTAATACATGTGATAAATTACCTGCGGTGCCAACGCCTCCAGGTCTTGGTGGGAGCGAACATGCGACCTCCGCGACACATGTTGCCAAAGGCACCCTGGCCAGAGCGGTGGGTACCACCACCCCTGACCCTGGGAATACGAGCAACAGCTCTGCCAGTACCCCAAGACTCGGCACTGGTCTGGTGACCAGCATCCCTGTTCACGGCGTAAGGTTGACGCCGGTTCATGGACATCTGCTGGTGCACAAAGCTGACCACATCAGGTCTGATGGGTGCTTTGAACACCACGGGCAGATGCACGCTAGCTCCTGTCTTCTCATTTTTCTCTGAATAGACCGTAATCAACGGACGGGCCAATGCTGAGGCCATCTTAGCGCTGAAAACAGAAATTCAATGAACTTTTGAATTATAAAGCTTTGCTGCGTGTGTGTGATATTTTAATGAATTTATTTATTTTTATTTTGAAGGTTAAAATTTATAAATAAATATAAAATACATAGTTGCTCGTCACCAATGAAAGCGGCAAGCACTGAGAGGGAGAGAACATACATTCAGGGTCTGTCCCAACGTGGTCAAAAGCAACAAAACGAACACAAACACGTCAGTTTTAACGTCATTTCCAAAGCATTGAGAAGTTTTGAGCACTTAATTACACTCTATCTTAACTATTTCTGAATTTTATATAACAACATATTTGATATTATTGGAAAAAGAACAAAGAATATCAAAAATATTGAAATATGCGGCCACGGAGTGCGGCGAATGCAGAAGTGGCAAACGTAACTTTCGGAACTTTTTTGGACAACATAGCACTAATAGAGGGTAAATCTATCTTGAAAAACGTATACTGACATTAATGAGGGATAGATCGGTGAAATTGTTTGGGTAAATTGTGCTAGGATGAAGAAAATAATCAAAAATTTTAAATTATTACCTGATCTCCGATCCAAGCGCACGTCAAACAAGAATATTTCAAGGAGTAAAAGTTTTCTGTAGCAGTGTAGCAGCGAATATTGGAATATTGCATTCGAGTTTGGTAAAAAACCTCCTTGGACAAATACCGCGAAATCCAAATTTTGAGCTGCGCATGCGTACATATTGCGCACAAAGTGCCGGTCGGCAGCAGGCAGCAGTGCCTGAAATTTTTGAAAACAAAGCCACATGGACTCCGCTATTTGAATTCCTGTTTGAGATTTTTCACTTTTCTTTGACATTTACGAAATTTAATAAGTCTCCATAAGGCTATAGTTTCAATTGGCAACTGAAAATTGTTTTCACAGCAGGACCAACCATGGTATGGATGGAAAATGATTCTTTAATTTTTTTTCGGAATCATAGACGTCATGTTCCATGTTCAATATTATTTTAAAATTCAGCTTTCAGCTGAATTCATCTTGTTATTTGTCTCTTTAGACTGACGAAGCAATGGACTGTGAAGATTCCTGTGATTTTGATCACATGGATTCACACACTCCACCAGACACTCCTGCAGCAGAACCTCTGAGAAGCTGTCCGGAGACAGTTGTAGTTGTGCCGAATGCATTCGATCCTCAGCCTATGACCATTCATCAGTTGGCCTATCAAGCCGAAGGCAACCTTTTGGCTGTTTCCAGATATGCCAGAAAGTACACTTTTTCAAAACTAGCATGTACCTGTTTTTTACATCAATTTTTAATAGAATACCAGTGCCAGAGGGCTCAAAAGTAGCCATTGAAGAACCAGTTGGAAAGATTGAAATTTGGGGAACGAGGCCTTTGTATAGATTAAAGCAGTCGATTTACTTGCCCGGAGAGTTCAGCTCCATTGAAAGCCTACACTGGTACAAGGGAAGGCTGTTTTCGTGTGGTATCCACGGACATCTGGTGGAATACGACATTAAAAATGAAAAAATAAAGGTAATTAATTAAAAAAACAATGTATATTCTTTTCAGGTCAATTTTAATTTAGCAAATTATTTTATTTCTGTTGTTTTTCTTTGCAGAAATGGACCAGTGTTGTTGGAGGAATTAAGTGGTGCATGGCCATTGACAATGCTACTGGTCGTATTGCAATTGGCTCGGAAGATGGCTTTGTGGCCATTATGCAAATCTATGATTACGACATTGAGACGGATCAAATTCTAGACAGGCAGGAGGATAGAGTTTTATGCATTTCCTGGAGTCCTGACGGCACTAAACTTGCTACAGGCTCTCCAAATGCTGTACGCATCTGGGATGTAAAATCTGGGCAGGCAGTGGATAGAATCAGTTTGGGCCAGACGAGAGCTAAGGATGACACCATAGTCTGGTGCATCTCGTTCATTGACAACTTCACCTTTGCTACCGGAGACTCGAAGTAGTAGATTTTTTTCTTCATCTTGTTTTGGTTGACCAATATTTTTTCAGGGGCCGTGTTTGTATTTGGGATGCCAAAATGGGCGTCTGTTCAGAGATTCATGAGACGAAATCACAGCAAGTTCAATGCTTAGCAACAATTGAAAACAAAATTTACTGTGCTGGTAACATTTAAAATTTTGTTTTCGTTTTTACTTCATTGAAATTTTCAACAGGTGTTGGAAAAAGCATTCAAGTTTTGATGAAAAGCAAGGATGATTTAAGCAATAAGTGGGTCATTGGTGCAACAAGGACTTGTCACACCCATGATGTTCGAGCCCTTGTAGCTGTGACTTCAAGCGAACTTGTTTCAGGAGGTGTTGATTCATATATGATCGTTTCTAAAGCGCCACCTTTGAGTGTCAATGTAATTCCACCATATCATAGCTCGGTAAATTTTTACTTTTTTAGTATTTTCATTTTTTCTAAGAAAATGATTTATAGGATATATTAACTGCGCCATCAAAAAACCTCTTCATGGTTCGCTACATCAACCACACGGAAGTCCTGCAACTACCTCCCAATTCCCATTTGGTGAATAAGATTTTCCAATTCAATACAAGCTCTCCCCTGACAACCATAGGCATTTCTGATGATGGAAACTGGTGTGCTCTGAGCACATTGAAAAATTCCAAAATATTCGCTCTGGTATAATTAAATTTTGACCTGACATTGCCTGAAAGCTACAAGTCTTTATTTACAGGTTTGGCCGTTTAAAAAAGCAGTTGAGGCTTCTGCTGAATCAATCATGCTCCCCTCAAGTCATTATAAGGCTTTCAAAAGGATAACATTTTCAGACCCTTCTCAAATGGCTGCTGTTGTTACAAAAGATAACAAAATCCGTTGTCTTTTGTTGTTGCATGAAATTAAAGCAGTCACTGAAACTTACATAGTGGATGTTGCTTCCGGTAACACTTTTGTCTGATTACAAAGGGTTTTATTTAAGCAACAATATTTTAGTTCTTTCTCCCCGGTCAACCGTTAATTTGATGAAGTTTTCCGAGCACCATCTCATTTTGTCTGACTTTGACGGAAATGTCGCATTAAAGCATGCAAGTGAAGAAATGTCAAAGGTAATCTTGAAAAATTGTAACCCAAGGCATAGCAATTGTTAGATAATTTATTCTGCCCATTAGAAATCAGACTGGAAGCTCCTTCCTAAAAACAGCCACGAATTGACCGCAATGGCTCTTCAGAACACAGTCAAAAATAAGATATTACTTTTCTATTCTGATGGACAGGTAAAAATCATCTTGGCTTTTTTAATACTAACTAATCTCTAAACATTCAGATATCTGAGCTTGCAATTGAAGGTTTCTCATACAAAATTCTGCAACCAAACTCTGAGGGACAGAAGCTTCATGGCACTGGAGTTACCGGGAACTCGCTTACGACTGTCTGCTCCCATTTGACCAAGAAAGGATATTTTATGTCTGTGGACGGCGGAAAGCTGCTTGGCTTCAACTACTTCAATATGCTATTGCAAAAACAGGGCAAAGGCAGTAAGAGGTATCCCCCAATGACAGAAAGCAACCTTGGAAAATTTTTGGTCAACATAACTCAAAACTCTAATGGGGATATTTGTGTTGTGCGCGCTTCTCATGAGAGGCTTCTCGAGAAGTTGCCACCTATGCCTTTTGCAAAAACTTTTGGGACTCAATTAATGTAAATTATAAATATACTTTATTTTTTATTGAAACCTTAAATATTTTTTATTTTTATATAAATTTAATTAACAAATTTTCATCTTCATTCTCTTCAGCTTAACTTTTTAACATAGCAGCCTTTGTCAGAGACCCTTCGAAACAGTGATATATATTTACCAGCTGTCACTGTTTGTGGAATCAGCACTTTTTCACAGAAAGTCTTTCGATCGCTGGTGAACGACTGCAAATTACAGTGTGGTAATTTGCCGAGGAAATGCAAGATGAATGTGTAACAATTGTGGGTGTCTTCGTGGTATCTATATAGTTTAATTTGTAAAGTTACCAAATTAATGTGGCGAAAATAATTATAATACCCCTGCTCACCTTTTCGAAGTCCAGTCGTCACTTTTTAAAAGCATCTCTAAAACTCCATCCCAGATATCTTCAATCAAAGTAAATGTTTCAAAACATTGAATGCTTAAACATTCATTCCAGTCTTCTGAAGGTTCTCTTTTTAAACCATCTTCATCATATGAAAATATTTGCCCTTTGGAGTTTGTCACACCGATGTGTAAATCAGCATTGTTAGAATAAGATCTGAGAAAGAAATATCAATCAAAATTTAGCTTACACGGAAAATGACGGGCAGAGAATTAAATCATGCCTAAGAAAATCTCCATTTGTTGGACGGAGAACCAAACTGCATGGATGCTGAGAAGCTCGTGAAAAGGGAAACGGGATCCTATAATTGATAGAATTATTACTTTTTTCATTATTTATTAGACCAAATAGATATTTTTTAGTTTTTTTACCTGACTGGAGTAATTTCTATATCGCTGCTGAGCACCAATTCGCATTCTGGGCATTTTTCAGGTAATGAAAATACGAAAACGTCCGATTTGCAATGCTTGAAGCAAATTAGCCCAGGATCTCTATTCATTTTTTGCAAAACTGAGCGATCATGACGAGAAAAATATATATAATATAAATAAAAAAGCAGTTCATAATATGAAATTATGAAGTGAAACTACATAAAACTATTAATATAAAAATCCCGCAACCCGCCATACACAAGACAAGTATTTTACCGCAATAAAAACCGGTTATCAAGTTCTGCAAGTTTATTGGTAAAGCAATTAATATGATATTTTTTCTATTAATCTAGAACTTTTTGTTGTTCTTGCTTATTTTTTTTAATATTTGAACTAATTTTAGAATTTCAATGATCAACATAAAATTGTCTTAACAACCGGTTATCACTCAATTAAAAAGGGAGGGGATGGGCAGTCCATTCCAATTTCCATTTTGCATTTTGCTTTTGGCCTGTGAGTGACAACACAGACGAATTCTGAGTCACTATCGCATGATTCGTTGGAGCTGGGCCTAAGTTACGACAAATTCGGTCATGGGACTGTTTTCGACGGCGTCCTCCTTCGACACTGATGTTGGTGAGTGCCTAAAATACGTAGGGGCCTTTAATAAATGACCCTTGCAGGCCTTGCAACCTTCCATCAGCTAATCCAATTTGCAGCTCACGTTTTACGCACTTCTGTTTTAATCCTTGCTGACAATTGTCCCTAATTGCCTCCTCCGTTCCAGAAAAAGCCACCGACGAAAAAAACACTAGCGAAAAATGGGCCGAGATTATGGACATTTGCGACAAGGTGGTCACCACGCAGAACGGCGCAAAGGATTGTCTGCGTTCTATCATGAAGAGGGTTGTGCACCCAGACCCCCATGTCGCCCTGCAAGCCCTCACTGTGAGTCATCGGGATTTTTTTCTTATCCCTCGTAACAGATCGGGAGTAATAATTATTTTTAAGACGTAATATTAATGTGCCACTGCCACAAACCATTAAGAGATTAATTAATTAAGCAGTATATTATTCCGCCCTTGACCCTAATCATTGAATAACAACTTCTAAGTCACCTGGTCAAATAAACAGTGACGTTTGCCTCTCTGGTTATGGTTACTCATATAATGCATACAGAAGCATTAGTTTATTTGAAAAATATTTACACAAAAATAACAATACTGATAGGGCCATGTAATTAAATCTATGTTTAATTGAACTTTAAATATTACACATATATTTTTCCAGTAACCTCAAAGGGTTTGAAAGTGATTAATAGTAGCTGTCAGAACTAAAATACTCGGAATCGAGCAAAATGTGAAATTCTTTTGGAGTCCGTAAAAAATTTTCCCTGTTATCTTATCAAAAAAGTAGGAGGTACCGGTAGGAAAGGGCCGGGAAGCTGGTTTGAGTTTATTATTACCTCTTGTAAAACAAGTTTGACTTTTTTATTACATAAACTTTGGTTGAAAAATTCAAAATATAAATTATAAATAAAATTTACTCTTCTTGTGACGTTTCAGGTTGCAGCTTAATTAAGCATTTCATTTTCTGCAAGTTGCAAGTAACTTGATTGGTATTTTGAATTTCACATTGGAAGTGATAATGATAGTTAATTAACCAACACTAAACTTATTGTGAATACTAAATATTTCTTATGATCTTTTTATAATATTATAAATACAAAGAGGCTAAAAAGTTTATTAAATTTTTGTACCTAGTTGCTAGATGCATGTGTCAACAATTGCGGCAAACCGTTTCACCTTGAGGTTTCGTCGAGAGATTTTGAGTCTGAAGTGAGGCGTCTAGTGTCCAGATCAAGCAGGACACCTCTGCAGGAGAAACTCAAGTCAATGCTAAAGAAATGGGCTGAGTCTTCCGAGTTCTCCAAAGACCCGCAGCTCAATCTAATTCCATCACTTTACAAAAAATTGAAGGAAGAGGGAGTGGACTTCACCCCTTCACACCAGCCAGTCGAACACAAGCTCTCAAAGGACCCAAATGTGGTTCAAAGCAAGCAAGAAGAAGATGATATTGCCAAAGGTATACTTTTTGAGTGGTAATATTAATACTTTAACAATATTGGTCTGTCACAGCTATTGAACTATCCCTGAAAGAGGCTGGCAAGTCTTCGTCTAAGTCGAGCAGCTCTGGTGGTGCCATCAGCAGCTCATCCCTCTACCCATCAATGAGCAACTTTTCTTACAAACCGTCTTCACCTCCACCGCAGGAAACAAAAGTCAGAGCACTCTACGATTTTGAGGCAGCTGAGGACAATGAACTCAGTTTTAAAGCTGGTGATATAGGTATGTAAAATGTACATAAATCTTGTGTCAATGATTTTTTTAAACCAACTTTGTAGTGTTTGTTACGGACAATTCTGATCCGAACTGGTGGAAGGGCCACTCTTCAAAGGGCGAAGGTCTATTTCCTGCCAATTTTGTCACCACCGATTTAACGGAACCAAAGAGAAGTGTTCAGTTCAATGAAGCAGTAGAGGTGAAAACCCTAACTTATGATGAAGAGGAAGAAGAGGACACTTCTGTTCCTGAAGTTGATGAAACAAAAATTGACAGGTAAATTTAGCTAAAAATTGTGAGATTCAGGCTAAAAATAAGCACAACTTCTAGGCTGCTAGCAATTATTCATGATATCGACCCCACTGACGAGTCTGCTTCTGGTGTGGATCCTGCCCTAGAAAAACAGGTCGGTGCCATGGGACCTTTGATAGACGAGGAGCTTGAGAAGATTGATCGGCGGCATGCAAGTCTCACCCAGCTAGCCTCCGAGCTGACTGATTCCCTTAATATGTACCACTCCCTCATGAGAGAAAACATAGTTAAACCTGTGCAACCTGAATGGACACCGTACATGCAGCCTCCGCAGGTTGGTTTTAAATTTAGATTTTGTTGTTAACACTAATTTTTGCCTAATTAGTTGTACGGCCAGCAATATTCCCAGCAAATGCCACCTGGCCCTCCCATGTACCCTCCTCAAAATGGTGCAGTGCCACCTCCTCATGGGCCTCCAGAAGGCTACAACTGGCCGCCACCTCAAATGGTAGCCCCTTATGGACCTCCGCCAACAGATTATGGGGCTACTCAGTATCCACAGGGGCCAGTCATGCCCCAGAACGCACCCTCGTCGACAATGATGTGATAATTTTACATAAGGATTTAACAAGAAACTGGATGAAATGAAGAGGCAAAGAATTATGTTGCAGTTATTCAAATTCCAAAGACCGCTTTTATAAAAACGTCTGGCATTTCCGGTTCATGTTTATAAAATTGGAACATCATCAGTGGTGAAATAAGTTTTTCGATCAAATCATTTTTTTTTTCCAAAATTTTGAAACCCCATTGCAACATAATTTAAAGTTTAGTGTGTTGACAGTGCAGCCCACCTAAGGGTACTGCAGACTTCTCAAAAGTTTTGGTCAGGATGCTACTAGCCATTGTTTGCTTAGTTAGCGTTAAAATCTCTGGTTTCCACAATTATAAAGTTATTTCAGTTTTCATAATTATGAATTGCATACAATAGCATTCTTCAATACATTCTATTATAGTATTGTAATAAGCGAGCATGGAAATTATGGTTTTGTTAATTGAAAATTTTAAAAAGTTATCCGCTTCATATTTATAATGCTTGTTGCAGAGTTTGTACGAATGAGTGCAAGTTGAATGAAAGTGAATTGCTGCATAATATTTTACTACATCAGTTGATCATATTTGTGGAAAAATGTATTAAAATTGGAACACATCTAAAATAAACTGCTCTGTGAAATACTTTAATGGTGTCTTATTTCTTTGACATATTGATATTGTGTCCTTTTATCATGTTATTCATTGTGAGAAATCAGGAATGTATTGTGATTAAAAAATAATAGGAATATCAAATTTGAACTCAATCACTGTCGTCTTCGAACATCATGGCCATTCTGTTGCCAGGCTGCGTCTGTCTAGTGGGTCTAGAGATGTTCACAACAGGTGGTGGAGGAGCATGTCGAGCCTTAACAAAAAAAATTTGAAAGTAAAATAAAAATACATAATAAATTCACTCACAGGCTGAGCAGCTTTGGCTCCTCTCTTGCCCCTGCTTCCTCTGCCACCCCTTGAGCCTGGTCCTCTCGTAGGTCGTGCGGGCGGGTCATTAAGGGTGCCATCAGAATCATCATCAATCAATGATGCTGGTGTCCTGAAAAAAGAACCAATTAGTGGATTTTAATTAAATCTACTGAAATAACCAAATTAACAAATTTTAAAATTCGAAATAGCTACTTCACCTCTTAGCTGCTCCACGTGCCCTCCCAAGAGCCCTGGTTGTTGCTCGACCTCTTCCCTTGCCCTTAGAAGTAATTGGCTCATTCGCCTCATTCGATTGATCTTCACCATCACTTCTCATTTGAAAATCATCATCTTCCTCCTCCAAATTTTCAACTTCATCAAGCAGCCCCTGACGCGGCCCTTCTAGGACAGCTCGGATCTAAAAATCACAAAAAAAGAAATATTATATATCTGCCGAACATTTACCCCCAAATAATACCTCATTGATCATTTGACCATTCTCTTCATCCCCATCGGCAAAACCCATTGCTGCAAACTCATCTTTTATATCATCATCATCAGTTAAACCCTTCTCAAGAATTTTTTGAACAACAAAATCCTTTCTTTTCCTGTTATTGTTTTATTTTAGTTATTGCCCTACAAATTCTTAAGACAATTTTACCTGATGACAATCTCAAAAGCTGAAGAGTCGCCCTTCATTTGATGCTCTAGAGCTTCGTTCATCATGGCCACAGGCAACAACTGCACTCTCTTTCCAGGTTCACAGTCCGTGAAATACTTTTCAATCAGTTCTTCTACGTTGTGCAAAATAGCCTCAGACTTAAAATATAAAATTCATTAGAACCTTGTAGAAAAATGTGTTGCTTAGTTAGACTACCTTAGCAGCGTCAAATGCGTCTTGGTCGAGCACATCCCTAGCCTGCCTAGCACCTTGGACTCGAGTGATCATGACCATGTCAGTGGGGTTTGCAACCTTGAACAATTTAAATATAGCGTTGCCAAATTTTAAGTCAATAATATACCTTTTCTTCAAACTGCAATCCGAAACGAACAATATTGAACAGTTCATCTTGATTGAAGTTCAGCACTTTCATTCTTATAAGGGGCAATTTTGGTTGCTTAGGGTGGCCTGGAGAAGGATTTTTTAATCAGAACGATGAAATAAACGGACATGACTTTACCTGTCAACTGATTTTCAGCTTCTTTCAGCAAATCCTCAACCCTTTGCTCTAAGAACGCTTGAACACCTTGCTTCATATTACGAGCAGGTCTGTCTCTGTAATCGGTGGCCAAGTTAATGACATCAAATACAAATGGACGAACAGTCTTCAGTGGGATAGGCCTCATTTGGAATTTTTTATTATTCACATAGAGAATGCCAACTTTCTTCTGCACCGCCTCTCCTTCACTCAAAGATGTTGCAACAGAACTGCCTATTTTTTTTATGAATAATTTGTTACGGATTATCTATTGTATCATTAGCACCTGGTTGAGTGACATAGAAATTTCTATTATTGTTGTACTCTGGCTCCAATTTGCACTCATGCTCGTGCCCCCAGAAAATAAGGTCCATTGACTCAGGCAGGAGATTCTCATGAAGACACTCGTCTTTGTTGTGGCAGGCCCTATTTTGATGGACCACCATAACGTTGTACCAAGTTTCAGGGTCCTCAGGTTGCATGATGTGTACCTGACACAGAAATTGAGTTTTTTCATTAAAATAATTAAATAATTATGTTGATAATATACCTTCTCTTCTCTGAACATTCTATTGGCTACTTTGTCTTTCAATGCTCCAAGTCCGTAAATGGCAACTTTCGTGTTGCCTTTGGCTACCAACAGTGGCACCAAGGAAATGTCGTCCTGCAAATTAAGGTACTTTCCAAAATAGTTGATCAGTCCAGCTGCACTCAACATGTCAAGCGAGCACTTAGAATTGTAACCTAGAAAAAATATAAAAGTTACATGATAAAAAAGCTTAAGCATGGTTTTACCAAGCGGATCGTCGTGATTTCCATGGATGGAGAAAATAGGCAAAGCAACGTTGAGATTGGGGTTCATGAAATTTACCATGGGGTTGCTCGAGAAGCTGAAAATCTCAGCTGGATCACTGAGAACGCTGATTTTGACCTCTCTGTTTAAATAATATAAACACATATTAAAATAATTCTAATAATTTGTTTACATGTTTTAAAAACAAACCCATCCCCCATGCAGTATCTGTTGAGCAGGTCCATGCACTTGCTGTAGCAATTCACAGAAGGTCTGCCATCGTGGAAGAGATCTCCTCCAAGTAGAATGAAATCAACTTTGTACTTTTTGCCAATCCTTAAGATTTCTTCAAACGCTATGAACGAGTCCTCGCCTTGAAATAAGTAGGGTGCATCATGTTAACATGTTTAGTCACCTTCATCACATGCATGCAGATTGCAGACATATTTTTGGAATTAATTTTTACCTCTGGTGGGATGTGTTTCATTATATCCTAAGTGAATGTCAGTCGCGAACAAAATCTTCATTGTGCTTTCATCGCCTTGCATGTTATCTGATGCCATTTTAGCGGCGAAAACTAACTATTTTTTGCAAGTTCTAAAAAAAATTACATAGAAGACCTCTGGATCCATGTGCTGTGGCCTCTGCCAGCTCTGCCTCAAGCTCTGCCTCTTCAGTCTTCTGTTAAAATCCAGCTGACAAATTGGCGCCTTGTCTGACAGAAGGAGAACGGCAAACTGGCGAACTAGCGAAGAATGATTAAAAGGGAAAAAGAGAGGCGCGAAAGCGAGAAGAACGAGAAGAACGTGTCCGAAAACCCAGTCAAATGCGACCTTAACAATATAAATAATAATTGATAATTGAGCAGCGTATGATAAAGACACAATTAAATCAAATTAACTCCACAAAAAAACAAAACAAAGCTAAAAATCCAGTGATGTTATTAAGTGTGCATAATACATAATACATTGATTTTAATTCTACACACTCTTTAAAAACAAGATTTTTATTTTTTTTTTTTCAAGTATAAAACCCTTTTAAAAAATTGATGAAATACGCGATATGTGTTCCAAAAATATTTCACTTTTTAATGTATTGTAATATTTAATTTTATCATTATCAATTTAAATTATTTTGCAGCATAATAAAACGCTTAAAATTTCTGAAATTTCTCCCTTTTGCTCTAGAGCTCCATAGTGAGCTGACAATTTAACCTTTTAACTTATCCAAGAATAATTTCAAGTTTGTGAAAAATCATTGCACAATTATTTAATATTATTTGAAACTATGTTTTTATCAGTTGCTTTTGGGCAAACAAAAAAGGAGAGATGCCCCTTAAGAAGTTCTTCTCTTTTTGGGAGCTTATCAACACTAGCGGCGATTATCAATATTGGAAATCAACGAGATAAGTATAGAAGCAAGCAAGTGGGAAAAGTGTCATGCGCCGGCCGCGATCATAATTCCTTTCACTTAAAATGCACAGCGGCGCGCTTCTGCACTGGATATGGTATAGGTGCAGCGTGCGGTCGCCTGCTTTGTATCAATAACAAACATATAATATTGAATAAATAATATCCTGAAGAGCGTCTCTGTTTATATGTGTCGTCAGTAACACGTCGTAGAAGATCTATCTCTCTCTCTCGCTCGCTTTATTTATCATTCACGCAAAGTTATGCACTCGTCACAAGACCAACTGGTTCTTCGTCCAGCGTCAGCAGCATCGCCGGCCTAAGACGACTCTTTGCACTTTTCAGTGATTTTCCATTCATACAAGCCGAGGGGCCGCGTGCAAACTGAAATAACACCGTTAATCAACGAGATCGATCGGTGTGCAGCATTGCTATGGCTTTTGACGAAAAACAACCCTTGATCGAGGACAACTCGGCAGAGTCGTCCGCGCAGACCGCCCCTGACACACCTGCGAAAACCGCGACCACCGGTCTGACCAAACGGCAGTGGCTCACGGTGGTCGTTTTCGGCATCGCCAATTTCATCGCCGCTCTTTGTATTTCGCTGCAGGCGCCGTTTTACCCGGAAGAGGTTTGTTTGAATTTTTCTCATATTGTGTTTCTTCGCAGTTATAAAATATTACATGATAAATGAAATAAATTTCATATATAAAATTTTGTGTTCTTTTCAAGTTAGTAAAGCAATCTAAAATAAAACACAATTAATTATTTTGTTTTATAATAACACATAACACATAAGAAAATAGCTCGTAAAATAAATAAGTAGAAGTGTTTATAGAAATTGATATAAACGTAAGTAACGCACAAATTTATTTAAAAATTATGCTTCTTAAAAAAATATTGAAAAACAAATATTGAAATATTTGAACATGAAACAAATATCTTTATCTTTGATGACTTTTCTTATAAAAGTGCATTATATTATAGTCAAAGTTATTTTTATAAATTGAATGCTAACATTCGTGGTGGCTTTCATGAAAAATTGAAACCGAGCGAACCTCGTTTCAGGGAAAAAATGAAAAGGTCAACTGACTCTAAAGGCAACGTGTGGTCTGCTAGTATTTTAAAAACCTAGGTAGTTGGTTTTTAATAGGTTTTAAAATACCAACAGACCGCAGGACGCCTTTGGGGTAAGTTTTATTTTTTATTTTACATCTTTTCTTTGTAACGAAGTTCGCCCAGTTTAATTTTTTGTAAATGATGTATCTATCATTTTTGGAGACGAATATTGACTTTCCAATTAAAAAACGAGCAAATGATTAAATGAGATTGATATATAAAATTAATTTATTGATACATCAGGAAATTAATAATTTGCTTAAATAGTAAAAATATTTTTAATTAAAAATCATTTTATTTAACAATTTTATCACAGGCAGAGGCGAAAGGTGCAAGTGCAACTGAATATGGTTTCGTTTTTGGGATTTATGAGCTCACGTCATTCATTAGCTGCCCTATATTTGGCGTTTATGTAAGTCTATTTTAAAATTTGAAAATTAGAATTAATTTTTTAATAATAAAAATAGTTGCCCAAACTGGGTCCAAGATTTGTGTACAACGCAGGAATATTTGTAACAGCCGGCAGCTGCATTCTATTTGGGTGCGATTCAAAATTTTCATTTAGAAAAGTGGGTTTTTTTAACAAATGTATTATCAAAAATTAGGGTCTTGGACCTTGTGAGGCAGCATGTGTCTTTCCTCGCTCTCTCGTTCGCCGTCAGGGTGGTCGAAGCCCTCGGATCAGCGGGCACCCTGACTGCCACATTCGCTATCATCGCCGCCGAGTTTCCCCAATCCGTCGCCACCACATTTGTACATTTTTCTTCATTGTTTTCAGCAAATAATTTTTTTTCTTATCGCAGGCATCGTTGGAAACGTTTTTCGGCCTTGGCCTGATCGTCGGCCCGACAATAGGCGGCCTGCTATACCAGGTGATTAGCGTGGGACAAAATGAAGCCCTGTTTTTTTAATTGCATGCAAATCTCTCCGCCGCACGGTGGCGGTTTCAACTGCATGCATTCTAGCACGATCAAATGTCAATGTTCCCAATACACACGCGACACACTTACTTCAATATTTACGCTGTAAACTTAATACGATTTTGAATCTGTATTCCATTGACCAGAAATAAAATGAACTTCTAAATTCATAAATTATTTCTAGGATTTGCAAAATGTAGTTAAAATCAATTTAAGTTTGCTTAAAATTGCAGTAACTCTCAACAATAAATCGGCTGTTTCCTTTTGTATGATTTTTTAAAGTTTTATTAATTACGGAGTTGAAAAGCAATTATTTAAATTACATGTAAATTAATCATTTTTTTATTTTTTTTTTAGATAGGAGGGTTCCTGTTGCCTTTTTTGGTAACAGGCCTAGTCCTGCTGGTCGGCGGCATCGTTTCTGTGATTCTTTTGCCCAGTGAAGACGGGTGCACGCAATTAGCAGCTGCAAATGCAGTTGCGACCAGAAATTCTGGTAAAACTTGTATTAAAAAATTTTAATTAAAAAAATAAAAAAATAATTTTATTTCAGGGTTAATTGCGATTCTTAAAGTTCCTTCAGTTTCTCTATCCGCAGTTTCGATTGTAGTTTCCTCAATGAGTATAGGTTTCATTTCTGCCACTTTGGAACCTCACTTAAGACAAGTAAATTGATCATCAAAACAGATATAAAAATATTTTTTTGTTAATTCGAATTTCTTTTTTCAAGTTTGGGCTTAGTCCGGTTCTAATGGGCGTCATGTTCATTGTAAGTGGAGGGATGTACGCCCTGATAGCACCTTTTGCAGGGTACCTTTGTGACAAAGGAGTTGGCCCGAAGGTTTTGGCCTCGATTGGAAATGTGTGCGTCGCATCCTCATATATGCTAGTCGGACCGGCCCCATTTTTTCCAATAAACACGTACAATACGCATAAATTAAATTTAGTTTGTTACATGCATTTCAATTAACCTATTAACATTGACAGAATATTGTGGATGGTGATTATTGGTCTGTTGATTCACGGCACGGGCATTGGTTTGCTGCTGGTTTCGGCTTTCATTGACGCTCTCCACTCAGCCACGTAATTAAAATTATCAATAAATTGAAATGCAATTCGCATCTAATGTTAATTTGGATTGCAGAAAGAACGGATTTCCAGACGACATATCCACTTATGCAATTGTGTCTGGCCTGTGGGCCTCTGCCTTTGCCTTGGGGGCATTCATTGGGCCTTCTATTGGCGGCGTAATGTTGGACTTTGTAGGCTTCCGATGGGGCTCCCTTGTAATCGTCTCCATCCACATAATTTCAGTAAAATTTATTTTGCAAAAATTATATATTTTTTGTATCATATTTCAGCTATTTTTATTTTAAATAATTTTTTTATCATATGTTTTTTTTTTTTCAGTTTTTCGCACATTTGATTTTCTTGAGAGTGGAATCTCGTCAACCCAGATATACAGAAATAATCACCGAGGAATTTCATCCACTTCTTGGAGGGTCGCATCACATTAAAGCATAAAACATGGCATAATTGTTAATAATACAAAAATCTGTGAGATAAATTTTATTTATATCTGTTTCAAATAGACTGCAAAGATTTCAATCATAATTGTTGAGAGTATGTGTTATATATTTACTGGCGTGTAATTTGTAACGCTTGAACTCATTAAACCGTCTCTATAAACTCAAAAAAAAATCTCTCTTTTTAGAATTATGTACATATAAATATAATTTTTCGGCTTTAAAAGAATTGCAAACACAAAAATTAGGAATTATTCAAAGTATGGAAGAACTTTTTTATTCAATTTCCTCTTATCATTATTCTTTAGCTTGTTCCCTTTTTGTTTCTAAAATCTACGCAGTGACAAAAAGCGATCGTAAAATTAAGATTTGAAATCCCCCCCACCACGACTTTGCGTGGATACGCGGGTGTTTATCAGCTGGGGTGGTCAGTGACTGCTCAGATCTCAACAGTCCCATCTCTTGTGTGTTCCAAAGTGTTGATGGTTTTCCGAAATTAGTGAAGGGTGTATGCACTGTATCCGAGAGGGTAGCCCATGGCGGGGGCGTGATAGGCCACAGGGGCATGGACCGCGGGAGCTGCGTAGGCCACGGCCGGAGGGTGGTAGGCCACAGGTGCGACGGGCGCGTGGTATACAGCGGGCGCAGGAGCGTGGTAATAGGCAGGGGCGGCCAATGGGGCAGCGTGATACACCGCGGGCGCGGCGGCCACGGCGTAGCCACGCTTCTCGCGATCAGCAGGAGCGGCCACGGCGACGGCCAGCAGACAGGCGGCGATCACCTAAAGGTAGGACACACAACGTAATTAGTATTGTTATGTACTCGTTACTCTCTGAATATTATTTCAATTTTTTCTTGCACTTTTTGTGATTTTTAAAAATAGTTGAAATTCAATTTTTTCAACAGTATTCTCTATTCCACTGTATTCTTTGTGGGATTTTAATATTTGTCACGCTATTTGAGCTATCTAAAAATTTCAATCACAAACAATATGGATGGAAAACTCAAAATTTAATTGCTTATTATTATTGAACTGCTGGTGCCTTTTATAAGTTTTATCCACACATTATAAACACAGCTCAACTTTTCTAGATTTTCGTTGCAAAATTTTTTTTAAGAAAGACTGAAAAAAAGCTTCTTTGAAATAACCTATTCTGCTGAAACTAATCTCAAGATGTAGCAATTATGAATTTGTAACTTACAAAAACAGTCTTCATTTTTGAGGAGAGTCGTGGGTTGTGTTGTTTCCTCTGCTGGGTTCGTACCTGAGATGTGACTTGAATTTGTGCGTCTTCGATATTTATACTATGGGGACACCTCTCCTCTCCACCTGTGATTTGAAGCACAATGCAGAAAATATGTCACTTTTGTGGCTAGGTCAAGCATCAAGAATGCGCCGAGAACAATTAAACGCCATTAAAAGCCGGTGAGGCAGGTCAGCGCTTTTCTAGCAAAATCGACTTATATGTGGTGTTGTGTGGTCTCGTTTGAGAAATAGGGCTAATATATATTACGCAACATGTCGGTTATGACATGAGTTGTATACAGAGCTGCGTTTCATCTGTAAGCGCTAATTAAGGTGATCAAAGAGTGGGGTTAATGATTGGTACTGCAGCAGCCCAGCAATTTTTATCTTGCAGGTAAAATGCTCTGGATTCAACATTCACCTCTTGGAGTATTCAGATAAAAACTCCATATAAAAAATGTTCATAATTCTATTTTTTTTTGCCTTTTTATATTTTATATTAAATTAATTGAATCTTTTAATTTTTAAATGAGGCCAAAATGAATTACGCTGAATTCAGAAAATACCACAAATAAAAGCTAGTCCTGCGCAGACCACCTGCACTGTAAATCACGTAAAGCAGGTCGTACCTTCCGTTGTCTTGAATCTTGCTCTTTTATGATTAAATCGTGCATATTATATTACCTTGGTTTTAATGTCTGCTTCCAAATTTTTAATTCTCAACTGCAGTCTGCGTTGAAAAATGTTGCGTAAAACAACTAAATGACAACTCAATCGATAGTTCCTTTTAAAAGCTACTGCTTCTTGTTGAGGATGTTAAAAAAAAGATGAAAGTTTTCAATCGTGTTACGTGTGTTTATGTGTGTCTATCTTTTTCAAAGTTGATAACAAAAATTTTCTTCAGGAGCTTTTGTAGAGAAAATATAAAAATGATCATAACTTTTTGATTAATTAATCAAACAGTTATGATCATTTTTATAAGATTCAATAATAAATTATAGTGGATTTTAAAAGTGAAGAAAAATTGCATTTTTCTTTGTCAAATCAGTCTGGTAAATTTATTTCATACTGGATATCACAAAAGGCATGACTATACAGTCATTGAAAAACAATTGAGCATGTATACGGGATGGGGTGGAATCAATAAATAATCGAAATATATGGCGTCGAAAAATTAGCTGTCTTTTAGATGCAACTTCTTAGTAGTGGAGACCGTGGAGACCATAGCCGTGGGCGTAGTTCTTGTAACCGTAGCCGTAGCTGGAGGGGTAGGCGCCATAAGACTGTCCGTAGTTGCGACCATAAGATCCATAAGTGCGGCCATAAGATCCGTAGGTGCGGCCGTAGGCCAGAGCGTTGTGGCCGTATCTGTAGGCGATGGGGGCGGCGTGGCTCACGGAGTGCACGTTGGCGTAAGAGGTGGCGACAGGGGCGATAGCCTTGACCACGGGGGTGGCGGCGTAGTGGCCGTAGGGAGATCCATAGCCATAAGAGTTGTAGGCGTTGTAGCCGTTGTAGTTGTTGTATCCCAACACTCCGGGCTCGGCGGAGGCCACGGCGACGAGGAGGGCAATGCAAACCTACAGGAGAGAGGAAAATTTAATTTATCATAAAAAATTATTAAAAAAAATCTCTAATGACGTAAATCCTATAGATATAAAATAAATATAATATATTAAAAGCAATAATTTACTGATTACCATAGGAATAAAATAACATTACTCATTATTAATTTTTTTACAGTTTTCTCTAAACATACTTATTTACTTTTACCATTCATTTTGACATGGAAATATTTTAAAAAGTTATATATTTTTTATATCAAAATATATGGAAATTTTAAGTTTTATCCATTTTTACCGTTGAAATTATTTTTAGAGAAATAATTATCATTCCGAAATAATGTTTTTGATTTACTCCTAGACTGCAATTTTAAAAAACTCACCAGGAATTTCATGTTGGTTGGTTGTTGGCTTGTGCTGCTGACAAACTGATGCTTTGGTGAGGCTGTGCCTGCGTATATATAGCACCCACGTGGATGCACTTTTGCACCTTTTCTGCACGCGCCACTCTCCCTACCCCTGCAAAGATACGCGGCCCTTTGGTCATCAGGGACACGCCTTTAGTGCAATATGCGATCGCACGCTGAAAACAGCGTACCAAAGAAGGATTCGCGCACTTGAGTGATCATTGCAAAAATTATAACCAGTTGCTTCAGTAGCGTTTTAAAGTGGAGGGACGCAAGCTTTGTTATCACCTTTTCATGAATCTTTTATGAGACTGATTGTGAGTTTGCCCAGATTTTTTTTCTCATATTATAAAATATTTTCAGTTTTAAAATCTTTTGCACATTTTATTTTTTTTTAAAGTGGTACAGATCGTCAAGGTATAAAGAAATCTGACGGAAAACTCTTATCATGGAGGAATTGAAACCACTTCTTTCAGGGTCACATATACATACAAATTAGAAAATACTTAATAAGTTGTTTTAGAAGTGATTTATTTCTACATCAAATGAAATCAAATTTACATAATAATAACATGATAAAGAAAAAAAACACCTAACAATCCTAACCAAAAGGTTGGCGGATTGTAAATTTTGCAATTAACTTGTTTTCACAACATTAATTGTAAATTTGCGACCAAGTTTTAACTTTCAATTAAATTATTTGAATAGTGAATCGACGCAGGATGTCGTTGGTGACTAATCATATATTAATGCATATTATGTGTGCCTTACAAACGGATCCACAAATGGGAAATAATTTTGCATTCAATTTTCTTTAATAGTTTTCTTTGGTTTGCTCCATTGGTTTTTTTTCACTAGAGTTACCACATTTTGAAAAAAGAGAATTTGTTTGATCTGGAGTCATGGCACTTGCTTCATTTTTAAATATCACAGTATCATAGTGATAAAAGGTATATCAAGACAAAGGTATAGGTCACAGTGGTTCATAGATGCGATCAGGGTGCGATGGGAGCATAATTATGGTATAAAAATTAAAAATGGTACTGGGCTTTACTACCTGTATCAAAGATTCATGTTATAAAAAAACAAAAATTAAGAAGAAAAAAAATAACCAAATAAAGTTATAAATAATCTTCCTTGACAAACACATCATATAGTTGAATCGTAAAACAAACTTCTAAAACTAAATTAATTTATATATTTTAAATTATGAGCAACTGTCATGGATATAAAATTAACTATTGCTGAAATCTCAGGATAGAAGAAATGTATTTATAATGACATTGTAAAGGGTTTTTTGCAATAAGAAATACTTGCTATTTTCTTTGTCAAATCAGTCTGGTAAAATTTATTTCATGTACTTGAATATCACAAAAGGCGTGATTTACAGGCATTGAAAAACAATTGAGCGTAAACGGGATGGAGTGAAAAAATAAATAATCGAAATGGTGTTAAATGTCTTGAACTGGTTGTCTTTGGGGGTGCAACTGCTTCTTAGTAGTGGAGGCCGTGGAGACCGTAGCCGTGGGCGTAGTTCTTGTAGCCGTAGCCGTAGCTGGCGGGGTAGGCGCCATAAGCGTGTCCGTAAGATCCGTAGGTGCGGCCGTAGGCCAGAGCGTTGTGGCCGTATCCGTAGGCGATGGGGGCGGCGTGGCTCACGGAGTGCACGTTGGCGTAAGAGGTGGCAACGGGGGCGATAGCCTTGACCACGGGGGTGGCGGCGTAGTGGCCGTAGGGAGATCCATAGCCATAAGAGTTGTAGGCGTTATAGCCGTTGTAGTTGTTGTATCCCAACACTCCGGGCTCGGCGGAAGCCACGGCGACGAGGAGGGCGATGCAAACCTACAAAAGAGGGAAAAAATTAATTTCAGCGCCAACATAGAAAAACTAAGGAATATGCAACAAATTGTTTAATCTCAATAGAATTTGTTGCGCAAATGATTCATTTTCAATATCCCCCGACTAAAATTATTTGTTAATTTTAATCCTGAAGATGAAAAAAATTAGCAATAATTGAATAAATATAATGAGAATAACATATTGATCAATTGAAATTTTTAATCCTCTGTAAATTTCAAAAGTATATTTCTTCATTATTTGGCACCCCAGCATCATAATGCTTAAAATAATTAATTTTCCTTTGGAGTGGTGTTGTATTTTTTGCTAAATAATATTGGAAAAACTCACCAGGAATTTCATGTTGGTTGGTTGATGGCTTGTGCTGCTGACAAACTGATGCTTTGGTGAGGCTGTGCCTGCGTATATATAGCACCCACGTGGATGCACTTTTGCACCTCTTCTGCACGCGTTTCGCTCCCCACCCCTCGAAGTTACGCAGCCCTCTGGTCATCAGGGACACACCTTTGGTGCAATACGCGAGCGCACGCTGAAAAAGAGAACCAACACCGGCTTTGCTCGTTCGAGTGTGCACGGTATAATAATTATGACCATTTGCTTTTTTATTTTAGAGGTGATTTGATTCGTTTTTGTCACTTACCGAGGATAAAAAAATACAAATCGCAGAAGCACGTTTACACTATAATTATGGTGTACCGATCAGGCAAGAATAAGCCGCGGGCGCAATTTTTAAGGTCTTGAGAGTCTGGAAAACAATGGGAGCAGGAAGACAAATATTGGATATAAGTTTAAGGTCGCGGTGAATCGAAAAAAAAGAACGTGATAGCGTGATCCAAATGTTGAGAGCCGGAAATACAGACAATTGAAATTTTTTCGAAGACATAACAAATATGACATGACATTGTTCATGTTTTTCCAACCAATTGATAGATTTAATGATCAACGTAAAATTTATAAATAACAACATGCATAATTATTGAAATGAAAATTCAAAACATACAGAGTAGTGATATTATTGCTGTTGTAAATTATTTTTAAAAAATTCAAAAGATAAATTGAAAAACAAGCATCAATTAAAGATTGTTGTAATAACTACTTCAATCCTCTTTTAAAATTTTATGTTCCTTTCATTTAATTTTTAGTATCAAAATTTATTATATTTGGTTGTTGCTTAATTTTTTATTTTACATTCGTGTTCTAATTTAAATCAAAGATCGTTTAGCCGCGATTCAAGGAAATTTTACCCTTGAAACAATATGCATAATTTGGCCCAAAATTTCCAAGAGCTAGAACAGGAAACGTGGAATTTTTATTAATGATATGATAATCAATGAAATACGCTCGAATTCGTTTAACAATTACGACTAATGTAATATTTCCGCATGAATGGCTTAAAAAAACACTGAACTTATACACAATAATATAATAACCATGTCGTGTGCGCTTATCCGGTGCAGAGCAATTATTTTGTGTAACCAGTCAAATTCCTGGCATTTCGCATTCAACGTCTCATACTTTCCTGTAATTTGTTTTTGCTTCAAGGTCGCCGCTTTGAGGCGTGACATTGGGTTTTTGCTATTATTATTTTTTGCCTCATAGTTTACCGCATTTATTGATCAGGTTGTAAATATATCAGAGAACGTGATTTTTGCAAATGTGCGATAGAATTGTCTAGCAACAATTAATACTCATTGGCGGTCGCTATTTATGGCGAGATTGATCCGATTATCAAGAGGTGAATGATCGCGCGGGAATTATACATTTATGTTTTATGGGATGTGTGGCTCAATTTGTAATTTTGGAAAGCTGCAGTTCGTGATTGAGCTCAGAATAATAATTGCCTGCTTGCATTTTATTACTGCAGTTTGGGTTTTCGTCACCTTAATCGATAGCAGAACGTCAGATTGCAAAATATAGGAAGTGATAGGAAGTATCCAAAAATTTAATAATAAATAAAACTAACAAAGAATTAATTTAAAGGTTTTTTAACTTCATTGGGACCAATTAGAATAGTTTAATTGTATTTAAATTTAAAATAAAAATTACGATCATACAATTTTATAATTTTACAATTAATGTAATGGTTTTAAAACCAAGGAAAAAGGTTGAGCTGCTTTTTTTTATTGCTATTTATTCTTGTCCATGCATTAATTACTTACTTTGCATGTCATCAACATAGTATATCACAGAAAAACTATTTATTTTTATAGGCTTATTATTATTATTTCATTAAATATTGGAGACTAAGTTAATCAAGAAATAAAATTTTCCTCTAAGCATATATTTGGTTATACTTGTATTGGAAATTCTAGTATTTTGTATGGCGTTGATTTTTAGATACATATTTAGAAAATTCTATCTAGTATGTATTAAACAACGGACTAAAAATATTGATAATTTTTCGAAACTTGAGTGAATTTCTGTTTAATGAACTGATTGTGAATGAAACAAGAGATTGTTTGCAATTTACATGAAAATCGTATTATGTTCCGCATTAATTTTGCAAGTCTGTTGCAGAGAAGGAAATGAATTACAAAATAAAATCGGCAAACTTTTGCAGAGGTGTCCATGCGTACTTAAGCAAAATCATTGCATTACTCGCGTGTTGTGTAAGATCATTGATAACCATCGGCTCGCACACATCATATCACAACTACAGACATGCATGGCTAAATTCTTCACTCTAATTAAAAAATAAATCATTATACACGGCCGTAAGTTTTAATATGACCAGACGCGTGCACTGGAAACATATATGTGGCCTCTCATCCGCCAACCTTGTGCCTTTCGGTTGTAAAAGTTAATTCTGTAACAAATGTCCCTTGTCTTTAAAGTAAAAGCGGCCTGTTTTCTAATGCATCTGGAGATTTGCAATGCACACCGGTGACACTTGTTGTGAAGCTGCGGCTCAATTATGGCCACCAAGGAAACGAGTTTGAACATCGCGGTGCTCTTGTGAGATTTACCGAGATTTACTGCCCTTCGCACTCCAGCAGCTCACATTAATTGATGGCAAATGCTCGACTTATTTTTATTTACCATAGAATATTACAGCAGCTTTACATAATAGACCTTACGCACGTTTTCTGCAGTCGGTTTGTGGGGAAAAACGTGAGCAGAAAGATTTTAATTGCGATTGGGCAATCTGCTTTATTGAACCATGTTCTAACGTGTTAACAAGAAGTGAGATGTGACCTTTGTAGATCCTAAATACAAAAAATCAGAATCATTCCGTATCTAGGCATTAAAAATTAAAAGCTCTGATCGTCAAACCATCCTGCTCTTTGGTAGCTCTTTTTATTAAATATATAATTAGCAAGAAAAATCTATTTATCTCTTGTTATATTGACTACGCTGTTTTTTTTTAAGTATGTGAAAAAAGTTGCCTTTTTTAGAGTATATAATTACAGAATTGAAATATTTTTTGCTTTTGAATTCAATTTTTTGGCAACATTCAAATAAGCCCGATATTTCCTTTACTTTCCTAAGTAGGTAAATATATGTATTTTAATAATATTTTATTATTGTAAAAATAAAAATAGAATATAATTAATATCAAATTTAAATCATTTTTATTTTTGACCTCTCTTTATTTATAGTTCCTTTAAATAAATTCACATTGAATTGCAAATTAAGAAATTGATTTATCATGTAATTATTATTAATACAGATAATAAATAGATATTACATCAATTGATGTGTTGGTATTTGGTTAAATTTACTGGCTTTAGCATTGATAAATTCATAATTTGTTATCATGAAAAATATTTTTAACTTTCTTTGCTGCACAAGAAGAAAGGATTTTTCTGTAATGATAATGAGTAGTTCCGCCTTAAAACCACATTTTATTCAACTGTATGTACAAATTTCATTCATGAAGCAACATTTCACATTTTGAAAGTTTAGTAGTGGTATCCGCCATAGTGAGATCCGTATTCAGATCCAAGTCCAGCACTGTAGCCTCCATAGCCTCCATAGGGAGCTGCTCCGTAGCCAGCGCCATATCCATGACCATAGTGAGGCGCGGCCAGGGCGATTGAGTGAGTGTTGGCGTAAGAAGTGGCCTTTCCGTAGGGATAGCCGTATCCTCCATATCCAAGTCCGCCGTATCCGAGTCCATTGCCGTAGCCGCCGTATCCCTTGCCATAGCCATATCCTCCATAGCTGTAATCATCGCCGTAACCACCATAACCGCCTAGACCGGCCCCCAGGTATGAATTGGAGTAAGAAGTGGCCACGGCCGATGGGGAGGCAGAGGCGCAGGCAGCCAGAATGGCCAGGCAGGAAACCTAGAAAAAGTGCAAGATAGTGATAATTTTGAAAAAAAAAAAATCAAAATTACAAAATTTTCAAGAATTAAAAAGTAGACATTTATATTTTACCACCAATTTTTAAATTCTCAAACATTATTTATGTTATTGTTGTAAGTTTTAATTTCTCATTTTAAAAATCAGATAAGTTCTTGCCAAGAAAGGAGACAGATTAATCTATTTGAATATTAGAGGGCAATTTTTATGATTTATTTGTGTATTTTTACGTTTTTTGTGAATATTTTGATTATGTTTCGTAACTCATTTAATTTGCCTTCACAGTGTTAACAAATTTTAGATACAAAACTAATATTTAGATGCAATTTATAAATAAATTTATATAATTTGAAAAAGGTGCAATTCAATAAATTTTAATTCCTTGCAATAAGATTTAAATTTATAAAAAAATTGTTAAATTTTTTTACTAGATTTGAAAGACAATTTCAAGAAATTTTGCTTTACGGTTTCCTTGGACAATGAAAATTGTATTGTATCAATATCAAATTTAACACTAGTGTTAAATTTTTTAATTATTATGAATTTGTTTTCGCTATTCTGCTTACCAAGAGAGCGTTCATGGTGCTTGTTGTCGTTTAGGCAGGTGAGGGTGGAGTGTATGTCTTTGGGTGGCGCCCACTCGCTTTTATATCTGCAAATCGTGTGCATTGCAAATCCCAAATCACGGCCACACACCTCCACATCGGCCCTATGTCAATTTCACTCTCCGTTTTGTGGTCGACTTGTGTTAATTTTAATGCAGCGTGCGTGCACTCAGCCGTGCACCGAGCGCGCGAAATGTGCAAGCGCGATCGCGTTGTGCAACATCCATGCACCGGTCCATTTGATCTAATAGACTGACTGACACATACTCGGTTCGATGCGGTATTGAATTTGTCAAAATCCACCGTAGTTTGGCAGGCGAAGCGTGAAAATGCCGCTAAATAGCTTTGCACCCTTTCTCTTTGTATTAATCGCAAAAGGCCATTGGCTTCGTCTAGCTTTTTTTCAATGCAACTTGACTTTGGAATGTTTTATCCTGTACAATTGCAAACTTCCAATCATGCGCATGTTTTTTCTCGCGAAAATATTAATTTATTTTGGTTAATTTCCATGGAGATTTTTAATAAAAAGTTTGTTATTTGAAATTTGAAACATGATTGCCACAATTTTTTTATTAATTAATTTGTATACAATTATGGAAAAATTTCCCTACAAAAACGTCCTCTACCGCTCAAGACCTGAAATTTTTGACGCTTTAGCGTTGCTTAATATGACAAGGAGAATTCATTTTTGAAATGATATTCCTTGCTAGTTTGAAAAATTAGTATTTTGTTTCTTGGTAGGTGTCATTACGTACAACAAGTGTAGTGAAGTTTGCATTCAATAATAATTGAAATTAATTAATTAATTAAAATGAAATGAGATAGTAATTGATGTGAGTATTTAAATAATTAATATATGATTCTTCTTTATTTTAAGAGAATTTTATTTAAATTGTAGAATGAACGTCATTTTTAAGGTTTTAATAATACAATATTAAATAATTTTAACTTTCAACGTCCCTGTCTTCTTGATGTCATGCGTTAGTGCATAAATATAATTTTTGTTTTGTCAAGAGGAATAAACCAACTTACATTTAAATATCAGGTTAGCTGTTCTATTAAATAATATAATATCCGTTAAATTTTTTTTTAACTAAGCTGGACATAAAATCTGCCGTTCTATTAATAAATTATTTTATTATTTTATATTATCAATTTGTTAATTCCTATTTTAGAAATTCAAGCTCCTTTTGCAGTACACATACCATTGAAGAAAGTGTTTTATTATCAAGTTATGCCTCACCGTAAAATAACATCCGAATCCAAAGTACACGCAAATTTTAATGACTGCCAGCGCATGCATGACTTCCTACCTGTTTCTACTCTTCACTCTGAATAATATGTGCAGTTAATACCATTAGTGCGCATGTATAAAATTGTAAATTGAAGAGAGAAATTGTAGCCAATTTGAGGATTGATAGTCGATAGTCTAGACTTCATCATTAAAATTATCTAACCAGCTGATCTCTTCCGGCCTCTTGTTTTCACATCTTCTCCAAGTGGCAGAACTGGTTTGAGTCTTTGTTAAATATTTGCCAGAATCCCTCAGGGACTGATTCCCATCTAGCTCTTCTGGGACAAGAGGGCACACAGTGAAAGCAATTATTACTTAAATGAGATGGGATCGGAAACAAAAGGAACAAGTCATTAATCAGAACATTAATTGAACAGGACGTGCGTGAAATTGTGTTGAGGAAGTGAATGTACAACACACGCATTAAATTGTTTTTTTTTATTGGTCTCATCAAAGCTATTAGTTTTCCGGGTGTTGAAATGATCTAAAGTTCTCTCAAAATCACTCTAGAATAAAGAATCAATTCCCTGTTGAATGTCAGATTCTTTTGTTCATATAAAATTTTCTAATTTCACATTCAAGAAATTTATATTACGATTTCTGCTTTTTATTATTTAGCCCTATATTTTATATTTACCAAAAGAAAGTTTCTATCTGAAATAATTTTTTTTAACAAATGTCGCAATTTTCGAAAACTGCGAAATATATCACGGTTAAAAAAAATCAGGTAATATGACTGATAATTGAAATAATTTGCCAGTAGAAATTGTTAGGAAAATGTAGATTTATTAAATAAAACGAAGCGAACAATTAACTTATTGAACTGGAATGGCAATGATGGTGTGTACAGGCGAATGGATGCAAAACTAGATTTTTCACACCTTTACGTGTGTTTTTTTTTACTGAACCCTGTTGGTAAATGATGATGAGCTGTAGGAAGTGCCTCCAGCCTCACCGTGCCCAGGGTGGTGCGTGAACTGCAGGTTGGCGCTGGCAGGGATGCTCAGTTCAGCGGCGTTACCAAACACGCTGGTTTGGCGGGCCAGGGGGTTCAAAGGGGCAGCTGCGACCAGGGGCGTAGCTGTGGCAGGGGCAAGAGGGGAGCCTTCAGCGGGGATGGCGGCTCCGTTGGAGAAAGTGGCAAAGTTAGAGGCGTATGAAGGCTGCTGAGGCAGGCTAGGGATGGACGGGCGGGCGCTGGGAGGGCGGAAGGCCGCTCCAGGAGCAGCATACTGATCCAACTGGTAACCCTGAGCAAGGAGTTGCTGGTGCTGCGTAGATAAAGTACAAAATTAATGATTTGATTTGTTTGATTTAAAAAAAAAAAAAATTAAGTAACTGAAAGAAAATAAGGCGATTCTGGTTAAAATAACAAAAAAGGTAATTAATAACTAACAATGTCTTCTTGTAAAAATTTATGAAATTTGGATACTAAAATTTAAGCAAACGTATTGAAAAACTACCACTTTTTTTATTTTACTAATGAAAAGAAAATTATTCGCTCTATATAAGGAATTTTTTTGTTCTAACCTGCTCACGAAGGGGGACATAAGTAACCGCATCAGGAGGAGGAACGATCGCCGGGGGTGGCTCAACAATGCGACGTGCACCATTGGGGATGACAGAGTTGACGATCTGAACGACTCCGGGGGCAGCTGTGGGCAGATTAGGGTCTCTAGGGGCTTCGGTGACGGGGGCAGTATTGGGGAGAATTCCGGAAGCGGGAGGGATGATGCCGAAAGCGGCGGCGGCGTTTGCGGCGTAGGACGGGGGGTTCACCATCTGGGGAGCTTGAGGAGCCTGGGGGCGAACTTGGGGCAACGGGCGGGGTGGAGGTGGAATGTCATTTTGGTCCTCTTGCACGGGGGCAGGTTCTGAGCGGGCGGCGAGAGCGGCATATGATGGGGAAGAGCCGTCAGGAATCACAATGCGGAAGTCCTTGTGGGAGGGAAGGGACGTTGGTGCGTGAAAACTGATGATCCTGCCGCAGGTCATCTGCAGGCTTAGCAGAACCTGGAAAAATATTCAATAAATATAAATTTTAAAATGTAAACAAATAATTTTTAAAGAAATTAACCTTCATCTCTGCACATATTTATGGTGTTTAACATTAAAACTTAAAACAATTTAATTGGTATTCATAGCTAACATTTGCAAATTTGCTTATCAATATATTTTATTTTTTATCCGCCACAGAGTAAACTAATTTTTTTTTTTTTTTGCCCCAAAATGAGTGCTTTATGCTGAAGTTTTACAGAACTAAAATTTATCAAGGTATTCTTTAATTTTTTTCACACAAATTAATGAGTTAGTTAAAGATGTGGATTGCTTAAAATAAATCAATTATTTCAATTTGATTTTAATCCCTTATAAGACTTTATTTTAAAGTAAAAAAAAAAATTAGAAAATTTTTGTTTTGATTTTCATGCGGCTTATTTTTTAAGAACTCATTGCTTTCTTGTACCTCTTATTTGATTATTGTGTAGCCCTGAAAAGGGCTGGTTTTGTTCCGAAGAAACAGATCTACTCTTCTTTTATTGCCTTCATTAATTTATTCTTGCCGTCTTCGGTTTTCCTTTCAACTTTCAAATCTTGCAGCCTTTCACATGCTTTCTCAGCCTCTTCAAATGATGCAGCTCGGACGAAGCGCAAGTTGGTGAGCGTTTCGATTCGCTGGATGGCAGTTTTCAACATTCCTGGAAATTGTGTCTTTTCCACCACCTGCCTGAGGCTCAAAAAGGGCTCTTCTTGGATGGCCCTGATGAGGCGTTGGTCGTCTTCATCCGTCGGAACAACTGCTTGCGAAATCCTCTTTTTGCGCCAATCAGCAGTCACTCTTCCTCCGTCCTTGTAAAGTCGGGACCACCTGCTGATTGTCCTAGTGCTGACCTTCATCCTGGCTGCAACAACTGCTTTCGGCTTTCCTTCTTGAAGCATGCTGATGGCTTGGTACTTCAGATCTTCCTTCACGGGTGCTGGCATGATGGAAAATGATGCGCTGCTCTCCCCCTGCCTGGTTTATATACCCGTCACGGGCCACGATCAGCCAATCAGATGTGACTGTCGAGTGCGCGTGCGCGCTAAGGGCTAACGTAAGATCGAGAGAAAAGGAGAATAATTCAAGGACTTTGAATCAAGACGAAAATATTATTTATTAATGCAAGTTGATCTTGTTCTTGCATGCTTAAAAAACTATTGATATGATAATCTTTTGAAAATAAAAGTCGTTTGAAGAAAAAATAAAAAAAATAGCCTAGCCTGCGGCGTATGTGGTTTTTTTCATCTCAGGAAATTTAGAAAAATTCTTGCTAGCGGTCCAAACAATTTAAATTTCTTTCAATAAAATTGTACAAAAATTTAATGTAAACAATATATTTGTAACGATGTTGACAAATAAACAACAAAAATAGGTAATAGGACATGGTCAGATCAAATCTTTACAACAATGGTGTTTAAATTAACAATTGTTTTCCAATATTTGCCAAAAATGGCTTCTTTTGTTGTAAATAATTTATTTGACTATGCCAATAAGAAATATCATAAAAAGTTAGAAATAATTAAATTTTTTAAATCAATTAGTGAATTTTACTATAGTTTTGTTTCACATTTTCCATTAAATAGATTTTTTAAGGTCTTGAAGTAATTGGTGCGGTTTAGCAACTTTCGTTTTATTTTCATTTCTATCTGCCAACTTTTTTGTGCGGATATTGCAGTCTATCCAAACAAGTATGTAGAAGTTGCCTAACCGTTCTAAATACAAAAATAATTTATCTGAAAAGACAAGTTTTGTTCCATACAACCTTGAAACGAGCTGTGCTTTAAAATAGAAAAAAATGCACACAAAATTTGGCAACATAAATTCCACACACGCATTAATTTTTTTCCAACCTTTCATAATTGCGTACATGTTGCTAGAAACCTTTCAGTCACTTCTCAAACCGGATATTTGGGTCAGGATTTCCTAAATTAGCCTTTAGTTGTGACACCGGTCGCTCATGATATTATTTAACTTTTTTGCGTCAAATCGAATCAGACATTGTCGAGGCATGAACCTGCTCTTTGCATACAAAACACATCAATCAGATTGATTAGCAGGCGGGGACAATTATTACATAATGTGCGGCGCCTACGGCCTGTTAACATTAAAGGCATTGAAAATATAATGTAGGCTAGGCGACTAGAAAAAGAATAACAACGCCGCCGTTCTGGTTACATAATTCAATTAATTCCACGTCTGTGGTAGCGAAAAGAAAGTTATAATCGAGTGTAGTCTGAAGGCTGCGAAAAATAAAAAAGTATCGAAGGAGAGGCGCGAATTTGCTCACTTTTACCGATGAATGTGTCAACTGACTTGGATCATATTATAAATAAATGTGCGACTTTTATGATCGTTTCGATATATATTTTATTTGCAAGAGTACGCAAGCAGTCAGAATTTTCTCTGCGCTCTCACATATGTGTACGCTCTTGAAATTATCCTGCTTTCTCTGGTTCTGAGATGAACCGTGTATTATAGTGATCCTCACGACTCGCACGAAATTGAATGTAATTTGATAGCGGAAACCTAACAATGAATCATAAATTGGGAAACGATTCATCTCGATTTCAACCGGAAGGATAAAGGTAATAGAAACGCAAGATTTTGTGCCAAGCATAATTTATGGCACTTGATTTTCAACAATTTCTAATGGAAGTAAAAATTAAAAATGTATACATTGTTTGGCTCTTACTATTATATTAAAAATTGCTTATTCCTCCAATTAACTTCGTTTGCGAAACACAATTAAAATTAGGTTAACTCACGTGTTCTGCCAAGGTCAGAGGCTAATTACTTTAATTAGTATTGCTAAATTAATATTTAAAAAATAAAAAAATAAGTGAAAATAAGTTTTCTTTTTCTCATTGTCAGAACAAACGAAAAAAATGAAATGACAAAAATATTATATATATTCAGAGACAAATAGGAACACGGTGCTTTGAATAACACTGAAACTTAAAAGCCGAGTTATTATTGCATTATAGATTATAGTTTAATTCTGATACATATACACGTACAGCTTTTGCACACATATCAAACAAATAAAATTTAAAGAAATTGCAAATTTTTCTCAACAGATTACCATAGTTTTAAGATAAAAATAACATTTTACACATTTATTTTCAACTTTCAGCATGATGTTATAATCATAAATGATTCGATTTAAAAAAATCAATTGGTTTTTAAATCACTTGACTTACCCCGAGAAGAGCTAGGTTTAGTTTGCTGGGTGCCATGGCGTGAAATGTGCGAAAAGCCGGTGCGGCCGTGAGTGTATAGCTCGTCCGCTCGCTCTCCGCGCTAAGTGTGCAGCCCCCCTTTCTAAAAAGCGTGTTCCCTTCCTCCGTGGACCGCTCGCAACCCGCAGCATCCACTTTCGAGATACCAGGTGGGTGAACACACAGTCTGTCGATCGTTGTAGGTGGAGAAAGTAGCGATCACATGCATAAGCGAATTTATTTCCATACTTAAAGTTTTAATTACGTCACACTTCGCTTGAACTGCAGAATTTATACACTTTTTGCAAATATGACAATTAAATAATTAAAATTCAGCACTTTCCCTATAAGCACAGCGAATTTGCAATGAAACAAATGAAATGCGTTAATTTCTATGGAAATGCTAATTTAGCAATCTTTTTTTTTAGTGTGTTGCAAGTTTTAATCGACCAGACAATTTTTTTCCCTCTGTAATCATTCAAAATTGTATCAATTATATCAAAGCTCAAATAAGCACAGATTCACGCAACAGACTTAATTGACGGTTTTTTTTTAAGGTCAAGTGATTATTTTAAAAACAGCATTGTAACTTATAAAAAGACCAATTTTGTGAGAAAGTCGACATTGAATGTGATTTTTAAGCCAAATTTAAGTTCTCCTTGTTAATTTGTTTCAACTTTATTTCTTACAATTAGACCAGGAAAATCATTCATTCTTTTCACCTCTAACAAATATTAAAGTCAACTAAAACCGATCGTTGTGTCACCTATATTTTCAAAGAATCATAATCATAAAAAAATTCCCAATTTATTAACAAATTTAAGTCGTGGATTTGAGATAAAATTTTTACTTTTGAAATTTCAAAACCAATTCTCAAATCAAAATCAAGCGTCATAAATAAAAAAAAAAAATTGAAAAATTAGTAGTTGAAATTACTTTTATGACCTCCTAACTTTTTTTACGTGCAATTTTGCAAACCTGTCCACTTTTTAAAATCCGGCAGAATCACTTTTTCATTGAGATCATTGAACTCACATTCACACAAATTTATTACCCGGCACTTCGGGCTATATCAAACTATCAGACAATTTTATTGTTATTGTCCGGTAAAAATTGAATCGCCGTCTTTTCGCGGCCTTACTTAGACATCAATGCTGCATACGAACTGCCTTTCATATCGTGTTCGTATTCAATGAGCGCTCTGATGTAATGATTAATGACAACTTAAATGGGCATGATTCTAATGAAAAGGAGTGGTCACTGCAACTGCAGTCGTACGAGAGTCCACACTCATTACAATGCACAATGCGCGCAGGTGATTGTTGAGAAAGAAAGTGGTGCGGTTGCGAGACAACATTGGAGACTTTGTGCATTATTTTGGTTCCACTCGAAAAAGTTTGGCGACAGGTCGTGGGAATCGCAATTATCCGGCCGGCGGCGCCTTTGCGCACCGTCCCGCGGCACGCACGACCCGAAACCTTGAGGACCTTGTGCGCTGCACGCAATATGAGATTGAAATTATTTAGCGTTATTCAGAATAAGTACAAGAAGTGGTCGTTAGCGCAAGTGGTATGAATGGAAAGTGGTTCGTTTGGCAAGAATCTCTGCGGCTTTTTGTGACTCTCGAGAAAATTCAAGGAGAGCTTCAGAATTTACAAAAAAAATGATACTAATTGAAGAGTTTAGCGTGCGGTTTTTTGGCGAAAGCAGCGGCAAACCTTCAAATTTCTCTCAATAGAATCGATGAATTTTTAAAAATATATTTATTATTCATTTTTACATTCATATATTACTATGAAAATGGTATGATATAACTGAAATTTTAAGTGTTTTCCTATCTATAAAAAAATACATGCACAATAAATATTAACAAGCGATTAGTAAAATAAATTTTCATAAAAAGAAATTGTATACAAAGCAAATAAAATTTGCTCGCATAACTATAAAATTGAGCAAATATTATTTAATATTATATTCTATTTTAGCAATGTGGCTCATTCAGTTATTCAGTATTTTAATATAATTTTTTACTGTGAAAATAATTATGGTAAATTTGAAAATTCTGAATATATATTTGGTGTAAAATGATACAATAAAATACAATAAAAAATCTGGTGCCTCCAACATATTAAAAATACAAGTCAAGCAGAAGCGGCAAAACTTGCTTGTCCAGTTCGTAATTTTTTTCCCATCAGTCTATTTTTAATTGGCCCACTCCCTGTAACAGTCCAGACTTTGAATGTCTGGACTAAAGATGGAGCTAAAGCTTGAAGTTGAATTTCTGTTCTAAGCCACTTTCACTTTGAAACTGCCGTATAGGCAACGTGCATTACACGAATGTAAAGCCAGTTGCCTTTTGTTCACAAAGCTAAAAAAATGCTAATTTGCACTATAATTTGAAATGAAATACAAAATTATTTTACTTAGCACCAATTGACACAACTATATTATTAATCTGAAATTAGTGTGCTAAACTAAAATTGTAATTTGACGAAAATAAGTTATGATTGTTTAAACAACAATTCGCCTTTACGCAACATTTTATTTTACAAAAATTATACATAATACAAATAATGCATTAAATCTTGGAAAGCTCTCATAGTTGATGAATAATTATTCCAAATTGAGAGCACCGAGTTATAGTCTTTTATCGAATATTTTCTGAAGCAGTCTCTTCACCACCAGGGATCGGTGACGTATGGTTTGGGCACAAGATAAGGCTTGGGCACCAGATAGGGAGTGGGCACTCCGTAGGGGATGGCCTTGGGCACAGGCACAGGGTACGGCTTTTCGTAGGGAACGGCGAATGGCTTTGCAACAGGAACGGGCACTTTGTACGGAACGTGGACGGGGTAGGGCTTTTCGACAGGCACGGCGTACGGCTTTTCAACGGCGACTGGGACCTTCACCGGCACGTGCACGGCGTAGGGGCGGGGAACGTCGACAGGGTAGTATGCGGGCACTTTGTAGGGAACCTTCTTTTCTACGATAAACGGAACAGCGTGTGGAACAGGCACTCCCACATGTTTGGTGATTTCCACGGTTGTGGGTGGCAAAGCCTTGTCGAACAGGTCATAGTCTCCATAAGAGCCGTAGGAGGAGAAGACACCCCTCTTGTCCCGCTTGTCTTCAGACACTTCCGCTGCCAGGGCGCAGCCCGCCAAAAGACAAACCTGAATTATTAAAATACAAATATATATTACCAATACATTGATCTAAATATAAACATTAATCAATAGATGCTATAGAAATATTTATAAGAATTGATAAGCTTTAAGGTAATCCAATTTTACTGTCTCAATTATTTAAAAAAACGATTGCTTAAAAATGAATAGGATTTTTTTTTAAATGGGAAATATCTCAAACATGCATGAAATGTAATGCAAATAAAAATGTTATAAGTTTTAATTTATAGATACTTTTGTTCTATTAACAATTACATCTGCGTTTAATATAGAAACAGAGCGGTCTTTTAAATTCTTGACAGCTTAATTTTTTAAAAATTTAAAAATGCAAACAAACTTCACACTCATAAAACAATTTGAAGGAATTTTGTAAATTTATCTAGCTTTCCTCTTAAAGAAACTACATTTGAAGACAGAATTTATAGAAAGAAAACAATTTTTTTGCTTATTTGTTTGGGTTTGGGGAGAGCTATAAAAGATGGCATTATAATCAAATTGTTATTGAAATTGATATATTGGAGAATTTGAAAACGGTTAGGGATAAAGAAAGACGCAATACAAGAAAAGTGGTGTACTCACCAGCAAGGTCTTCATGTCGTGTCCGTCGCTCTGCTCCCACAGTGGTTATATCACGGTTATCTAATACACGCATTGTATTTATACAGTCGGCCTCCCCACTTTTGAAATGTGGGCTACTCGCATGCATTCAGTAGTTCACCTTTACATAGTATCGCCCTTGATCACCCCATTTACATATTTTCCCAAAAAAAGGTAGTACGCACCATTAAAAAGGTCCTTTTTTATTAAATATAGTAACAAGTCATTTTTTTTTTGTTAATTAATAATTTAATAAAAGTAAAGTTTCACAAAACTTATGAAAACTTATTTCAATAACCAATTTTTTTTTTAATTTTCCGTCTTCACAAATGTTACACATTTTTCCAAAGAAAAGAAACTTCTTTTTTCCTTATGCAAAATAAGTTTTTAATTGGCGTGGTTCTAATAATTAAAAAATCAATTACCCGATTACGCGTATACCCACGTGCACCTGACTTACAGTATTTAATTGCAGCGACAAGGAAATGCAATATGCTGGAAACAATTTCAATTTCTCCTCAAACTCACCATGCATAAATTTTTAGCGCGCACTATACATTTATTTTCTCTATGGAAACCGAGTAAGGCCCAAGGGATAATTTTACCATAAATTCTTGTTTTCAGCCCGCGAGCGCTTCACGCCAGTGTCCGGTGCAATAAATCTCGGCAGCCTGCAGTAATAATAGCACCACTTGCATGTGACGCCTTCTTAAATAAGCAGGTTAGTTTTCTTTCAAAGTGCGCGTGGTGAGTTCACGGATGACTATGGGGCACTTCCTGCACATACTGCAGTTTTCGTTAATTAAAAACTGAAATAATGCCATTTGGGCATGTGATTAAATCTCATTGAAACACGGAGTGTTTATAAAATTCATAAAAATAATTTTTAGCCATTTGAATCATACAATTAAAATGATATTTTCATTTTTAAACTTGAAATTTATTTCATTTTAAATGTTTTAATGGTATATTTATTTCATTCAATGCAATTGCAATAAATATATAATTGTACTCACTTAGTCAATATTATTTTTGATTGCAAAATATCTTTTTCGGTTTTTAAATTTAAATTGTTATTTTATGTTATTTAATGGTTTTCCAAGTACCCTGTGATCTCTCAGTTTCAGATTTTCTTTATTGTTTGCTTTTTATCTTCTTATGAAGAAATTCCCCATTATTTTTAAAACCCTAAATGCATGCAATTTGAATAAAAAACTTGTTTTAGGCATGTTGGTCTCTATAAATTTCAGCCAGTTTGCCTCTAGAACAGTCGAATCAGTTAATTACGCAGCAAAGGAGGTAGGAATTTTGGCTCTTGGTTGCAGGAAATGCAGAAAAAAACCGGTCGAAAATAATTTTTTTTCGTCATTGTCCAATCAATTTAGGGCAAACAGGAGAGTTACTCGCGATTTATTGCGTGTATTTGACGGTTTTTCTTACACTTGGCCTGCTTCCCCACTCGCAGATACCCACGTAAAAAAAAATCAGCAATCTCTCGCAATAATCAGATCGGTTACCAAATCTAATAAAGCGAGAACATGGACGTGTTAAATTTCTAATAAAAATTTCTGACATACAATTAAATTGATTCAACTTGAAACTATTTATGAGTATACCTCTGTTCACCTCGGTTGCAGTTAACTCATGCAAAATTTATCTCCTTCTAACTGGCATTTTACATAAATAATAGATTTATTCACGCTGTCGGCTTTTTATGCAAATAATTAAAACTGACAAAACATGTGTTCCATTTGCAACCGGGGTTACCTTTCTTTTTAACAGTTATAGTCACGAATTTCCCCAAAACAAAATGCAAAAAGTGCTCCAAATTGTTGCATCACGACGAGAGAATGGTGCAATTTTAGACCAAAACATTGCCAACGTGTGTGTTTAAATGTTTATTAAAACATTTCGCTAAAACGTGCGTCAGATGCGGAGCGAAATTCTCAGCCGCGTGAGAACCGGCGGACAATGGGCGTTATTAATTAATTGCGAGATAATATGCACGCAGAGATAGCAGCGTTTGCAGAATGAAATAAGCAGACTCGTTTTGTGAATTCAAAGGTGGCCGGCGATATAAAAGTACACGCGCTGAATTTTCACCTTGCCTTTGAGGATAAATTTGTCGCAATATTCTGCGGCATTGTTTTAATTACACAGTCAAGGCCCGAGATTGAATCTACTTGACCGCAAAAATATATACTTTAATTATTTGTCGATTGTAAAGTTGTTGAGTTTGTACATATTTAAACAAGGATGAAAGTGAAACGATTTTGTTTTAGCTATAAAATTTTATTTGCAATAAGTCTTTGAATGCCACAGCTTCCTATTTATTCTTTCTGTTATAACACAAAAAGAGATCGTGCAGAAATTATCATCGGTAACAATCCCACCGTTGCCCTCACATCAAATTACGACAATGAGAGAAAAGTGATTAGACAATGAGGTAAACTTTCATTCGTGCTAACAGTCAATCAACTCAAATCTTTCTCGTGACTAACTTTTAAAAAGGCACAAATAATATTTTGTGAACAGTCTTTTTTAGATTTACTTCTTGCCAAGGTGGACGTCCTCGGGGAAGGAGGAAAAGCCAGTGGTGTCCAGGCTGACGTCCAGGGGCTCTTTGTGCTCAATGGGGACAGGGTAGTCCTTGACGTAGGGCACGGGGATGTCCTTGTTAATGGGGACGGGGTAGGGAGCATCGACTCCGACGGGAACGGGCTTGTCGACAAAAACATTGAAGGGCTTTTCAATTTTGACAGGGTAAGGGGCGTCGTAGTAAACAGGAACCTTCTTCTTAACCACAAACGGGACGGGTTTGTCGACGGGGACGACGAAAGGCTTCACAACTGGAACGGCCACCTTCTTGTGGATGGTCAGGGTGGGAGGGCGAAGGAGGTCGTGGGCGGCCAGAAGGGCGAAGGGAGAGGAGTAGGGCGAGTAGAGGCCAAGGGCTGCTTTCTTCAGTAGCAGGCTTGAGTAGAGGCTGGGGTAGAGTCGGGGGTAGAGACCTGAATACAGGCTAGGGTAAAGGCCGAGGCCAAGACCAGGGTAGAGACCAGGAGCGGGAAGGCTGCTCACTGCGGCCACTGCCGCAAGGACGACCTTATCAAAAAAGGAAATAACATGGAATTTTAAAATTTAAAATAGTTTCATAAAAATTTTGACTGTTAAATCTCTAGTCTCGATTTTAAAATAGAATTAATAACGTACAAATTGACAAAAAATATCATTTTTTTTTTTTGAAATTGATTTTTTAAAAAAAATTAAAAATTAAAAAAAATTTGTTACGTTGAAGTGTGATTTTCAACTAATTTTCTACTACTGAATATTTCTAGCACTTACAAGCAATAGTTTCATGTTGCTCTTTTGCTCTGCCGGATAGACTGATGCATTTTGCTAGGATCAAGAATAATTTATAGGCGCGCATGCAATACCCCTGCTTTTTTCTCGCGAATGTTGCACTTTCTCTGCGGGTCGCCGCATTTAATCGATGCACCTATGCGTATTTCTCGCTGCAACCTGAGAGCATTACGTGCACATATAAGCGGCAGTGAAACCAAACTGACCACTCTGGTAGGAAAAGGCCCTTTTTTGAATTCAATCTCACTCTCGCAGCCGACAATGAGCACTGTACTAGTCAAGTGACTTTTTCCAATGCCGGATTTCTCGTCACACATCATAAATTTTTTATCACTTTTTGAACCTTCAGGTGTATTTTATAATATTGAAAACATATTCAATCTGAGAATAAAAATAAAATATAGTGAAAAGAAATTTCAACATTTTCAAATGTTTAGGAATCCTATACAATATTTGATTATAATTCTCTAATGCCACTTTTTATATTAATCTTAATTAATTATTAATCATCTTTTTTTTGCATAATTAACAACTATTTAATCTTTAGTAAATTGGAAACAACGGTGAATTTACTGCGTTTGTTTGCTATTTCCCAAATTGAGTAAAAAGGAAAATATTTTAGTGAAATCTTTGGCTCTTATTTGTCCATGCAAGTACGATAGGTCAGTGCCACATGCAGGAAGAGTCTGATGCAAACAAAGATGCATTTTTTTGTTTCTCCTTAAGAATAAACAACCCGCTGCTTTCTCTGAAAATTTTTCTCAACCAACTCGTGGGAAGTCTACGTGCTGCAAGTAAATAATATATTTTCCTTGTTGACAGCGGAATGAACACCTGTCGAATGATTCTAATTATTAGAGATCGAGCTGATTGGAAATTCAAACGATGGTGGTGTGCAGAAAATGTCATTCATGTTTATTGAAGTAATCACAGCTTTTTTAACTTATAACGAATAGGCACACAGACAAAATAAAATACAACGCAACAATAATAAAATTAAGCATAATTACTGGAAAATAATTCAATTAACTTAATGTGTTTATTTTTCCATAGATATCAAGCTGAAATATTGAATATAAAATAAAAGAACAAAAGTAGCGTGAATGAAAGATCGTACTAGACAAACATGATTGGAATTATATTTATTGGCTCCCTGTAAAAATAATCTTCATTAAAAATAACATTTTGAGGTAAAAAAATAGTAATAATAATAATTAAAAAAGGCAATTTAAGAATAAGTTTTATTTTAACCGTTTGTGTCTTGTATCATCTGCAATTCACGATGCTTGTTTTCTTTAATATTATGCATTATTATGCATGCTTCATATCTTGAGAATAATAAATATTTTGTTAACTGTCATACTGGCGGATCTCTCTTTATTTTTTACCGTGGCCGACCGCTTTGCCCATCTCTTGATTCTGGTAGCTATATGAAGCTCCAACCGTGAAGGCACTCGGGTCGGCTTGTTGGGGATGACCAACTATTGTTTGCGTCTGGTGGTGCGCCTGCAAAAGCTGCGACTGGGGTACAGCTCTGGACACTACTTGCGTCTGAAATCAAGCGTTTGTTATAATAACGAACGTCCCAAATATTAACTCTATGTATTTATATATTCATTAATGTAAAAAATGTTAACCTAAAACAAAATTAATTTATTTAAAATTTTGTTTAGATTAAAAAAATTAAATTTAAAACAAAATTAAAAAAGAACACAGATGCTTATGTGTAAAAAAAAGTATTGATTATGAAGGAATATTAGAAGCAAATCGATTTAAAGAGCAAAAAATTGTTTTAAATTAATAATAATGACATCGCATACCTGTGGCTGCTGAGGCTGCATGAAAGCTTGCGGCTGCATGAAACTCTGCGGCTGCAGCATAACAAATATCTGCCTGTGAGGATTCTGCGCCAATGATTGCGCCGTGGCTGCGTTGATCAGAACCAACTGGGCCATCTGTCCGATGGGCTGCTGTCCTGCAGCAGGGTAGTAGGAATATGGGGACACTGGTGCGCTGTACAGTGGCCTGGCAGGTCGGGGGTCATAGTAAAATGGCTGCATGGCGGGTTGCCTGAATCTGGCGGGTCTTCTCAGGGGCACTCGGGACATGTAGGCGGGCGCGTAGGCTCTTTGCGGCTGGTAGTACGTCTGCTGGCTCAGCGCCGCAGCGTAAGGGTTGTTCGCGTACACAGGGTAGTTTTGATATGAGGGCGAGGGCGATGAGGGGTAGACGGCTTGCGCGTCGCCGGTCATGGATTGGTGCGCCAGGGAGGTCAGGAAAAGAAGCGTTGGCTGGAGAAACGCCTGCTGCTCGAAAAAATTTAAATTTATAAAAAGTGAGTTTTGAAATCCTCGATTGATTAAAAACTAAAAGAGTTAAAATATGTTACAGAATCCATCAAAAAAAAAAAAATTCACGGAAAAGGTTAAATGAAATGAAATTAAAAATAAAAAAATATCGGATTGAATCGCATTTTGTCATTTGATTTTTATAGCTAGTTTTTTATTATTACCAATAAATAAATCGCAAAAAGAAAATTTATTGAATGTGTATTTATTTAAAACTATATAGCTTTATGTAATAATATTCATGCAGTTGTAAAACTCAAAATAAATTCAACAAAACAAGTTGAATCAAAAAATAAACTTACCATTTTAATGGTTCTAAAACTTCTATCCGAATCCAACTCGCTAGTCTGACAAGACTTATTCCCTTGGCCAAGGTCGGTGCGAGGATGAGTTTGGCCGAGTGAGTGACCCTGCCTCTTATAGTGCTGGCCTTGCTCTTGACATTCAGATTCGCCGGTGCATCATCCTCTCCACGCACAAAAACAGATGCCGCGTCTGTTTTTTCGTGTCTCGCCGGCCATTACTTTCTCTATCGTCCAGTTCAAAGGACCATCCATATATGAGCGACTTGTTTGCGCGCCTATCGAAAGAAAGTGAAACACGCACCGATAGTGCATCTGCGTACCGCAGCAAGTACACCTGATAGATTTCGAATTAATTTGTTGCTAAACAGGCTTTAAAAAATGCAGTCGTGATATGTACGGAGAAAATTTTTTCTTCGTGACGATGAGGGAAATCACTTTTTAAATGTCAGTAGAGGTGGATGCATATCCAACTATTTTTTTTCCGTCATGAAGTTAAAGACAATTTTTTATTTTTATAGAAAAGGCTGTTTTTTATTTTGCTTCCATCTATGTTTAAACACATTTTAAACAGAGGCTTGTTTGAAAATTTTTATAGCAGTTGGTGAACAGGTCACTCTATACATTGCAAAATTAAAACTTTTGCAGAAAAATATTCAGAATCTCTCTCGTGATTCCAGTCAGTTTGAGCAAATTAGTGCCTACATGCGGCTGCAATTGATAGACTTCTTCTTATACATTCTATTTACAACGAAGAAAAGATGCAGCGCAAGTACTGCGGAAAAATCTCTAGGTCAGTCTTGTTTTTTTTTTTTCATTTTCTAAAATTGTGGTTGAGAAATGATCGAAGGTGCGGAGAAACTGCTCAAAGGGCCTTCAGTCCGTGGACTGTGGGCACGTAGGCTCCCGTGATGTCGCCGTGGGCGAAGGACAGGGGCTCGGCGTGGTAGGGCACGGCACGAGGAATCTCGACAGGGACGTGGTTGGGCACCTCGACTCCCACGGCGCGGGGAATGGCGTAGGGCACGGCCCTGGGAACCTCAACGGCCACCGGCTTGTGTTCCTTGATGTACACGGGTCGGGGCACGGGGATGCGGACGTGCTCGATCACTTTGACAGGCACAGCGCGAGGAATGGGCACAATGACAGGGTGAGGAACCTTGATGGGGTACGCCGAGTGGATGGTGCGCACGCTGTAAGGGAAGAGTCCGCGACGGGGCCTCACTGCGGCGGCAGAAGCTACCAGAGCCACGAAAGCGACCAAAACCTTCAGAGAAAAGAATTTTTGAATGCAGGATTTTTGTAATTAATTTGTCAGTTGAATAGAAAGGAATTGAAAAAAAAAAAAAATTGGTTGAATTTATTTATTAATTTTGAATTTAAATTAAATATTTTTTACTGTACACATGTTAACCAAATAATAACTTCAATAACTTTACACTTGAACTTAACGTAAAAATAATAAGCCAGTAAAATTCTACTGTAAAAGTATAAATAGTCATTTTAAAACAATTAAATTCAAATTTTTTTGTAGTTAAAGTTATATTTAATCATTTGGAATTTCAGAGCCCTTTGCTTTTAATATTAGAAAATCTCAACTTCCGGACTTACCAGGAACCTCATGACTGGGAGTGTATGTTGCGCGTGAGACGGCGGTGGAGTGAAAAACGTAATTGCAACAAGCGCGGGGATTATTATTTATAGGAAGGTGCACTGCGATGTGATTTCGTGTCCGTTCGCCACTTTCCCCACCACCTCGGGAGGGAGTTTTAAGTTGTTTTGTCCTTTTCCAGGGAGCGTTTTCTCATTTTTTCCAAATCTCATTCATTGAAAGCAGGATTTCTGTGATATTTTTATAATGAAATTTTAAAAATGTTGCTCTAATAAAAATTATGTTTATTTAGTACATAAAAAGATTGCGATTCTCATTAAGTTTATTGAAGTTTATTTTTATCATTTGTTTTAATGTGAAATTTTTTAATTAAAAACAATTAAATATCAATTGTTTAAAACAATGATTAAAATGATTTTAAAGTCCAATATTTTTATTTTTTATAACTATTAAATTTCATGCTGTTAATTATTTAGCTATTAATGCTGATGGAGCCCTACATTCCTGGGAGTAATATAGCAAATATTCAAAAAAAAATTACCTAGTATACATAAATTTTGAATCAGTTGAAATAAAATTTTAAAAATCATGTTACTCACCTATTCCAAGTAGTTAGTGACTTCTTCATCTGAGTAAAGAAATGAAGATACAGTATTAGACCATATAAACTGAAATTTAAAATTTTGATTACCTTGATGAACAGAAATAAATAATGATGAAGTAAAAATCCCGTTTTTTTTGCTTCACATTTTGTATTTTTTTTCTCCTTTAATTTGATTTTTGTAAAGAACAATAAAGAATAACAATAATAACTAGGGAGCTGCCTTTATTGTTGTTCCTTAAAAAAAATAAAAATTAGCTTATGGATCTTATTTTGACCTCAGTGAGAATGTAAGAACACAATTATTTTAAGAATATTATTCAACATAGGCATTTTATTAAATTTTGCTATTATTATTTAAGGTTTATTACATGATGACATTGACTTATTGGTATGTGAATGAGTTCACCAATAAATATCAATAAGATCCTTCAATGCCATTGAGCTCTTCATGAACAAAACTGTAAAATTACAAAAAGAGCAATTAAATAATTTTATTTTTACCACTGGCACGCGTGAACTGAAAATATAGCGTCGGTTGCGCAAGTGCATGAATGTCTGAGAAAGTGCATAATAATGACTGTTAATGATCATATCCTCGCAAGTTCAAAAACAAGGTCACACGCTACCAGTCGCGATTCCTCTTGGCAAAATGCACTTTTACTTTTTCGCGTGTATTCATAGACTGGTTTTGCGCGTAGAGAAGGAAAGTTTTAATCCGCCACTTTTGAACTAGCAATTTCATTAGCGAGACTGTCATTTTCCACGCCGTTGCCTCAGGCAAAAGCTTGCAATTATGTTTCAATGAAATGTGCAAATTATATGTCTCTATAAATAAACCGAAATAAACTAATCATTGCCATTTGCAACAATCAGTTGAAAGGTATTATTACTATTATTTCATAATAATCGTCGCCATCATGGTGATAGAATTAAAGATAGTTTTGAATGAAACTTAATTATTTCTGTTTGTTAACATTTTATTTATTGTTCAGAACAATCGCGATTTTATCCAAGTGAACATTGAAGACTATATGCACTTTTAATAAATGATCATCTGTGGCGCAAAACATTTTTCTTGAAATCATGGATTTTTTGGTGCATTCTTTTTTTTATCACATTTTGTCTTTCATTGCTGTGGCATAACATTTTGAATGCTATAATGTCATACATACATATTAGATTGCGGAATATGCATTGAAAATAGGAACCACGCACCCTCACAAATCAATGGACAGCGCTTAATAGGATTAGTGCTTGCCTCCATAGCCACCTCCAGCGCCACCGCCGCCTCCTCCCAGACTGATGGAATGTCCACCTCCGGAGCCGCCTCCGAATCCGCCAGAGCTGCCTCCGTGGCCACCGCCAAATCCGGAACTGCCACCAAATCCGCCAGCGCCGCCTCCGTGACCACCGCCGAATCCGGAACCACCTCCGAAGCCTCCAGAGCCACCTCCGAAACCTCCGTGGCCACCTCCGAAGCCGCCTAATTGAAAAAAATGCATTTATTATACAAAATGAAATAATGTTATGTCAAATACTAACCGCCTCCAAATCCACCAGCACCGCCTCCGAATCCGCCTCCGTTACCGCCTCCAAATCCACCGCCGCCGCCGCCTCCCAAAGCGCCTCCAACCTGGCCGACGTTATTGTTGGTGCCAACGACGACAGGAGATCCAACGATGTAGGGTTGAGGAACATTCACAGGGACAGGCTTCGGGACTTGGACAGGTTGTCCGACGGGGATAGTAATGGGCACAGGCCTGGGAACGGCAACGGGAATGGGACGGGGAATGGAAACGGGGTAAGGCCTATCGACGGGGACGGGGTAAGGACGAGGAATGGTCACCTAAGTAATTAAATGAATTAATTAGTTTATTTTTCAATAACAATTAAATATGATTAAATTTTGCATGCAAAAATTTAGTAACTTAATCAGAAATGCGCCATGCATAATAAAAAAATTGGATTAAAAAATGATTTGTGAAAGATATATTATAAAAAAAAATTATTTGGCAGACAGAATTAATTAACAAATAAAGTACTAATTATTGCGCACAAATATTTTTGCTCATTTTGAAAAATTTTACCTGCCATAAATTTTTTGGATTGATTATTATCATTTTCCTTATCAGTTTTTCTTATATTCACAAAAAAACGAAGGTGAAATCACATTTATTCTTATTCATTTTGAATTTGTGTCATATCTTAAATCAATCTAATTAGCTCATCTCTTGAGATTTAAAAATGATTTATGTCAAATTAATTTTCCACTCACTTGAACAGCCTGAGGAACTGAAACTGGCACTGGTCTGGGAACTGCAACGGGGAAAGGTTGGGGAACAGCAACTGGATAGGGTCTGTTGATCGTAATTGGCACGGCCTGAGGAACGTTAACGTGCTGGGTAGTGGTGATCACACGAACAGGAGCATTTCCACCAGCTCCTCCGGCACCACCGGCACCTCCAGCTCCTCCAGCACCACCTGAGAAATAATATCCTTTTGATATCATGGAAATTATGACGTATTAATTTTAATTGCTAATTCAATCACGAGATCAATGAAGAGTGAAACGCCCAAAAGATCATTTTAGAAAGAACAAAATCAGATAAGACCGACCAAAGTAAATAAATTACAATTACGAAAAGTTGGAGTGAATTTAAAATAAGATTAGCACTCATGAAACAAGAGAACAAGTGTTAAAAAAGATACCATCGTCTCCACCTCCAAATCCGCCTCCTGCGCCACCGCCAAAGCCGCCTCCGGAACCGGAACCACCGAAACCGCCTCCGCCTCCAGAACCACCGTAGCCGCCTCCAGATTCGCCTCCGTAGCCACCGGCGCTAGCACCGTAGCCCGAGGAGTCTCCGCCACCATATCCGCCGCCTCCACCGCCTAGGCTTGAGCCACCTCCGATGTCACCTCCTCCAAAACCACCAGCATCGCCTCCACCTGGGAAATTTAAATCCAAGTTAAATATATGTAGTTTCTCTTGCGAGTAAATGATTTGTTTTTGTCGAAAATAGTTACCAAGTCCGCCGTGGTCACCGCCGCCGCCGAATCCACCGGCCAATCCTCTCTTCTCCTTCTTGTCTGAAGCGGCCGCTTGAACTTCAATGGTGGCCCCAGTTTCTTTGGCTTTGGCCGCCTCCTCTGCTGTCGCCAGTGCGACCAAGAGGACTGCGCATACCTGAAATTCGAATTGGATTATTTTCAGAAGTGAAATAATTATAAAATTATAGTTATTTTTTTCAATTGTTGTTTTTTTTTCGTTTTGATAAAAAAAAGTGAAATTTGGTGGCTCACCAGGAACCTCATCTTGTGAGATGCAGTGGTGCTGTGATGCATTTGATTTGTTAGACTACTCTTTTATAGTGTTGCGCTCCCTTCACCATCATCCATGCGCATCTGGCCGCCTTTGTCCAGGCAGATGGTGTCCCTACCGCCGCGGTGGTTCCTCGAAAGTCGGAAGGATGTATTAATTTAGGCTCGCAATGCGGCGCCGATTCTGCACAGTCATATGGAGAGAAATTCCAGCAGTCTGGCAAAAAATTAGAGAAAAGATCATCAATCTGAATTGCTTATCTTCAAAATGTGCATGCAGCTGAATTTTCCTAATTACCGCAAGTCAAATCTCTCTGCACTCCATGACTTCATTCATTATAAATTATTAAGCAAAAATATTTACTTATGCATCTTTAATAAAAATTTATCTCAACAAATTCTTAATAAAAGTGAATAAAAGATAATTATATTGTGAGATTAATATTATTTGTTAAGGGAATGTTGGAAAATTGTACAGTTATTTATTTGTTACAAATAAAATGAAAGCTGACTTAAAGGTATGCAACTCTTGAACCTCTGAGCTAGCGCGTGCTGCATAAGTTATTGGTAAAAGGAAATATTGAAGCATTGATGCTTATTTTAACTAGCATGCAATACAAAATAATAAAATTTATTCTATAAAATTACTTTCATTTTACATACTTCAATTTGAAATTTAAACATGACTTGCCCAATTTTTGCATTCTTTTGAAAACTGCCATAAAAAGTAACTTAAATTGTGTATTTTTGTACTACAATCAACAACGATATACTCGTCACTGCTATTTACTATTACATGTAAATGATTTTTTTTCTAAAGCATTATTTTGTCAGTAAAACAAATATTGATTTTTAAAATCTTATAAACTCTTTAAAAACGACATTGTAGTTGATGTATTACGTATTTTTCCGTTGTTGCTCAACAATTAATGGCTTTAAATATGGATTTTCGAATTAAATTTAACGCTCAAAAATTTCATTCTTTTTTTTAACTTCTTTATTTTAAATAACTGAAAATTTCAATTAAAAAACGAGGCATTGATATATTTTTATTTTTTGATGTTATTTTTCTTGACAAAAATTGAGTGTAAATTCTTATAAAATTAAATAGACCCTGCGAAAATTTTCTCAATATTTCACACACAAAACTTGTTAACACCTTTTGAGCACTTGTTTAAATCGCTTCGAGGATCTCAAATTAATAGTTCGCGGCTGAGCGCCCTGTGACAGACCGAAATCACGAGGAAGCTGATCGCGACGATGAGTACTCGCTGGTGCATGCAGCATTTTTCCTGCAGCGACTCTTTCATGCGCTCAGCATCCTCCGCCACATAATAATTCACAACAATGGTTTAATGAATGCAATCGCATTATTTCGCTCGTATCTCTCGCGCTACATGGGCCACTTTCTTTCATGCGAATTATCCAACGCTCTGTGTGTAGCAGATGGCAAAAAGAAATTCCATTTGGTGCTTTTGTAGCGGTAAATTAATTTCACACCCGCAAGGTCCATTATACGCCAAGATAATTTATTGAAATTATTGTTTGCACGGCGGCCCTTAGCCTTTTATTTGCGACTACTAGCACGTGAAATTTTCTCATTATAAGTAATTAGGCAGAATGATGAAACTAGTTTATTTTCACTACTTAAAAACGTAAGAATGAAAGAAGAAAATAATAAACAACAAAATTCAATTCTCGCTATTTCAAAATGAAAAAGAGAAATTGATTTTGCTATGAAATTAACCATGATTTTTCTCAATTTTTCTTTGATATTAATTTTGATGAGAGATTATTAAGTCAAGGGAGAGCTTGTTAATTTATTTTCATTATTTGTATCATTAATATTTATGTATCACGTGATATTTCAAATGAATAGCAATTTCAGTAGGAAGTAATGTAAGAAATATCATCAGTATCGAGTTTAGTGTAAAATAAGATTAAAAAGCGACTCACTCAACTAGATGATGAATAAACAAATAAAATGATAGTACAGAATTTAATTAAAAAAAATTATGATTTATTGCACTCTTGACATATAAAAGAACATAGGTACAAAAATTTGGCGGTTGGCATCTTGGCTGCCGAACCCTGACTTAGGACTTTTAGTATTTTGAGGGGGCGCCGTAGCTGCTGGACAGGGATCCAGAGGAGAGGCTGCCGGACGAGTAGGAGGAACCGTGTCCGCCGATTGAAGGGCTGCCGTAGGACGAGGAGAGGGAAGGACTTCCGTAGGAAGAAGAGATGGAAGGACTTCCGTAAGATGAAGAGATGGAAGGACTTCCGTATGAGGAAGAAATTGAAGGAGATCCATAAGAGGAAGAAATGGAAGGACTTCCATAGGACGAAGAGATTGAGGGAGTTCCGTAGGAGGAAGAGATTGATGGGGAGCCATAGGACCCAGAGAGGGATGATCCATGTCCAAAAGACGAGCCGAGGGATGAGCCAAGGGATGATCCAAATCCAGAGCCGTAGGAGGATCCAAGGGATGAGCCGAATCCAGAGCCGCCGCCATAGGACGATCCGCCGTAGGAAGAGCCGAAAGAAGAATCGTGTGTCAGAAGTCCAGTTGTGGGAATTCCAGCTGAGGTGGAAAGACCGCTGCTTGAAAGGCCTCCGTCGTAAGAACCGCTACCGTAGGATGCTCCGCCGAGAGAAGATCCGCCAAATGAAGCGCCAGAGAAAGAGCCTCCGCTCACTCCAACAGCCACGGGTCGGGCAACAGGCACAGCTTGAGGAACGGGAACAGCCACTGGTTTGGGAACGGCAACAGGCACCGGGTGAGGAACGGACACTGGGACAGGCTTAGGTACGTGGACGGCTTGAGGATATGGGACCTGTGGGGTAAAAAGTAAATTAATAAGTTATTTCATCAGCTTAAATTCAATTAGTGCTTTTTGTAACTATGATTTTTTCTTAAATTTTATTTTATTTCTTTAAATAAAAAATAAACACAAATGCGAGCTTAAAAGGTTTTAAATGTTAATATCTCAAAATTATTAAAAGTGCATATTTTTCTGTTTGCTTCAAAACACATTATCATGAATTTAATCTCTGGCAATAAAAATTATTATTTCTATGTATTTATTTTAAACTAATTCGTCATAAACTTAAGTAAATAAGTGATAAAAATGCAATTATTAATTCCAAGTTAAAAAAACCCTCAAAATTTACACAAATTAACTATTGAATAAATGTAGCGAAAAGAAAAAGTTATAATAAGTGTGTATTTATAAATAAAAACATACCCTAACGGGGTAAGGGCGGGGAACTTCAACAGGGTACGGCCTGGGTACGCTGACAGGAACAGCCTGGGGGACGTGAACGGGGTAAGGACGAGGAACGTTGATGGGGTAGGGCTGAGGAACTCTGACAGGGTAGGGCTGGTTGACCTGCACGGGGTAGGGCTGAGGGACAGGGTAGGCGCGAGGTACGGTCACAGTATTGACAGTGGTGCGTCCAACAAGGCCGGCGCCCAGTCCGTTACCAGAAAAACCTAAAAATGAATCTTTTTAAAAACATAAATCTTTAAATTAAAATAATCAAAGCTCACCTCCGAATCCACCTCCAAAGTTGGCTCCACCCAGGGAGAGCCCAGAGAGTCCCGAAAGTCCTGAGAAGCCCGAGAGGCCAGAAAGTCCATTAAGTCCGTAACCGCCATAACCACCGTAGCCGTAAGAACCAAGTCCGTATCCGCCCAGCCCATAAGATCCCAGTCCGTAACTGCCCAGGCCGTAAGAGCCAAGACCGGAGGAGGGGGTCAGAAGTCCAGAGGAGTGACCTCCGACGGTGGCGCTGGTCAGTCCCGAGTGGGAGCCCAGGCTACCGGATGAAAGTCCCGCCGAGCCGATAGACGCACTCGCCGACGTGCTGCTTCCGGTGCCATAGTTGCTGCTGACAACCCCTCTTTTGTCCTTCTTGGGCTCTTCAGCAGCGTGGCTGAGCGCGCATAACGCCAGCAATAGTAAGGAGGTTCTCTGCAGACAGAGGGGATGAGTCAGTTATTTGTTGCCAAAAACGAACTCGTGAGCAAATTTAAGCACACAAGAGTGTGTATGCAAATATTTAAATGGGAAAGTTTTGCAAGTCATTGTTGATTGAAAGAAAAAAATATAATAAGTGGTGAATAAGAAGTGCCGCTAGCGCGCTCGCACCTTGCACGCAAACCACAGTAAAGAGTTCAAATTGCTGAAAGTGAAATTGCGCATGTAGGTGTCAGATTAATTATGTTGGGGAAGTCCGTTCATTTTAAAAAGCTGCGAGTACTTTCTGATTCACTCTTCCTATTATAAAGGATTGCTTTGTTTTTTCTGACGGCGTCAAAAGGAAATTTCGTACCGTTTAACCTGTACTTTTTATGAATTTCCACTTTTGCTTAAAATTTTATTCAATTTAAAAGAATTTATGCACATTTTTGTAATAAAAAACCGCTTCACGTATATACTATCTTTGAATTTAAAAATAAAATAAAATTTTAATTTGCTAGGCAAAACTTTTGCATGTGCTAGCGTGCCTTTACATCCAACAATTTATTTTTCTCTCTCATGTAGATTACAAATAAATAAATGGACTAAATAATTAAAAGAAATATAATGAAAAAATTGCAGGTCTTATTTAAAAAAATGTGATGGATATTTTCTGTTTGTTCCAATCCCATTCTACAAATTTGTTTTCTAATTAGATCCGACTTTGCCGCTTGTCAAACTTAATTGCGCTCGCCTAATCGAGCAGAACTGAACTCACCGTGGTCTTCATGGCTGGTGAAGTGCAACTGATGATGCCACATGGTGCGACCCCCCTTTATATATGCGCCCCTAGACCCTGACCAGAGAAGGTTAAGCCGACGGGTGCAAAGGGGAACTTTCGCTGATGGTCCACTCCCAGGCGGGTCTTCCTCCACGCCCTTCCCTTCCACATGCTCACGCCACTCGCACCACGTACAAGAAAGAAAGAAAGAGATCGAACTAGTGAACGTGAACCGGTCTCGAGGAAGATCGCGTAATAAATTCATACGCGAACAGTCAATGTGTTCACTTACTTTTCTTATCCGGACACACTCGCGGGCAGATCGCATTCCGCGATGTGCCTTTGTGCGTGTGTATCTGCAGGCGCTCGAGAAAGTGACATCCAACTGTAGTGCCTGACGTAATTGCAAAATACACGAAATTGTCAAATTTGCTAACTTTATTATGCGGGTCATTTATGGAATCCCCACTTTTAGATGATAGATGACATCAAGAATGAGTCGCGATACTATAGAGTTCATCGTAAATTATGGTAATACCTAATGGAGTAGAAGCAATAAATTTTGATGAATTGAAAAGGCATCAAGGTAAAATAATCAGTATGGAGAAAATAAGTTTTTTTGTGTTTGTCTGTATGAAGTGTCTTGATTTTATAGCATTTTTAATATATTAATTTAATTATTTATAAGTTCCCACATAATTCTCTGAAAGTTATTATGTTATTTGAATTGAAAAATATTCCCTCTATAATTAAATCACAAAGAGAATTTGTTTCCATTATATAAAAACGTAATTTAAACTTAATTTCTTCAAATAATAAGGATAATAGTCATTTAAATTATATTAATAATGAATTATGTTGACAATTTTTATATTTTTATTATTTAAATTTAAAATTTAAAAAAATAACCAAAAATCACTAAAAAAAATTAATAATTTTCATATTTGAGAGCAGAAATTTCATTGTTATTTTCATTACGTTTCTAGTTTATTCGTTATTATTTTAGCTGTTACTAAAACTTTATATTATTAGAAAAAAATTTTGGAGGGAACAGAAGATTTGAGAAAACGGCTTCACCACTAGCAAGTTATAGCAAAATCTTTGCTAGTGGTGCACTCTTTTTGTCCAACAATTCAATTTTTCCCTATCAACAATTGTTGTTCATTCAATATACAATTTTTTTATAAATTTGAGCAAATTATCAACAAAGTTGTTAAAAAAAATTAATTTATCGTTAACTAAAGTAAGACCGCGTACGGCAGCAATTTTGAAGAGAACGAGAGGATTTATTATATAATTTTTTACATCTGCACCCTATCTCACCTTTGTAGGGCTTCCTCGTTCTATTGTGTAGTGAGAAATTCAATATGCACATCCTAACTTTCCATTGTCCAACTTTTTTGCAAACTGAAAACCAGTTGTTGCGCCAGTAGAACGTACGGACCTCGTTTGAATATTCATGTGATCTTTTTCTGATTCACGATTGAGTGAGGAAACAAATAAAACCTTATATTTTAATCCTTCGCCTTTCCAATTCAGAGAGTGTATCATAATTCACAAATCAATTAACCTCTTTATTTTAGAAGAGCAATTTGCTTATCTCTGTTTGTTGACCAAAGACTTTAGAACCAAACAGTTAATTTACATAATTAACTCCCTTTCCAATCAAAAGAATTAAATTTGAATACATTTTTGCGTCACCGTCTGAAATCAGGTTTGCCTAAAACGAGACAAGACACGCAATGAACAGCTGCAGTAGAGTTTTGAGATCCAGTTCAAATAATCTTCCGCGAAAGTAATCACCCGAAATAAATTTCGGCACACGTTCGCCGCCACTTATTGAGAAATTTAAAAAAAAATTCACCAAGAAATTTTTATCCTTTGATTTAATTGTAGTCAAAATTCGCCTCGCGGAGAGATCGGGTGTGTCTTATTCCACATACGCCAGATACCCTTTCGTTACTTGGATTCAGGTTAACAACCTGTGAGAGGTTGCACCTGAATCAAACAATCTCGCGCCGCCAGAGACCATCATCCATCATAAGTGAAAACGATCGGCCCATAATGGAGCAGCTATTCTGAAAATGACTTAGTCTTCCATTCGAGGTGCAATGCAACCTTCCATTGGCACGCGCTAATTGGAAGCACCTTGGTCTAGGTCAGGCCGGTGCTAGAAACGCCTTCCTTTATAATAAGTATAAATCAAATTCAAGCAACTGTCCCAAGGCTGATAATGACCTTTGTCAATAGCAATTTTCACTGAACTCGTGATTTAAATGTTTTTAAATTCAAATTAATTAAAAAAAATTGTGCACGCATGTAATTTTTCTAATGTTTTCATTTTTTCTGACGCTTGAAGTCAACTAAAGACTTGTTCGCGGCCTTTTATTTTTTCTATGTAAAATAAAATTATTTAAAAAAAATAATCCCAAAGAACTGCTTCGCACTTTCATGGGGTGATTGCGTTACAGCACGTCATTCATAATATTAGATTTTGCGCAGGGCAGAAAAGTAGTGCGTTAAAAATTTCTTCCTATTTGTACGTCAATTAACTTTATTAAGTCAATAAACTTCCTTGCAACTTTTTGAATTTAAAAATATGACGTCCTTATTTTTCTATTTAATAATAAATGCTGCAGTAAGTAGCATGAAGGCTTTAATAAATATTTTTATACCTCATTGAGAAGAGAATAAAAAATTTATTGCATCCTCCTCATCCATCTAGTGCGCCTAAAACTTGTGAAATAACCTAAATGGCAGATCATAAAATGCAGTTAATTTGACATCAGCGTCATATTCCAAAATGTTACTGAAGCAGGGAGTAATTAATATTCAACATCGTGATTTGTGAGGTTGTTTTTTATTTATTTATTAGAGACACTGCGAAAATTATGTATTATTATAACCTAAATATAAAATTTTTTATTTTCAATAAAACTGCAAATTTCACTTGCCATAAGTTTATAAAAAAGGGTTATTTTTTACCTGCTTTTACCATGGGACCTTTTTCTTGCGCAAAAACGAACGAGATATTTTTTAAACCGGCTTGCAACTCGCAATAATAGTCTGCGCGATTGGTACGTATCTATTACACGCACGCAAATAAATCGTTTATCTGACTGAAAGACATCCCTTTTATTTATAATTGCACACAAATCCGTTGTTGGTACAATCTCCGCCTGGGGCATCCAACTTGCGACTCTGTAGCACCTGCTCTCCATGCTAGTGACCAGGCAATGCATAAATAAATAAAACAAAAATTGATACAATCACTCTCTCCATCTTTCAAATCTCTCTGTTTCATCTAGACAAAAGGAAGTGGTGAAACCGAAGCGGCATTTTTACGACTTTAACTGCGGTAAATTTCGATTTAATGCATTTTCTTGCTCCTATTTAAAGATATTCTCAGGAATATTTCCAAATCGCGGCTAATTTCCGGCCAAAATCTACGTCAGCACCAATAAGCATAAATTTGCGAAACTCGCTCTGCAAAACAGGTTGAGGAGAGGATTAAGAAATAATATGAATGCCCAAATTATGATCGGATTGAAATTAAAAATCAACCTTCAGACCGAGTTTAAATTATTTTCAAAACACGAGCAGAACTGCAGGACCACTTACTTTCGTAAACAGCCCAATCTAGAAAATTATATTCAATTTTGGTATGAGATGAAAAACCGTGACTTTAGAGCATGGTATAATGCAAAGAGACGAGTACAAGATAATTTAGAATGTTTTCCCTGATGATGGGATTAAATTATTATTTGACAACATGTACAAAGGATTATTATTAAAAGAGGCCTTTCACTGCTAGCCTTTGACACAAACAGCGATTCTGTATCACGGAGCCTAATGGCGTTGCTGAGAGCTTTTAATGTGCTCTAGCGGCCACTAAATCAGTCCGAAGTATTCTCTTGACGGAGCGAGCGAAATGCACCTGATTGTCATGTGCAGAGCTCTCTCCTTTTGCGTTGCGGCGGTGCACCTCATCCTGGATCTCGTTTTTTTTTTGCTCACCGGCATGACAAAGGCGGCAGACGTCCGTCAATAGGCGCGAGAAAGAAATGTGTGGAAATCAATCACTTGCGTTTGCATATGGTGTCGTGCACTGGTCACACTTCATGAGTAGAATGGATGAATGTCAGTTAAAAACAATAAAGAGAAAGTAAAATCTAAAAATAAAAAAATAAATTATTTTAATTAATAATGATTGTGAAAATTGATTTCACAGTCAGACGATATTATTATTGGTGAAAAAATTATTAAATAGCATACTTTTTAAGTCTGTTTTAAATGAGTAAATCAAAATAATTAATTCAAATTTCAGTCTCTCATGGTCTCATGGCATATATTATATGAAAATAAAAAAATGTATGTGCAAAAATGTAAGTTATATAAGATCCAATTTTTAACTTTTAAAATTATAAATTCACCTAATTCACCTTATCTTCATGTTTCTTTTCAATCAATAAAACATTTTTAATTGATTTAAAATTTTAATTTTTTAATAAAAAAAAAATTCTTATACATATAATATTTTCTTTTTCTCCTTTAATTCCAGATTGAAGCTAATTTATAGCTCACGAATGAAACCAAACGAGACGGAATCTTTATGTCACTCTAAGCAGACGTGTTTAATTAAAGTTTTATAGCCCAGCGGCACTAATTACACAAAAAATTACTCATTCTCCAGCGATGTAATCTGTCAAGCATATTTTAAGTGGTTATTTCGGCAACAACTCAATCTTTAAAATGCAGTCTGGCTAAAGAGAACGCAGCAATTAAAATTTCAGCAATAAATTTCCATCTCTCCAACCTCTGCAATTAAGTAAACGTTCGCCCAAATCAAACAAAAACTGGGTCGCCTTTATTCAAAATATGCGTTTAGTCAACGAAAATGTTGCTGAGGGTGACCAAGGAGCTTCTCGGCCGCAGCCTGCACACGTTGCCCTGGCGCGCCAGAGTCATCCTGATTTGCTCCTGCAGCAGGTGGAACTCCCTGGTGTGCTTCTGGCCCAACTGCTCCATTTCTTCAGCCTTGGAAAGGGCGTTGGGCAGCAGGTCGGTGGTCAGGGGCGACTCGACGAGCATGTTGACCTCGAGGTCTTTGGGATCGCAACCGTCCAGTTTGTCCAAGACGGGCCAGTCGTGAATGCAGGCCTCGCAATTGCACTCGGCCAGGCTGCTGGACTGGAAACAAGAGTCCTGCATGCGACTCTGGCGAAGAAGACGCTCGACTTTGAGGAAATCGGCCTCAGGGTAGAGACACTGCGTGATCTTGCTGCCAGGAGCGATCACCCTCGTTGCCTAACAAATGAAGATAATTAATCAAATTATGGAAGCGAAATTATATATTTAATATAAATATAAAAACATATGCAGATTTTATTTTTTTAAATTTGAATTCACTATCACTTTCAATAAACCCCTTTTTCTGGATATTTTTTAGAAATTTAATATGCATTTATCAGTGTATTCACCTTCTTCTTCTTTTTTGCCCTATTGCAAACTTGTGATATTTTAATAATTTATTGGTTAAAAATTATTTGTATTTTTCAAAATTCTTCTTTTCAATTTAATTTTACTATTTATTTGTAAAGATTAATAAGCTTTTCAAGTCAACGAAAATAATTCAATCGTAACATTCTTTGCAATGAAAATGACAATAATAATTTTACCTGGAGAATCAAGTGTCGACCCACGTTGAACGCCATTGAATTTGGTGAGCAGGAATGCGCAACAAGTGCAGTCACGGGGAAAACCCCGAGACCGATGCCTCCGTGCGAGTCTTCGCCCAGATACCCTCCAGTGAGAACCACTTGGTCGATGCTGAATGAGGCGGCCGAGACGACGGGCAGAAGGCGACCCATGGCGACAACGAGCCGGTCAAAGTCAGGACTCTGGTCATCGAAGCCCAGCAGTTTGGCCCAAAATGTGAAGAACAGCACCAACATGGACTTGTCCTCAATTTCGCAGGGACGAAGCAGGAAGAGCGAGTTGAGGTCACTTGAGAGCAGAGGCTTGGAGACGCCGAGCTCCGGGTCCTTTTTGGCCTCGCAGATGGTGTTCAGGTCAAGGTCGAGCACAAGTTTCAATAGGTTGAGAACGTTGCTTTCAGCCCCTCCCGAAAGAAGGGTGGGCATCAGGGCGCACTCCTTGCAGTGGACCTTCTTGGCCTCTTCTTTGCACTGCGCGCTGCAGTACATATCCTGAGATTAGAAAATTATTTTTAATTTCATAATTTAAATAACCAAAAAATTGCATTCATTTTTCAACGATTTTGTTTATAATTTGGGCTAGTAAATAATCCCCCATTACCCATAATATAAAATAAATATGAATTTAATCAACATTTGATGGATATTTGAAAATAAAACTTGTTTAAATTTATTTGGCATTATTTTTTTTAATGGGACCCACTTTTGGCATGGGGTCGGCGGATCTTGTTGAAAATTGGTAGTTTGGTTGCCCTTAGGGTGTAGACAAATAGTTTAGAAGGATTTTTGAAAATTCTCAAAATTGCCTATTTTACAGGGGCTCAAAGTTGGGGATTTTAAAAAAAGGTGTTTTCGAAAATCAAAAATATCTCAGCTCCTGCTGCAGATAGCGCATGTGTGTATATAAACAAAGTTGTAGGAAATTAGACGCCCTACAACTTTGCCATAGTGACCAAGGTCATAGGTCAAAGTTCAGGGTCAACTTTTTAAGCTTGAATTTTTTGATGCGCCACCAAAGTACCTAGTACATAAAAATTTTTGATTCCATTATAGCCAAAAGTTGCTCTAGTTGGTAGTCAACAACATATTAAAATTTGGCGAGACTGTTTTTTTCCGTTTTCGAGATATTTTAGGTCAAAAGCAGGAAAACGTGGTTTTCCGAGCATTTTCCTACACAAATCAACATTTAACCACCCGTAACTTTTTCCCTGCTAAAGTTACGCAAAAATGTATAATGACAAAAAATGATTGCCTTGACCTGTTCTTTCAAACCATGTATCGCACATAGTGACCAGGTCACAAAAGGTCATTGACCCCGGTGACCTGTGACCTTTCCAAAAATTATTGCTGGAAATGTTTCACCTCAATGAAAAGAAACATTGGAGTATCTAAAATTCAGTTTTGCACTTGCAAGGTCACAGGTCACCGGGGTCAATGACCTTTTGTGACCTGGTCACCATGTGCGATACATGGTTTGAAAGAACAGGTCAAGGCAATCATTTTTTGTCATTATACATTTTTGCGTAACTTTAGCAGGGAAAAAGTTACGGGTGGTTAAATGTTGATTTGTGTAGGAAAATGCTCGGAAAACCACGTTTTTCTGCTTTTGACCTAAAATATCTCGAAAACGGAAAAAAACAGTCTCGCCAAATTTTAATATGTTGTTGACTACCAACTAGAGCAACTTTTGGCTATAATGGAATCAAAAATTTTTATGTACTAGGTACTTTGGTGGCGCATCAAAATATTCAAGCTTAAAAAGTTGACCCTGAACTTTGACCTATGACCTTGGTCACTATAGCAAAGTTGTAGGGCGTCTAATTTCCTACAACTTTGTTTATATACACACATGCGCTATCTGCAGCAGGAGCTGAGATATTTTGGATTTTCGAAAACACCTTTTTTTAAAATCCCCAACTTTGAGCCCCTGTAAAATAGGCAATTTTGAGAATTTTCAAAAATCCTTCTAAACTATTTGTCTACACCCTAAGGGCAACCAAACTACCAATTTTCAACAAGATCCGCCGACCCCATGCCAAAAGTGGGTCCCATTAAAAAAAATAATGCCATTTATAAATAAAAATTATTACCCAACGGCAAGTGTCGCAAGGATCTAAATTGAAGCTCGTTTGCATGCAGCAGCTGCACCTATCCAGACACTCAGGGTTCAGGTGCGACACCAGTGGTTCCTCCACAATCAAAACCTCGCCAGGTTTAATTTCCCTGGCAGCCACAAAGTGACGAATTTTAGTCTTGGCGTCGTCCACTAGTTTCAAGGCGTCGCTAGCGCACGGCACAAGAGGGTTGACCGCGGTCAAGGTCAACTTCTGAACACTTTCGAATGCCCTGTTGGTGTTCATTGGGTCACCGAACTCTTGCTCCATGTCTCCGGCGTTGGCCTCTGACAGGTCATTGACCTTTTCCAAGTACTTGTGGCACAAGTCGAGTTTGTACTTTAATTTTTCGCCTTCCCCGGCGTCAAGGGTCAAGGTCAGGGCGACCCTGACGTCATTTGCGCAAGCGCTGAACTGGCGCATGCACAGCAGGATGTCCGACCTGAGCGACAACGCCTGGAACAACAGTTCACTTTGGTCCTTTGGAATGCGGGCCAGGCCTTTGCTCAGTTTGGCCAAAGCGAATTCCATGTCGTGCGTCTCTATGGAACGTCTGATAAAAATTTGGAAAATTTCATTATTTTCAAATTAATTAATAAAAGAAAATTTGTGGCTTACTTGACACTAGCAAAGTAAATGGACTCGACGGACTTTGAGTCCTTTGAATTTTCAAACATGAGCTCTGGCGGTTGGAAATTCTTGAGCAAGGTCTTGATGAAGGCGACGCGTTCTTCATCTCCTGGAAGAGCGTTGACCTCCTCCAGCAGCTCTTCACTGGACTTGTTTGCACCAGAACTGTCAAGGTGCTTTAGCAAACTCCTTGAAAGGTCGAAAATAAGGGAGTGCTCCATTTTTCCAAGAGAATACGAGCAGGAAAATTCGCGGATGATTTTCACTGTTTAGAGTTCAAAATCCTAACAATCAGATTTTCTAACAATACGCTTTGACACGCTGTTTTTTTCCGTCTTGGGCAAACAAATTACGATTTCCAACTGTTGCAAATTTTAATAATTACTTAAAAATGGAAATTATAAAAAATATAGAATAAAGAAAATTAAACGGCATTTTTAAACAGCATTATTAAAGGATCAAAAGTATGCTTTTTTTATTCTGAAAATATTAAAAATTGTGAAGAAGCTAATATTTTTTTGTTCTATAACTAGCTACAAAATTTACTCTTAACTTGATGAAGTAGGAATTAATTGAATGAATATTTTATTTGTCATTAAATCAGAGATTAAATTTATAGCATTAATTAATCGTTTGAAAAAGTGTGGATAATGTGGATATTATTGATAACGTAATTAATTTTTATTGATACTGTAGACCAGAAGAAATTTTTAACAAAAAATCCGATCAAATAATACCTTCTTCATTCCTTTCAATTGTTCAGCTGCAGTTCAGCTGCCTCATCAAAAGCTAGTTATAATTATAAGAATATCTCATTTTTAATGAAATCGTCAATTTGTCTCATTTGAAGCAATTATTTAGAACCTGGCACGAAATTAATGCATGCGACTGACCTGCGGCAATAAGTGCCAATAAATTACGTGTAAACCCGCCGGCATGATTTTCGCATTTAACAGTAATATCGCATCTCTCGCTCAGCAAAACCCGTTTGAACTCGCCAACTTATATTACTTAATGATTACGTGTCAATGGCTGACATATTTATTGTTTGCTTATCCAACATCTCCATTGTGCAAAATCACGCTCACGAAAATTTCCTGAGGCTACACACCTCATCAGTCACTCATCAAGTTTCAATCGCCATCGATCAATCGCCTAGAGGATGGTTCAGACAGAAATCCAACTGCAATAACTCTTTTTTTATTTGAAACTGTAAGTGATGCCTGAGGTGCAGTTGAACGACCGTGTTTTATTTTATCTGCGGTCACTCCGCTCTCGCACTTTAATTAAAATCTGAGTGCACACACAGTGTAATTAGGCTTCAGACAAAGGCGTGCATAAATATATAGTACAGAAGTGGTACGTTCACCGCCCAAACAACATTTTCCTGCTCGGGACGAGAGGCGCAGTCTGGTCTCAGGGAAGTATTGTGATGTTCTGGCGAAATAATCATATTAATTGCACGCCACAAAATTTCCTACTGGACCAAAAAGCTCGTCTCCTTTCACTAGACCGTGAGGCGATAAAGTCGCAATTTTAAATCCAGACGTGAATGTGCAGAAAATACGCGAGCTGAATTAGAATCTGGTAATGGAGCGACTTTTTGTTTATCTCACTGCGGTGAACATTTATATTTGAATTTATATTTTATCCAGAGCATTTTATATCCTCCGTCTCGCCCGTATACTTTCCTTTTGAGCTTTTGTCTCTACCATTCATTCACGATTTTATGCCATCCGAGAACAAATATTAAAACAGCCAAAGCTTTCTATACTTTTATCCAACGTACAGGATTGGGGGTCAATTAAATTTCCTAAAATATTCAAATTAACCATGCTAAAATGACTCCTCCTGCAAATTTAAGTCGGTGTGATCGCCGTTTAATGGAGGCGTGAACGCTCTTTCAATTTGAATTTATTCAAATCTAGTGCGAGGCGCTCAACCGACGATTAATTTACGTACATTCATAATGCCCACTTATTTTTATCTTGATCGGAGCAAGCAAGCTCATGTGTCGCGTGAGACGCGCCGACTGTAACAATTTCCCTCCCAACTGTGTATGCGATCGTTATTTATATTTACGTTTCGACTTGTCACTCGTAATCATCAACGTAGCGAATTGCGTCTTTCTTTTTTAAGAACGTTTAATTGTTATTTGGAAAATTTCTTAGATTGCCAGTGGTTAAAAAAACGGATCAAGTGAATGCAGCCAATTGCGGTGGAATCGAACTCCATAGAAAGTTCAAGATCACTTCACAAGATTTACAAATAGCGCAGCAGACAAAGCTGTAAACAAACTCTTGGCTGATTCCTCAACATCTTTTGTAAGTCAGATTTTCCCTACTTTTTATTTTTCATTTATTTTGGCTAAAGCAATACAATTTATCTCCCGGCCTATTTGAATTTTGAAATTTTATTTATTATCATTTTTTAAACCATTAACCAGCATAAACAATACACACACACATATATATATATATATATATATATATATATATATATATATATATATATATATATATATATATATATATATATATATATATATATATATATATATATATATATATATATATATATATATATATATATATATATATATATATATATATATATATATATATATATATATATATATATATATATAAATAAAACTAAAATGATGAAATAAATAATTTTAAAATTAACTTTTGCGTTGGAAAAACGAATAGAATGATGAAATAAGATCTAAACTGCTGCCTCTTCCAATATAATTTGTGTTTGTTTTCATATAGATCTCACAAAATATTTGAGGATATTGAGAAAGTTAGCAGCCAATATTTTCTCCAGAATCTTCGATCTTGTTCTTTTATTCACCTTAGGTAAAAACGCACGACCGTAGCGCATTGATCCTTCATTGACTGCACCGGCCGCGATTAAAATGATAATAAAAGCGTAAATAAATAAATTGTTCTGCGAGATCCGACCGGAGAGCGGCACCTCCTCTTTGTCGTGTAGTGCGGTCCATAATAAGCAGCGTTGTGAGTGTGTCACTCGCTCAGCAGCGGCAGCAAAATGCATCTGGTCCGTTTTTTGCTTCCTTTCTACGAGATCGCCTCTGTGAATCACTTCTTGCACTTTCTCCTGGTCTGGCGCGCCCACTTCTCATCCAGCAACGGCTCCGATGGACCAACCCGGTCAATTTTTTTAAACAAGAAAAAATATGAACAAGACACCGTCCACTTATTTTGCAGAACGGTAAAAAAGATTTAAGAGATAAGTTCTCACCGGCTGACTCCTGCAATCTCATAACTCCGTCGTCGACTGAATTATTTTTTTTTATTCGCACGACTCCGATGGTTTTTGATTGGGACCGACAGTATAAATCACCCACTGGGCGTGACTGTGCTCGCATTGTCAGTCGGAGCCTTTAATTTGGGAATATTGTGCGCGCGAGATGTCCCTGTGGACAATTAATTACTCGCACTTGTGCTCATATGGAGTGAGGGAGAGAGTGAATTTTAACAAGTGGCATTAATTCATTTATCACGCAGAGATTCACGTAGGAAGAATCATATTATTTAGTCCGCTCTAACTGTAAGTTGTAAACGGTCGTAAAATAGTTATTTGCCAAAGTGAAAGAGACAAAATATAAATTATATTCTTCATTTACCACATGTTTATTTAAAAAAAATATATATAAATAGCTAATCTCCTGGTGTTCCGATATTTTTTTTTATTTTTTTAACAATAGTTTCAAACTTAACATTATTTATTAAAATTATTTTAATAATTTTATTTAGTATATTTGTTTAACATGCAAAAAAATTAAATAATTTTCTTGTATCACAAAAAATAGTTCTAAAATACAAATTCACCCTTCCAAATGAATGTAATGCCTGGCCGTTTTTATGAATTTAATTAGAGACATGGTTATTGCATCGTTGGGTTTGATTCACCAAATATACATGCAGCGAGTGCACAATTTGTAACGTTCTTGACAGCAACGCCAGGTTTGTTAAAATTTTAGAGGGAATGAACAGAAATTAAAATATAATTTCTTAGATTCCATAGGAAACAATTATTACAACTGCAAACAGAACATCTTGAACTTAATTGTCTTTAGATTGTAAAAAAAAAATACGCTTAATTATTAGCCTTCAATAAATTTTTTTTCTGTGATTCGTTATTGTCCTTGGTCCTTACAATAAGCATATTTTATAAACAATAATCATAAAAAATACGTTATGGACGTGTTTATTTGTGTACAATGGGGTTTCTTGTGGAGAGCATCATCCTCAATTGAATGTAAAACTTTTTGCTGCAACAAAGTTCACCAAAAAAATATGCCAAGGTGCTGTTGAGGAAAAATGTTCCAGCTTCAACGATAATTATATAATTGCATATTTCTTGATTCTGGAAATGATAAAAAGTGAATATATATGATAATACTAAACGAGAAATTCAATTCGGAATTACAGTTTAAAAAAAAAAGTACTTTTAAAATAATGTTGCAACTTTTCTCTGGGCATTGCACTCGTCTTGACAATCGATTACCTAATTTCCACGACTCGCAGGTCCAGTTTTAATTAGACCGGCTCTGCAACGATGGAGTAACCGCAGACAGACACCCATAATGCAGAAAAGCAGCACACACAAAAACGGATAAAAGGCTCTCTCCCAATCCTAAAAGGCGGCAGGTCAGTGAGCTCTAGTTTAAATATGCTTTCGCAATGCAACGTTCAGAGCAGGAGAATCAAAGAAAGCTCTCTTCAATTAAATTAACGTCCATGCTCCAGAAACGAATCGGCTGGCTGAGACAGAACAATATAAATAAACAAGAGGCGGATTTATTTTCACGGTTTGGTTTTTATTAGAAAAAGCAGTCGAGGGGTAAATGTATAAAAAAAATATAACTGTGCCGAGGATATGCAACCAAAAAAGTTGTACAAAACATCAGTCACGGCAAAGTTATACAAATAAAATAAAAAGTGTACAATCTCTCTGAATTGCATTCAGGCTTAACCCTTGTAGCTGGAAGAGTATTTGGACGATTCGTCGGCACCAGAGGCGCCCACGTTGCTCAAACTGGAGCTAGAGTAGCCTGAGGAATGGTCTGAAGGGCTCGAGCCGGACGCGTCGGACAGGCTGCTTGTCGAGTCATACGCGTCACTAGATTGGCCGGAAGGGGCAGCGGCAGAACCAGAGGAGCCGTACGTTGAGGCGGCCAAGCCATGAGAACCACTGAAGAGGGACAATTAAAGACAATATTAAACAATTTCATAATTGAAATAGTTTTTTCATTAGAATATATTTCAGAGGAATTCATTATTTAGTTTTTCAAAATCATTAAAAAATATTATCAAGTAACTTCAATATGAACAACAAATGGTCGCTTCTAAAAAATTTAATGAATAAATTTATTAAATTTAAAAAATGATAAACCGTAAATTAATTTTGCTCGTTTACTTTTCCCTTGTGTGCAAAGGTAAGAAAATATCTAGCAAGCAAAGTAAAAAAGGTACAAATCATAATTTGAATACATAAATATACCTTTTGAAAATATATTTTACTGTTGGATAAATTATTAAAGTGAACTTGTTTTAACAAGTATTTTAACGTGTTTAAATAGAAAAAAGTGAATTCAAATTATTATAAAAGTTTGAACGTTTTAAAATAATTCTTTTTACTGATGGGGAAAATGAACATTTGACAGGGCACGTTTGTATGTGTACTTACATTTCTCAAAGTTGGAGGAAGTTAGGTGGATTGTTTTTTCTTCATTGTTTATTGTGATAATTGATTGCAGAGTGATTTTATTGATAGTTTTTTCATATATAAAAGTAAACTATATTTGAGCCAAGGAAATTTACTGTTTCTTAAAATTTTACTTAAAATAGAGGCATTTCATCGGTTCCTCTTTTGCTATGTTCATTTAAAATTATTATTGTATAAAAATTTATTATACCTTGAGGTATCCAGAGGGGATTGAGCATCTCCAGCACCATAAGAAGAGGCGCCTCCGAGGCTTCCGTAACCTCCACTGAGGCCTCCTTGACTTCCACTTCCGTAGCTTCCGCTGCCATAACTTCCACTTCCGTAGCCACTCAATCCACCGTAACTTCCGCCCAATCCTCCTCCGTAGCTTGCACTGGAACCACCAAAGCTTCCGCCCAATGCACCAAGTCCACTTGATCCACCGAAGCTTCCACTTGATCCGTAACTTCCGCCCAAACCCCCGTAGCTTCCACCCAGACCTCCGTAACTTCCACTCAAGCCACTGGAGCTACCGCCCAGTCCTCCAAAGGTGCTTCCTCCCAATCCTCCATATCCACCACCTAGTCCTCCGTAATTTCCTCCCAGACCTCCGCCCAATCCAAATCCAGATGATCCTTGTCCTCCAAGTGATCCTCCAAATCCGCCCAGACCAGCACCATGTCCTCCTCCTAGGCCTCCAAACGCACCAGACAGGCCATCGAGTCCTTTTCCAGAGAGGCCAGATCCAAATCCACCTCCGAAACCTCCGTGGCTGCCAACAGGAATGGGAACGGGAACCGGCACCCTAACAGGGTGAGGAACCGGAATTCCAACAGCCTTCGGAATGTGGACCGGAACGGGGTGAGGAATGGGCACGGCGACGGGCTGGGGAACTCGAACGGGGTAAGGTCTGGGGACTGCCACTGGCACAGGGTGGGGCACGGGAACTGGAACCGGGTGGGGCACGGAAACTTTGTACGGCTGCGGATAGGGAACCCTCTTGATCACTTGGACTGGGTACGGCTGGGGAACGGGATAGGGTTTTGGGATGTACACGGTTTTCACTTGGGCAGGCCACCCTTGGACGCCTCTCTTCTCGGTTTTGCGCACTATGGTGGTGACTTTAGGTGCGGTCGTGGAGGCGGCAGCTAAGGCCAACCAACAAGTCGCCAGCAGCAACGCAATCTAAAAAATTTGCAATAAAACAATTAAAGCAAAATTTTAACTTTCTAAATATCTGTGAGAAAAATCAATTGACGTTTGAAAATGTATTAGTCATATAGACACATTAATAATATTGTAAGTTTTTAATCTATTTCGATTTAAAATGGCCATTTCTTCACAATTTCGTTTAATTTTATTTGCTAGTCATGAGTGGCTGTTAAAAATAATTTAAGTTTTGTTTAATTTATATGTTTAATAAGACTGTATTATTGCTATTGTAATCTTAATTTTCCTTAAAAAATAATAATGCCGCTATGTTATTGAACTTATTGATGTGTCCTGATTAAATTTTATGATTTTAACAAAAAACTTCTTGATTTCTTAATATTTCATCCCGTTGAAGAAATCGCGAACTTCATAAAAAAGGTCACTTTTTAAAATATCTAAATGATGTATTTTGTCAGTATTTCCTTTTGATGTGTCAGACCAATAAACTTGATTTGCAACTAAATTAAATAGATATAAAAAAATTAATAATATATATATATCAGTGTTGGGCAAAGCTTACCAGAGATTTGTCCATGTTGCTGTGAGGATGCTGAGGGTGCGAGTGATGTCGACACACCCAGTCCATCAGCTTAAATACTTCGGCAGGATCTGTTCGGTCCCATCCTCGCTCACGTCCACCCTTCACCCACGGACGTTCTTGACCCTGGCGCGTGACGGACCGCGGAGAAAGGTCCAAAGAAGCGCTGCTCGCAAAACAATGCAATTAAAAATTCACTATCACTGGACCATGCTTCTGGCCGTCGCCGTGCTCGGTAAAAGTATATTCTCGCATTTTTCAGCTCGCAAATTGGAGCGTCGTCGTCAAAGTCAGGGCCAGAAGAATGGACGGCACGTGAAGGAAGGTGGCTGCAGCAAAAAGAGACGCTGCAGGAACCAATTGCAAGAGTTTCGAGAACAATGCGTGATGTTCGGCCGCTCGAATCACCCGCGGTGCAATTGGATAATTGCTTTCCTGGCAGACGCTGCAAATAAATGAACACTGTATTTGCTGTGACCGGAATAGTTTGGTCGAAAGTCATTGCTTTTCACAGTCAGTTTTAACATTTCTTTTTGGCGAGTGTCGTGACTACTCTCGATTTTTTTATTGTGATGCATTTTTTACCATTGTGGGAGGCGGTAAATGAAAGCGACACGTAATTTGCTATTTTCCTTGTCAATTTACATTCATAAGAGGAGAACATAGTTTTTGAGTTATCAACTGCAACTATGAATTTTATAATAAATAAAAGTTACTGATAATTAATTTTTTTAATACATTATTTGTTTTCCTCTCTTAAATATGCTGTTTATGTTATTTTCAGATATAATATTATTTTTTTAACAATAAAACTTTCCAGTTAACATAAAGCTAAATTATTACAAACCAGTAATTGTAGTAAGGCAAGCCAGTATTTTTCATCAATATAAATATTTAGTGATACAGGAACAATTATTACTTAAAGGAATTTAATTTATTTTGGTTGCTTTAGTCTTTTTTGGCTAAATATAGCTAACTATTTCTGGATGGTTTTTTTAATTAGTCTGCGTTTTTGCAATTTTTGTTTAAATATTAATACGAGCTTTTGACTATACAAGGCAAATTTATTTATTATTTGGAAAACCTGTTTTGTTTTGGCCAATTTTCAGTGGGTGTCTATTGCCTTGATTTTGTTTGTAATAATGTCAAGTGTAGCATATTATTGATTAATTTCAAAATTTACACAAATTATAGCTGTAAAGCATAAGCTCACTTTCATCGCAGTCTCTTATGCACATCACCATTCATGAAGATCATTGCAACGTGGTTTGATTTTATTTTCTAACTTGGATTAAATCTGCTGATAATTGTTATGATGGTGAGAGAAGCTGTTTGAAATTTTTCTTGGTATTTCTACTTCATAGCAAGTGACTGGTATTTTCCTAAAAAAAATTAAATCGATTAAACTCACAGAACTGAAGCGGGAGAGTGGAAACTGTCCAGAGTTGAAACTGTCCAGGGGTTGAAACCGTCCAAAAGATGGAGGATTTACAAAAAACACACCCTTATATGGGGAGGAGTGAATTGTGAGGGCATGACCAAGAAAAGTGAGAAATGGAATCGTATATAATATATTTTGAGAGGGACAAATAATCGATTGCAATGATGTAATTATTTGTATCTTTTAATGCTCTCAATATTGGACAGTTTCCACCATTGAGTTGAAACTCTCCAGGGTTAGAAGTGGCACCGCTGTCGCTGGACAGTTTCACCTTCTGGGCAGTTTCAACTTGTAAATAATGCTGCTAATTGTTATTTTCCAGTACTGGACAGTTTCCACCGTTGCGTTGAAACTCTCCACGTTTACAAGCGGCAACACTGCCGCTGGACAGTTTCACCTTCTGGAGAGTTTCAACTCTTGACAATTAAATCAATCAGGTATATTTTCTCGGACAGATTCACCACAACGGTTGAAACTGCCCAGCAGTAACCTCTGCAGGAATGATTTAACTTTTATTTTATGTCACATTGATATATCAATAATTTTAAAATAATAAAATAATAAAGTTTAAAAGTTCATTTACAGTGAGCTATGATGAACTATTTAAATAAAAACAGAACTCGTTTAGTTTAATTAATAATGATATAATGATTATCATTTTTGTGCAAAAAAGTGCTGTTTAAACATACTTTTTATATTCAAATTTCTTATGGGTTGTAGTCATTTATCAGTTCTCATAAGAATAAGTCTCAATCGCTCAATTTGAGCTGTGCAACCATGGGAAATAAAATTATTTTCTCATAAAAACAGCCAGAAAACAAAAAGACAAGTGCGCAACACATATACCTGGCTCGCGAACAACAAGGCGCCGTGGGGCCGGTGATAGAGAGCCGGTGATGGCGGTCAGCTGGGCCACCCGCGGCCGTCTGGGGTCTTTCAATCTCTCTATTGAAAACCCCCAGATTGATCAACATTGTCTCAAATAATCATTGAAAAAGTGCTCTGGCTGACAACTTCTGCAGGTTGTGCGAGAGAAAGAAACACTTTAGTTAACATGGGCCTGCAAGGTGTAAACAGGAATTTTTCTCTTAGCCTGTGATTCAATTCTCTGTTTTAATTAAATAAAATGCGGTTGAGCTCTCATTTAAAAAATTAATGCACCTTCATTCTCACGCAGAGCAGAATCAAATTTAAAACTTCCATATTGGTCAATTATCTAGCGCGGTGTGCAATTTAGCTTTTAGTCGTAATTAAAACAATTTTAATTGCTCTAAAACTTTGATTTTTTTACAATTCGTTTGTCATTTATCTAATTTAAAATATTTAAATTGTCAAACATTTAAAATGCCAAATAAATAAATATAACATTGTTAAAACTCCATAAATATTTATAAAATATTTAATAAATTTGCAATATCTTGCGAATGTGAGAATATTCTTTTGAAATATCGAGTAAATATTTAAATTTATTTATTACATATAAATTTTAAATAATCTCTTTGTTATACTTTTAAAATTCACTTTTTTTCGATTTTTATTAAATTTTTTCGATTAGCATAAAATCTTAAAGTTCAATTATGTAGGTTCCAGATAAAGTTACCTAAAAACTTTTGATACAAAAGTTGATGGTAAAAAGAAAATTGAACCCCTTTTTCAAAAATGAACATTTTATTTTAATTAGGAGCAAAGTTATAAAAATTTGAATTCTCGCTTCCAAGTGATCTAAAATCTCGGCTTCACTATGCTATAAGCGTACGGCTGCTTTTTCGCGCCGCTAAAATTGGGCGTGACAAATGTATTAATTGCTGATTTCTCATCTCCCATTAAAGCAGTGAGCTCCAAATTTTATGGATGTTTTCATTTTTGCCCTATCTACGTCTACAAATTTTTTGAAAAAATTCGTTGTCAACGCGAGCAAGTTATTAAGAAAAAAACTTAAAAAATTAGCATATTTTGCTGAATTCTGTACTTTCTTTTGTACCAAAAAATGTTTCAAAAATTCCAGATATGTGGCACATATTTGCGCACAAAATTCTGTTGCAGAGCAATTTATAACCCTTTTTGTTTTTTTAATATTAAATTCGAAGTGAAAAAAAACGCGTCAAAAATGGAAAACTATTGAGCGTGTTATTAAGAAAACTGCTGGTCAGAATTTTACAAACAAAACGTTTACCATTCTAGAATAAACGTCTCTGGATAGTAAAAGAAACTTTTTTCAAAAATTTATCAAATATCCACATTTTTTAATTTTAATGACACTTTAAATATTATGAAAAATTTGAGAAAAACAGGCAAAGTAAAAATATTTATTTAGAATTTAATGATGCACGTTTTATAATTTTGCTGCGTTAAGAACAATTGCAAATAATTAAAAACAGAAATGGATTTTTGCAGCAATCAGCTGATTCCACAGACCGCAGGAGAGACGAAAAAGATTTTTCTTCCTTTTACTGCCTCTCCTGGAAGATCTTTTTCGCTCAGCGCAGGAACCCTTGGGCTATTTTTATTGTTTCCTTTGTGTGCGCCTATATGCCTCATCGACTGCATTTCTGGCTCGCTCACAACCTCCCCTTGGAGCAAGAAATAGGTCGCAAACAACAAATAATACAAAGGGTTGAATGAGCTGCTTTGCCACCTTTGCTCAGGCACAACAAAATTACAGATTTCTTACTCAGAGACGTATACAAATTTTGGATACTTCATTTATAATTAAACCTTTATTTGCCGCGGGAGAGAAAATCTACGAGACTATTAATAGTGAACCTAAAGCCCTTCAGTGATTTTTAACTAAACCAATTTATGTAAACGCAACGGAATGTAAAATAATTCACAATAAAGTAATTAATAGGCCTCAGCTTTTTAATTTGAGTGGGATTGAAATCAATCTCGTTTTATTATTAAAAAATATAAGCATGCATAATGTTTTTATGGCAGGTATTTCCCAAACATAAAAATCCAAATTTCTTGTTAAGTTTTCAGAAAACACCACGTTTCACCCTTTTTTGATTATATTCACAATATTAGTTGCAACCTCATATTTATATGGTAATTTTCAAATTTTGCTTGTATAAAATTTAATGCTTTACTCATAGTTAAGAAACTGCGTTACGCCCCACCAAGCATCTCCTTTTGACAATACCTGAAACTTTTTGCACCCTGAAGTCCCTGAATAAGCCCGCCCCCGCGTCAGCACCATAAACCATAAGGGATATATGGGAACGAGATCACCCAAATATGTCACCGAAATATCACTCAATTTATATTCTGGGAGTAGCAGAGGGGTGAATCTGTCCAAGAAAATATACCTGATTGATAATAGTCAAGAGTTGAAACTCTCCAGAAGGTGAAACTGTCCAGCGGCAGTGTTGCCGCTTGTAAACGTGGAGAGTTTCAACGCAACGGTGGAAACTGTCCAGTACTGGAATATAACAATTAGCAGCATTATTTACAAGTTGAAACTGCCCAGAAGGTGAAACTGTCCAGCGACAGCGGTGCCACTTCTAACCCTGGAGAGTTTCAACTCAATGGTGGAAACTGTCCAATATTGAGAGCATTAAAAGATACAAATAATTACATCATTGCAATCGATTATTTGTCCCTCTCAAAATATATTATATACGATTCCATTTCTCACTTTTCTTGGTCATGCCCTCACAATTCACTCCTCCCCATATAAGGGTGTGTTTTTTGTAAATCCTCCATCTTTTGGACGGTTTCAACCCCTGGACAGTTTCAACTCTGGACAGTTTCCTACCACTCAACTGAAGCTATTTTATATAATAGTAAAAAATGCAATGGGAATCCCAACGAGTTGAGCGGCTTTCTTATCGTGAGAAATTGCATTTATAGCAGCAAAAGCAGGCGAGAGGACGTGAACCCATTAATGAAGCTGCAATGAGAGCATGATTTTTTTTAAGCAGTTTGAAAGCTTTAACATGCACTTTTTGCGGAGTAAAAGGTACTTTCAATATTTAATAGCGGCCATTTACTGAAGAACAATTGGAACAAATTGAGTCAGTTGTGAATAAAGAAATACTTGGACGAATCCTTTTAATTGGGATTAAAAAAGAGGTTTTTTATGTGTATAGTCGATTGCGTCCTTCAAATAAGCAGTCAGAACATTCATTTTCTTTTTTATTTAAAGCCTCTCATATAATAATTTAAAATATTGTATTAGTAATAAATTTACATTGTTTCGCTGGAGTTGTTTTTCCTCCAGCGGCAATGGAAGGAAACAAATTTTAATAAAATAGAAGAAATAGCAAAATATAGTATGCACTATTTTATTACTCTTATAAATAAATTTTGAAGCAAAGACCTAAAATTAAAAATTATATTTATGAATAAAATAGTATTTTTTGTGTTCCTTAATTATATTATTATTCATATTGAAAGCTTGACTTCAGTTATGACATGAGCGATCAAACAAATTTACTATCAGCACTAATTTTTATTTATAATCAATACTTTATCATCTGCATCAGTATAATATGATTTACAAATCTAAAATCCCTTGTTAGCTTGGGCGCTTGCTGAATTATTTCACACAAATACTGCAATTTTTGCAAGTAATGTCCTCCAATTGACGGAACAAATCGATGAAAAGAGCAGCACTAACTCTGCTTGAAAACGGAAAAGTTGATTTTAAATTGTAAAAAATACAAAACCTTTACTGTCTTCTATTGCTGTTTTGCCTTGATTTAACGCTTTGAATAAGCCTGTACATTGTTGCGGACTTGAAAGTGCTTCTTAAGCAATTGCCAATCGATTTAGGACATAGATTACTTTTATCACTATTACTATTTAAACTTTTACAAAAAGCGATTTTATTTACCATTGCATGATCAGAATAAAATCTGAATGTTTTAAACTTTAGAGATCAAAGGCCTGGTTAAAATAAAAGATTTTGTTTAACAAAAAGGGTGTATTTATTTTTTGTTACAAAAATCAAACCCCGAGGAACATGGTCTTAAAAATTAAAAGGTTGACTCTCTTGCATGACTTGTTATTTCCATCCACCGCCTCCGCTCTTGCCTCCATAGCCGCCACCGCCATGGCCGCCTCCATATCCACCTCCGTGACCACCGCCGCCTCCGTAGCTCTTGGTGATCACGATGGGATGAGGAACGCGAATGTGGACTGGCTTGGGCACTTCGATGGGAACGTGATGAGGTACGCTGATCTTGACGATCTTGGGCACTGGCACGGGATAGGGGTGAGGGACGCGGACGGCGTACGGCCTGTCAACGACAAAAGGAACGGCCTTGGGGACTTCGACGGTCTTCGTGACTTCGTAAGGAACAGGGTAGGGCTGAGGAATGCGAATCGGGTAGGGAACTTTGACGTATTTCACAACAGGGACTTGCACAGGGTGGGGCACGCGGATGATCTTGGCCGCTCCTCCGTGGCCACCTTCGTAGCCGCCTTCCTGGCCGCCTTCATAGCCGCCTCCGGAGCTGCCTCCGTAGCCACCTCCATATCCTTGGCCTCCAAATCCACCCCCGTGGCTGCTGAATCCACCTCCGAAGCCGCCTCCAAGTCCGCCCCCATGGCCTCCAAGACTACCACCTCCGTGGCCGCCTAGGGAAGACAAATCCAACGCTTGACCGCCGCCTCCGATGTCACCATGGCCTCCGAAGGACCCACTCAGGCCGCCAGCACTGTGTCCGCTGGAGGCCACGCTGGTCGCGGCGCCTCCGTGGCCACCATAGTCGCTGCCGCCTCCAGTACCAGCGCCGCCGCCGCCGTAGCCGCCCTCAGAAGCGCCTCCGCCGTAGCCGCCTCCGTAGCTGCCGTAGCTGCTAGCCGAGTTGTCGCTGCCGCCTCCATAGTTGCTGGCCACGATTCCTCTTTTGTCTGGCTGGTGGTCATCGTTGGTAGCATCGGCGGCCACCAGCACCAGGCAGGCGGCCAGGAGGAGAGACGAGGTCTGAAATTTAAATTAGTTTAGTTTTTCAGGTGTTAGAATTGGAGGAGCTGCTTTACCTGGATGGTTCGAGCCATGGAAGATGTGTGTCTGGCAATGCCAAGGTCCCCATCTTATATACCAACGCCGCCTTTCGCTTCTCCGCAGAAGAATCGGAAGGAATCTTCAGTGGTCCGCGCTTTTTGGTCATTGTTTTTTGTTGTGTGTACGCCCGTCGAGGCGTCTCAAGAAGTGACGGAGCTCTCCTCCGCCACCATTCTATGCATATCTAGCGGTCCTTTCTCTCCCTGACCCTTCACTCGACCAACTGCATTACTTTGTATATGGACGCTTTTTTGCGCGTATCCTCGATATCTGACGGGCGTTTCTAAAGGAGACACTTCTCGGTTCTCGCAAAAAAACCTGCGATGACAGTAAAAAAGAGCCTCACAAATGCACCTATTTAAGTTTTTCAGGAAGTGCTCGTGCATGCACCTGTTCAAAAATACTTTTACTTTTAAGGTTTTCACACATCATGCAGTGCATATGTACTTTGTATTGTAATTTTAGACCGTTAAATCTTATTTTACATGAACTGCAAGCATTAACCAGCATACCTGACATATGTACGGGTGGAATAAATTGTGTTACAATAAGTCTTAATAAATATAAACAAGCATTCAAAATTTTCATTTTGACAATTTATAAATATAGCAGTTTTGTAATAATAATAATAATTACATTTCTTTAATTCAATATATATAATTATAATTTCTGATTTAAAATTTTTTGTATAATATAAACTTGGAACATTATAATTTATAACGTGATACTATAATATTCCACCCCTCTCTCCAAAATAAAAAGCATTAGAATCATTATTTTGATTGGAGCCAGTCCTGCCAGTCATATTTTAAAATCAGAGTGTAATAATTTCACAAGCAATAGGCGGTTATAGAAGGCAGACAAAATTTTAGGTAATAGAAATAGAATGATTTTATTATTAGAAATTAGTTATTTAAATTAATTTTTGTTTATATTAATTAACATTAAGACGCCAACGGATAAAATTCAATAACATTTTAATTACTTGATAAAATTTGCGATTCATAGTTATGTGGGATCACCGCGGTGGCCGTGTATCTTTTAATGTCGGGCGTTTTAGCAGATCTCTGCTTATAGTTGTGATTCCCTTTTTGGCCCATTTTTCCATTTCAATATATTTTTTTTTTATTGACTTGCGTAGAATAAATACTAATAATATATGAATAGTAATAAAAATTATTCTTTACCCAAAATGAAAATGATCAAATCTGTTATAATTATATAGGTGAAAGCATTTAAATTTTCTAAATTAAATTAATATTAATGTCTTTGTGTTCCAATGCGCGTTTTCGGATACTAAATTACTTGCTTGTACTCAAAAACTTGTTATGAAAAAATATATTAATGCAAAATAAAAAAAATGATGAGAATTTATAGATATCATCAGTAGTGAAAAGTTAAATAAAATAAATAACTGCAGATCTGAATTTTATGTCAAATGGGTTTGATTAAGCTTTTGGGCATGTGACTAAGTCGCTCACTCGTAAAATCCAATTAATCGATTTTAATTGCTAAATGCAGTTGACCGTACGAGAGCCAATTTAAAGCAAATTCACGCTTTGATGGTCATAGTGGGTGATCAGTCTTATTAGCACGTCTACAATTGCGCCCGGATCGCTTTTAGCGCGTCTGCAAAAAAAAAAACGCTTGTTCGATTTCGCAGTGAAGGGACACATTACTTTTCGCGCACACAATGAAAGTTTAGTCCAGCTCCACTAGCAGAATTTATTGCTCCAAACTCAATTTCTTCTGACAATGGAACAAAGCAAGCAGTGCAGATTATTAGGAAGCGCGCGAGTCCGTTTTTCTTTCCATCTCCCGCAAGGCATCAATGCAAATGCAAAAGAGAGAAGTCAGCCGGGAATTCCCATTCTTTCCAAAGCCACAATTTTTACGCCTACTGACTTTTTTGCAAGGAAAAGTTGAACCATCTAACATGCAAAACTGATCAAATTTAAAAAGGTCTCGTCAATAAAATTGAATTAATTATCCAGAACATTCTTTAGGCCTTCCGTAGCAGTCAAAGAAAAAGAAAGCACGACTAATTTGCTTTGTGTGTGCTTTACTGCAGTATTATATTTTGAGCTATTTTCTAATGTATGGTCCTTTGTTGTGTCGGTGGTCTCAGCCGGACAACGGCTTGAGCAGCGTGACTCCTCATAATATGCGTCATTCAGTACCGCTTTGGACACTTTCGCCTCCCGAGAGCTTTTCAACTGATAATATAATTGGCGTTTGTTTCGCATTGTTGTTTTTGTCACTCTCAGCGACGAGTTCTATTCTTGATTCTTCGCGCTGATGCTTTCATGAGATATCAGCAAAAAAGAGCTTATTTTAATGAGAATTTAAATAAATTTAAAAATGGTATAGGTGGTAAAATTGAAAGTAATTTTTCAATCAATAAATTTTACTTTTTTATAGCAAAACCGTCCATGTTATTTGTTGTTTAATTCTTTGATTTGAAATTTGAGTGACGATTTATTTTAAGAAATGAAATGTTAAAATTTGAGATATCACAATTCTTTATTTTTCATTCGATTCACAGACAATGCAAATTCACAATTTGCAGCATTATGGAAAACAGAAAAATTTCAGATTTCTACATTTAAGTCTTACAAGTAGCATTGGGAACTTTGGGTGTTTTGGGCCAACCACTGGCGGGCCTTTTTTCTCAAGGCTTATTTGCCCTTCCAGCCGGAATCGCCTCCGCTGCTGTAGCCGCCTCCAGAGCCACCACCATAGCCGCCTCCAGCTCCACCACCGTAACCGCCTCCGTAACCTCCTGAGCCGCCTCCAAATCCAGAGTCACCTCCGCTGCTTCCGTGTCCACCAGAGGGGGCCTTGTCCAGACTGACGACGATCGGGATAGGTTTGTGGATGGGCACAGGCTTGTGCACCGGGAAAGGAACGGGCTTCTGAACGGGGATGGGCACGTTCTTCTTGATGGGGACGGGGATGTCGTGGTGCAGGGGAACCTTGACGTTGACGTACACAGGGTAGGGCACAGGTCGCTCAATGGGGTAGGGAACTGGCTTCTCAATATGGACGGGGTAGGGCCTGGGAATCTGGACGTGGTACGGCTTGTCGACGGGGTAGGGCACAGGGTGGGGAATGTGAACGGGGATCTTGCGGATCTGAGGAACTGCCACCGGTTGGTGAATGGGGATTTTGATCACCTTATGAATGGTGATGCCCTGAACCTGTTCAAAATGATAAAAATTTATATTTAAGCAAATTTCTTAAGCTTCAAATAATATTGTTTTAACTTCTTAAATAGTAAAATTTAATATTGAAATAAATATTTTAATGTTCAAGAACTGAATTAATTACCTTGGCGTGTCCGGTGCCATCATCGAGTCCTTCGCCGCCATCACCTCCGATGGCACCACCACCGAACTCTCCACCACCGTCTCCTCCGTGTCCGCCGCCGCCGCCTCCTGAGCCGCCTCCAAATCCACCTCCCAGATCTCCGTGTCCGCCACCTCCTGAACCGCCTCCATGGCCACCGCCTCCGGAACCGCCTCCCAGGCCTCCGGAGTAGTCTGCCCCAAGTTCGGCGCCACCACCATAGTCAACTCCACGCTTCTCGGGTTGCTTTTCAGCGGCCAGAGCCACCGCCAGAACGGCCAAAGTGCATACCTGCAAAAACGAAACGAAATTAGTTTTTGAAATTCCGGAAGGTTTGAGGCGGACGGACCAAGATTCTCATGATCCTCTGTATGGTTTGGACGGACTGGATGACCATTTGCGGCAATGTCCGCTCTTTTTATAGGGCCTATCTTCCTTTGTCGCCCTCTCCACCGGCGCAATTTGTGCGCAGAAAGTATGCATCCATCCGTCAATCGACGGCAGCTGCACTGATTCAGCAAGAGAGATGCATGCTCATCAGCCTGTGGCGCGCACCAGCAGCCGAAATTGTCTGTTTTCATCAAAGCCATATCGTGGAAATTTAATTAGAGAGTATTTTCTCCTTTTCCACAGCAATTAACTTGTCTTTGCACAAAAATCAGCAGAGTTTTCATGGAAAGATAAGCGGCGTTTGCAATCAATTTATCTTTCAACTACCTGGTAAAGATTCTTACAAATTCAACAAATTTTAATTTAAAAACTGTCTAATCGCGTTTAGAATTCGGCAGCCAACACATTCCAATTTTTTCAAAAATTTAATAAATTGTTTGTTTATTAATTTCATTTCATAATTATATAATGTGTAAGCCCTTAAAATATAACATGAATTTTTAATGAAACTTTTAAGAAAAAGGATTTTGTTTGCGTGTGAATATTGTGAATCTACCCTGTGAACTCCAGAAAATTACTTATTTCAGATGTAATGTTTTAAAAGGCTGACGAACAATTCTTTCCATTTAAATAACAAAAAAAAAATAATAATAAAATTAGCTGATGATAAATTAAGACAATTAATCTCATAACTTCAAACAATAAAAATAAAATAAGCAAAAAAAAAACAGTATTTTTTTCAGTTTTATATGAGCTTTTACACTTATCAAGATTTAATACCAACATTGGCAAGCATTTTTGTTAAAAGTATTTTTTTTCATTCCCTTTAGTGATTCAGTGGATGAAAAAGGGAAATATAATGAATGGCGCTTGCAGCCATGATTGTGCATTTTGCACATTAATTGTTATATCAATTGTGTGACAATAGCAAAGTACCTTGTTTGTCACTTGAGCAACTTTGATGCATTTAAGTTGTCCACAATAAAATACTAATTATATAGTTATTTTTTATAGTTATATATGTATTCGATTAAAAGCAAACAAAATTTGAAGTGACCTCATTCCTATTTTTTTTACATGGTCCTAAAGTACAAACGGGGATAAACTTCAGCTATTAATAATAAATAATATATATACAGTATACTGTGAACAATAAATGATGAATGGCCAATATTTTGGTGAATAAACCATTTTTAAGTCAGTTCGGAGGTATTTTAATCAACTTTCAAATGAAAAATATTTAAAAAAAAAAAAATATAATATATTGTAATATGCTTATCCCGGCTTATCCATAATATTCTGAAACATCCTCATTAACTTTGTTGTTTTCTAATTTTGAATTTTTGGTCATACTTTACTATTTTATTGGATTAAGGCGTTTATGAGGCGCTCATTCAATTTAAAAGCCACACTCCGCTCTTGTTGAATAAAAGACATCAGCAGCAGGAAAATTTCTCTCAGACTGCAGCTTTGATTTATGTGCCGTCATCTATCGTTTGAGTGCTCCACTTGTCAGTGTAGTCTCGCGATGCTTTCTTCCATACACGTTAGATAATTTTTATTGACACTCTATTAATAAACTCGCGTGTTACTCTGGCTGTGCGCTTCCTCATTTGGAAACCCTGATAAAATAGCACATTTTAATGTAAAAAACTAATTAGAATTACACCCCTGATAACCTTGTAGATTTTAGGAATACACGCAAAGTAATATAATTACGTATTAATTGAATATAATTTGAGTTGGTAATAATATAATATGATAATATCCCCATTATATAGTGGAGGGAATTTTGAAAGAAAGAAACGAAAAAAGTTAGCTCCAATCAAAATTTTATCAACAGGTTGGTATACATTATTTTTTGCTTCACATTTTGTAGATAAAAGAGAAAAATGTATTTTGACAGCCTTTAAAAGAAAACAAAATTCAAGATTTTTTATAATTTGATGAAAGCAAAAATTTCTAGGCTCATAAAATATGACAATTCATCATAATAAATCATCGATGGCCATAGTATGGCAGCCCGTAATGCAGAGGCTGTCCATGCCCATAAAAGGGCACCGCTGGGTAGAAATGCGGCACATTAAGAGCATAGGGATTGGCGATCGGTTGGTTCACAATGGGTGGATTGATAATTGGCGTGCTTGCCCTAATTAGAGTTGGCACACCAGGGTAGTGAGGGTAGAAGCCGCGCAGAGTGTAAAATACTTCCACTGGACGGTCGTTGCCAAGCCTATTGTTTATTCCTTTTGGCGGACAAAGTTTCTTTTTCGGAATGGTCACCTCAGGTTCAGACGACCTCCTCGTCCTTTTATCCAGGGATGAACTGGTTGTGGGTTCCGTTCGAGCTTCTTCGTCATAAACGCAGTTTTCGGACGATGCACATGCCGCACAGATTAAGGCCAACAAAAGCTAAAATTATTTTAAATGTGTAAATCATGTTGTGCAAAAAATTGTTGCATTATAGTAAAGAGTCTCTAGGAAGAAAAACTTTTCTCACCAATAAAATAATATAAATAGTGCACAAAAGTGAACTTCCTGCTAAAAAAATTTATTTCTGACCTTTACCTTTAATAATAATGAATTATTGTATACATACCAAGCACTTGATCATCCTGCTTTGATAGCCGGAAAGAAATAAACAGTGTAGGGATTTTTCACAAGCCTTTATACCTTTTTCGCAATATACGTTTTTAATCTTTTTGTGTGCGTGTTCTTATTTTTGTCAACCCGGAAAATATAATCACGCTCTAACTCTAATAATTCTCCAAAATTACACTTTTTGCCGCTGATACCCTTGTAGATTTGGAATGCACGCGAGGAAGACAAATACAGTTTAATTCAAAGTAACAAAGGCAAAATCCTTCAATGCCTCTGCTGCAACAGAAATTAATAAGGTTGCTTTTTTTTAAAAATAATGTTTAAAATGAATTTAATCGTAAAAATTCTTTGGCAGCGTATAAAGGTAATTTTAAGATTGTCTGAAATATTTGTGATTCTAATTGAATTAAGACAATAGAATCTCAATCGATCAAAATAAAACCTTTAATTTTAGCAAAATTTTTAATTGCACAGCTCAAAATATTCTCTGGCATTGTTACAACAATTGGATAATATGGCATTATTCTAAAGTATAATATGGCATATTGTTACTGTTGAATAGAAAGCAAAACTGGTTTTAGAAGTAAATACTTTGAGAAAGCAAAAATGGAATAAGAAATACTAGACTGACATCTCTGGGTTGCGTGTCAGGAAGATGGCAATTAAATTTAACAATGAAAATGCGCGTGTTAGTTCTGGAGGCATAAAAACCTTTCAAAGGTGTGTGCTATGGGTTATTACCAAGGCTTTTTAATGCTTAAGAAAAATTTAAAATTTATCACAACAATACGCAGCATACATGAAATAAAAATTACTTAAATTTCTCTTAAGGACCTTATTCCGGCCTTGTTCCATTTTGGGATAGCCAAAACAACGATGGTTAAATTTTTCAATCGTCTTCTAAATTAAAAATTTATTAATACTGTTTAAAGGACTTAATTTGACTATATACCAAAAAATACATTATTCTCCTAATAAAATTTTGAATGTTTTGACACTGGAGAGAGAAAAATTGAAATAATCGTAGAGGTTTATTGAAATAAAATTTAATTCAGTCAATTTTCTTTTTAAATTAAAAAAATCTTTATTCTACACACAAAATATAAAAACAATCAAATTTCAGATCACATTTGCGCAACAAAAGGATTTTGTTTGAGAAGAGAGGCCCATTGAGCTTTAGTAGGATGAGCCATAGTTGCCGTAGGAGCCATAGTTGCCGTAGCTTCCCAAGTCGTAGGAGTCTTGGTGGCCTCCCTTGATATAAACGGGCACGGGCTTTTCAACAGGGTACGGCTGGGGCACGGCGACTTTGTAAGGCACTTGGACGGGGTAGGGCACAGGCTTGGCAACAGGAACGGCGACAGGGTGGGGCACGGCGACCTTGTAAGGAACATGGACGGGGTAGGGCACAGGCTTCTCAACGGGGTAGGGCACGGGCTTTTCTACGGGGACAGGGACCTTGACGGGAATGTGGACGGGGTAGGGCCTGTCGACGGGCACAGCAACGGGGTGAGGAACGGCAACGGGCACCCTCTTCACGACGGGAACGGGCACGGGGTGAGGAACGGGCACGCCGACCTCGCGGTGGATGGTGATGCCAGAAATGCGCTCGGAACGGCCGTAGCCGTAGCCTCCTCCAAGTCCAGAACCGCCCAGACCAAGTCCAGAGCTTCCAAGTCCCAAACCGGAGGAAGATCCAAGTCCCAGGCTGGATCCTCCAAGACCGTAGCCGCCTCCGAGCCCGTAGCCTCCGAGACTGCCACCGTAACCTCCCAAGCTGCCGCCGTGACCTCCTAGGCTGCCGCCATATCCTCCGAGTCCACCTCCGTAGCCTCCCAGGCTTCCACCGTAGCTTCCAAGTCCACCATAGCCGTAGCCCAAACCACCCAGACCTCTCTTCTCGGTCTTCTTCTCATCCTTGGCGTCCTCAGCAAACACTGCTGAGGCCAGGAGCAGAACGCAGACCTGTAAAAATCAAATAATTATTTTTTAATCTCTATATTTTTTTAATGAAATTAATTAATTAAATACTCAATAAAATATTATTTAATTATAAATGAATATAAGGCTATGCGTTAGCAATTTTTTCTCTAAAACTTGTAATTTTTATGCAAAAAAAAAAAATCCAAATTTAATACCACATCATTTATTTCCTAAATAACATTCAATTGAATTTTATGATTTATATACTTGTTCGCTGCTTCCTTTAATCAATATCAATACGCGTGAGAAGTCAAGTGTGAACACGCCAATTATGATTTTGATGCATGCTTTCGTTATGATAATATCGAGATCACCGCACTTTCAAACAAAGACCTGTTCTTCTGGAAGTCGCACTCTTAGCTCACATCTTACTATTATCGACACGAACGCCCATTGTGATCTGACGCGGAGGGTCCTTTCCTTTTTTCACACACCGCCCCGCTAAACGCGTTTTATTTCCGGAGAATTGAACGCTCGAATTTAGTGTTTGAAAGTAGAGTGCAAGTTACTCTTGACCTAACCTCTCTATTTTAATCAGCAAGTTACTCTCACTTTTTGTGCAAAAAATAAACATTAAAATTCCAGAAAATACAAATCGAGAAGTAAGATCGAAAGTTTTTGAATTAAATTAAGCCCTCATCAGCGAAAGTTTGTTCATGCTGAAATAACATTATGGTCAATGGTTTTGACTTGTTGAAGTCATTTAATCTGTGTTATGTACGAAATCGTTATCAGCTTGCGTAATTAATGCATCATTTTTATGGACACTACAAATGATCAATTAAACTAATCGCGCAACCTGTTTCCGCGGAGAAATTGCAGGTCGGGCTCAGCTGATCCCCCGGGGCGAACTCATTTTGCCATTCAGAAATCGAGCGTTTGTGACACCGTTTTAACGATTATGCTGGTCGCTTATGAAACGCGGAAAAAAAAGAATATGTTACATAAGAATTTTGCAAATTAACAATTATTTTTAATATATGCACTGTAGATATAGAAATTAATTATTTTTTTTAATTAATAAAAAATATCTGTCAATGAAGGTATTTTTCTTTCATATCAATTAATGTGCTAAAACTTTACCTAATATTTGGATAAAAAATTTGTAATATTTCCCTCCTGAGTAAGAACTCTAAGAATAATTAGTTTTTTCAATTCTATATACCATTTATAGATTAAAAAGATGAGCTATTTAGCTTATTTGAAGCTTGATTTAAATTAATGTAATTTTTGGTACTCACCAGTGTCTTCATGTTGACTGCGTGTGTATGTGTGTGAGTGTGTGCGGGTCAGGCTTTGAATGCCTCCGGTTGGCGGTCCGTTGCTATTTATACAGCCACCACGCAGCGCAGGGGCAGTTTGCAGGATCGCTTACTTACTTTCATCTCCCACTTTGTGTAAAAAGGGCCGGGTGACCTGAGCGTGGCCGGGCAGCGAACGCTTGCTCTGCTTGCTCCTCCCTGGTTATGCAAAGCGATTATCGCCGAGTGCCCGAGGAGATGGACAGGAAGAGCTGCAGGGACGCGCCCATTTCTTTCTCCTCCACTTTCCATCAGACGAGTATTGTCCGGCGGTGTTCACGCAGCGTGAGCGACATTGCTCATTACATGTGTGCAGTGCAGTTATTATTACACTCTCGATTTTTTTTTCAACATTCGAGCGTTTCCTTGTTATGCAGTTTATTGAAAGCTTCCTGAACGTAAAACTTGACGAGTACTTGCGGTTAGGTTGATCGAATTATGCACTTTTTTGTCACATTGCAATTTGTAGTCGAGCACAAAGACGGTTGAAATTAAATTACGACTTTCGTCTCACGTGTGGCAACAGAAGTTAAAAATTGACGAGTCACTACACTTCTTACGTTGGGACAAACTGGGGCAATTTTTCTTCTCACGGACAACTTTAAATGATGATATGATATATTACATAAAGTTAGTGTGCAAAAAATTTAGTTACAAGAAAATATCAATAAATTATTATGCAATTTGGAAATACTTTTTCCAAGTATTTTTCTGCAATTTTAACGTTTTTCAGCTTCAAGCAAGCTAATTTTAATGAAATGTTTTAATTTTTAATATAATAAATTGCAATTTTTTACTCTGGTATGAATGAGCCTTCATCTAGTATTAAACTTAGAATTAATTTATTTACCGGATGCATTATTAATAAAATTGTTAAAAAATATATACTAGAAGTTTAAACATGGTTGTATTAGTTTCTAGAATATTTCCTCCCTCATTATTCATTGTAAAAATTTGTAATTTAAAGAGCTTTCCGGTTTATAAAGTTAAATGACCTCTCACCAAATGAATAAATTTAATTCACACAATTAATGTTGAGTACTTATTTCACATAAATGGGATTTGCAAAAGTAAATTAATAAACTTAAATTCCCCTGTACATATTGGTTGTGGATTTTTCTCTTGCAACTCTCATATTATTACTGGTTCTCAAGACGAGTTTGTTGATGACTGGCGTTCGATTGCATAAAGAGAGCCGTCAAAAGTCATAAAAATATTATTTAAAAGGTCTCCCTCTCAACACATGCGTGTTGGACCTAGTTTCCAAGCGGAAGCTGGCAGATTTTCAAGTCGTCCCTCGTCATCTTTCTTTTTCACTCTTACTTCTTTTGGATGGAAACACGAGCCACCTCTGCGTTCACTTGTTTAAAAAATACCATGGGGAGCTTCATATAAAATGTAAATGCAGATATATTCCGCCGATTTCTCAAACTCGTTCATCAATCTCGCGCGCAGTCACACTATCAGCAGAAGCTTACCAAACACATAGTTGTCCGCTATAGATTTGTAAATTCCTGTTTTTTTTTTGTTTTTTTAATTGTAAATTCATGGGTTCATGCTTATAAATTAATCATCTTTTAATGTATATAATTTTAATAAAAAAAACCTTCCGTCCTTAACAAAAAACGTAAAATGAAAATGTTTACAAAACTTAAATAAGACATTAAACCACCATCTCAAAATTTAAAATCCGTAAAAGTCATAACAGATAAATATTAGCTTTGCAGAATGTTGGAACAACTTTCAGCAATGGGATAATACAAGCTGTGTAACAAAAGAGGACGTAAAATCTCCCTCATAATTTGGCATTTTACTGCATTTGCTTTTAATTACCACACAAAATAGTTAAAAATGGTTTATTTTTCTTGCTAGAATCTCTCCATAAAACAAATGCTTATCAATCAAATCTAATAAAATAAGAATAAGAAATGTACTTAAATTTTATTGACTTATTTCAGTAGTATTTTATTAGTTAAATTAACTTAAATATTAATTTATTTAAAATAATCACAATGAAAACATTCAACTTTACGTTTATTTATTTCTTAACATTGGGTAAAAGTTATTATTTTTCTATTTTTTATTTGGTTGTTGGTCACCTTGCCCGGATTTCAAGACTTGCATTTCTCGTTTTGATGCAGATCAGACTCGTAATTTTAATCATTTGCCAATGTAATGCGACCAAAAAACCAGGCTTGAAGTTGCCCACGCAAAAAAGCTTCATCTGTATGTAGTTTTGCAAACGATGGAGCACGTTTCGGTCAATGCCATCCGGTGCGCAAGGGACATGGACCACTTTTTTCCCAAATAATGAAATTCGGCGCACTTGAATACAACTTAATGAACAACGCACGCGCGCGGTTTCTGCAGGGTGCTCCTTGCGCAAAGTCCGGTTGCGTCACTGCAGGGCTAATTGGCGGCCAATAAAACCAAAAGTGAAACTGTTACATATTCACACACTTCTTTATTGAGAACAAATAGCATATCGTAGTGTGCGACAGAAAAAAAAAGATCGAGACTCTCAAAGGGATCGGGTTGAGGCGAGGCGGTCGCGTCAAGAGTGGCCCAGTAGGAGGAAACGGACGAGCCGCTGAAAAAAGCCGACGCGCCACAGAACTACTTTCACAGCCACACAAATGTATATTATCGCACTCTTTGGGATCTGGGCAAGAGCAGGAGAAGGGAAGGGATTTCAAGCTAAATAAGATGAAACTTGTTATCGTTCTGTTGATTTGAAGTTATTAGCAGAAATTATAATCTAAGTGGAAACCCAGCAAAGACGTTAATAATAGATTTTAAACATAATTTTTTTTACTATATTTTTGAAAACTTATCTGCTGCAGGGGTTTAATTTTTTTAAGTTTTTATGGGTAAATTTTCATTCTAATTCAGAATTTTGTCACTTTTATTTTATTTTCTCTTTTGAAACAGGTTTAAAGAACACAACATGAACCGGTTGAGATTTTTGAAATTTTTATGAGAGTAAAAAAAATATAGTCTAACCTGGAACTTAAAACACAATCTCTTTTTTCTTTTACCTTTACAAAAGATACTTTAAATATTATGATATATTATACATAATATTAATTAATTATACCTAAATGTCAATAAAATTAGAACAACTGTACCAAAAATGGTCTGTTTCTAGCAAAATATTCGAATTAGGAGAATATGACGTCATTTTTTTAAATTAATAAAATGTTTGAAAGTTGAACTCTACAAAACTAATAACAAACAAAAATTTTCAAGTAAAATCATTTTTTGTAAATAATGCTTTACACTCTATACACCGCTTAATTAAAATGTTTACTTCTCAAGAAAACACCACTAGTGGCCTTTCAAAATTAAAGAAATAACAATAAATAGAAGAACTGAGAAAATCTGTCTAGAGTCAAACTTATTAGATTTATTTATGGATTATTTTTTTTATAATACACTGTTAAATTTCTGTGTAAATCCTATAATGTTGAATTTAGTTAGGAGCCGCTCACAAAAAACAACATTCTGTCAGAAATCAATCTTCCCGTCTCACTCTAAAGTACTCCAGGTTGCATAAACCACTAGGCGCTTTAGTTTCTGCTCCACTTCCTGCGACAGTTTTTGCCTCCAGCAAAATGAGTGCAATATTATTTTCAAGCTGTAGGGTCTCGGCGCGCACTGCAAAAATGTGAGAAAAGGCCCACTCATGATAGTCACTTTCACCAACTGCCCGCCAGGTATGCAACTGGCAGGACTGTGCAGAGGAACGTGTTGCTTATGCTCTGTAAGAAGGATTTTTCTAAACTTGAGACCAGATTGATTATCTACGGAGTGTATCTAGTTTCCTGCTCGCAATATCGATTTCTGTTTGTTTGTCGCACGCTTGCCTATCATAACAAGGATCGAGTGGAGAGCGTTTCCAATGAAACTGATTGGTTTGTTTTGAAAAGCCTTGCAATACCCTATTCAATCAAAATTTGTTGTGGAGGTATTTTTTTTTTGTTGTTCGATCGGTGATGCCAGTTGACGGAATATTCTAGAACAAGAAAATTAAACATTTTTTTTTGTATTAATGAAAATTGATGGTAAACTGCATATTTGTAGCCTGACCCCCAATTCTGCGAACTTTTTTGGCGCGAAATTTTTTTTAGCCTCATCTGATAAATAACATCAGGAGGAACATGGAATAACAATTAAAATTGAATTAGCATGCTTAATTATCTTTTAATGGAATGTAACCGTATTTAGTAAGAAATATGTTGATATTGGCAACATTTTCTTCGGAGAGTTAAGGGGAAGTTCTCACAATTATGAGCGATGGCCCCTGCATATACCACCTGAATTGTGCGAACCATTACTTAATGGTTGAAATGACCAAAAATAACCTGAATTGTGAGAAGGTTGATTAAAAGTGAGTCTGAATTGAAGATATGGCCTGAATTGTGAGAACCTTTGCTTAATTGTCTCAATTAAGGGTAAAAAAGACCAAAAACCACCTGAATAGTGCGAACCATCACCGCAATCATATTAAAAGGGTTGAAATGACCAAAAATAACCTGAATTGTGAGAAGGTTGATTAAAAGTGAGTCTGAATTGAAGATATGGCCTGAATTGTGAGAACCTTTGCTTAATTGTCTCAATTAAGGGTAAAAAAGACCAAAAACCACCTGAATAGTGCGAACCATCACCGCAATCATATTAAAAGGGTTGAAATGACCAAAAATAACCTGAATTGTGAGAAGGTTGATTAAAAGTGAGTCTGAATTGAAGATATGGCCTGAATTGTGAGAACCTTTGCTTAATTGTCTCAATTAAGGGTAAGAAAGACCAAAAACCACCTGAATAGTGCGAACTCTCACCGCAATCATATTAAAAGGGTTGAAATGACCAAAAATAACCTGAATTGTGAGAAGGTTGATGAAAACTGAGTCTGAATTGAAGATATGGCCTGAATTGTGAGAACCTTTGCTTAA